GGAGGCCAATCGGGGAGCCGGCACCCTGACCGCCTTCACCGCCGGGAAAAAAAGTTGGAAAATCAGTTTGACTGGAGATTGCCAATCTCGCTTCTTCACTATTGACATTGTCTCACAATGCCTCCCTCCTTTTCCAAGAAACGCAAGGTCCTCGATGGCCTCAAGGGCAAAACTGGCCGCCCCAAGAAGTTTCGCAAGCAAGCCCAGTATCACAGCTCCGACGAAGATGAAGAAGATGCCGATTTCAACGCTGTCTCTCTCGCCGGTTCGGACGAAGAGGAGGATGGTGGTGTGGCTGTAAAGCCCCCGACAGATGCCCAGCTCTCCAAGAAAAAGCAAGCAAAGTCTGCACCTGCGCCACAACAACAATCCGACGAAAGCTCCAGCGACGGCGCAGGGGAGGAAGAAGCAGAGGAGGAGGACGCAGAATTTGAGGACGAAGATGCATCTGGAGAAGACGACTCGTCCGGCTCTGAAACATTGGCCACAGGGGCAAACCGAAAATCTGTTTCCAAGCGCAACGACCCTACCGCATTCTCAACCTCCATCTCCAAGATCCTGTCTACGAAACTCCCAACAGCAGCGCGGGCCGATCCCGTCCTCTCACGAAGCAGGAATGCTGCCCAAACAAGCAGCGATTTGGCAAATGAAAAGCTCGACCAACAAGCGCGGGCCAAGCTGCGTGCTGAGAAGAAAGAAGAGCTGGATCGGGGCCGTGTGCGCGATGTGATGGGCATCGAAAGAGGCATGACGGGCGCCGTGACAGAAGAGGAAAAGCGTCTGCGCAAGATGGCCCAGCGTGGTGTGGTCAAGCTGTTCAATGCTGTTCGCGCTGCCCAGGTCCGTGGCGAGGAGGCTGCCAAGGAAGAGCGCCAGAAGGGGACTGTTGGTATGGGAGAGCGGGAGAAGGCCGTCAACGAGGTCAGCAAGCAGGGGTTCCTGGACTTGATCAATGGGAAGAAGGGCAAGCCGTTGAATATCGAGGAGGCATAATGCAATAATGTTCTCTCATGGCATGTTTCTGGCGTTCATGGATATAATTGCTTGTGACATAGTACAGGAGATTTTTCATTCATTCGCGATCTTTGCGCAAGTCTGCTAGATGCATGATCAGATACAGTACAGTACAGAGCCCATATGGACTATAAGATATTTCTAGTTGTTTTCCAGCCCTTATTTGCCCTCAAAGTCGCTCGCCTGCAAATTCCGCGTCATGGCTGGCAACCGCACGACCAGTCCATCCAGCTCTTTGTTCATTAGGACCTGGCAGCCCAGTCGCGAAGTCTCCGTTAGCCCAAAGGCCAGGTCAAGCATGTCGTTCTCGTCGTCGGAGGGCTCTTCCATCTTGTCGAACATATCGGGGTCTTCCACGATAACGTGGCACGTCGAGCAGGCGCAGGAACCGCCGCAGGCACCTATCATAGGTTAGAGACTGGATATAACCCGGAATATCTTCAGCGCACCTTCCATCTCCAAGTCATTCGCCTGCGCAATATCTAGTAGGTTGTCGCCTTCCGCGACCTGAAGGTCGACCCTCGTGCCGTCCTTGTCGATGAAGGACACATTGATCCTGGGAATCATTAATAACCTGCGAGAGATAGCATTCCCGGGGACCCTTACTCCTCGCCGGGCTTTGGCGGCGTAATGTGACCGTGGAAAGACTGTGCAGTCGCCGTGAACGAGCGCCGGGCTGGCCACGAGGGCTGTAGGGTTTTGCGCGGACTAAACCGGGCTGTTTGCCATGATGGTGTCGAGTGGCTCAGGAATCTCCGCGACGGAGCCAAACAGTTTGTGGGTTTCGCATGGCGTAGTTGCAGTCCGGCTTCTCGCCAGAAGGCCATTGTTTAGTTATAGAAAGGAGAAGGAAAGAAGAGCTGACGGACCAGGCGGAGGAGAGACAGATGAGTGAATGTCCCCATTGGCCGCGGGAGGAAAAAAAGCTCGGACAAACCAGACAAACTGCCCAACCTCTTTTTTATCCCCGACCCTCTTCTTCTCTATCTCTTCATCTCCCATTTTCCCTCCCCTTCTCGCCAACCCATCATGTCTCGCGAAGGGATCAATCCCTTGCGTCCCTATTATATCCCACCCTCCGGTCTATCGCCCGCCAATGCCCCAACCGAGGTGAGGTCGGCGTCATCAACCCAGGTGTTTGGCAGCACAGCCCGCGACCTCGTCCCGGACTTGGATTATGGCGACTACCTCGATTCGTCGTCATCCGTGTCCGACTGGGCTCGAGATGTGCTAAATCGGGCACTCCTCCGTTATACACACGTCCTGACGGCGCAGCCCTTCGATGTCGCCAAAACGATTCTGCAAGTGTACGTCGCGCCCGATGCAACGGACGAGCGGGAGTCCGATCCGAGGTCGACTCCAGGCTCTCGACCAAGTGATTACGACTCGGTATGGTCTGATTAGCATGCTGGTATGGCACAGAGTCTAACATTGCTCGCAGGAACCAGAATCGTCCGACGACGAGAGCAGTTACTTCACCTCCGCTGCGCCCTCAACACCAACGCGGACCCCGCGGTCTCGCAGGGCACGGCACCGCATCACCGACCGCAGCGGCTATATTCGGCCAGACTCCACCTCGTCCTCAAAACATTCGTTGACGATCCGGAACCCCAACTCCTTGATGGAGGTGCTTTCCCAGCTCTGGACCAGCGGCGGTCCAACCTCTCCCTGGAAGGCCTCCAACGCGACCTTTATCTACTCGCTCCTCCTGCCCACCCTCAACACATTCATCCGCAGCCTTCTGTCCGCCGTCGTGGGTCTTCCGGAAGAGGACATCTCGTCGTCCATGGCAGCCGACATCCTGACTGCGGCCTCGCCCATGGCAACACTCGTCCTGTCTTTCATTTCCTCCTCGCTCTCCGCCATGCTCCTCTCCCCAATCGACACGGCGCGCACATTCCTAATGCTCACACCTGCCACACACGGGCCTCGGTCACTCATCCGCGCCATCCGCCAGCTCCCCACTCCGAACTGCACCATACCGCCGCACCTCGTCCCTATCACCGTCCTCCACTCCAGCCTACCGAATTTCATCACCACCTCGACCCCACTCTTCCTGAAGTCCTACCTATCAATTGACCCCCTCCTTCACCCATCCATGTGGAACCTCTTCACTTTTCTCAGCTCCGGTCTCGAGCTCGCTGTGCGATTCCCGCTCGAGACCGTCCTACGCCGCGCCCAGATCGCCACATACACCTCGCTGAGTCTGCGCCAGAAATCCGCCGGCGGCAGCATTCGCAATGCCTCGTTCGACGCGTCTGACGTTGAGACTATCATCCCCACCCCGCGTACCTACCGCGGCATTGTTGGAACTATGTGGCACATCGTCCACGAGGAAGGTGTCAGTGTCACCCCGTCCGAGGCTGCGCGCGCACACGAGCTTCTCGGCAGATCTGCGCCCCAGCACCTCCAGAAACGCCAGCAGGGACAAGGCATCGGGGGCCTGTACCGTGGCTGGCGTGTTGGGATGTGGGGAATTGCTGGCATATGGGGCGCCAGCCTGCTCGGCGGGGTGGCCGGTGGCAGTGAAGAAGAGGTCACGATGAAAGGCGGACACGGCCGCTCGAGCGGTGGCCGCTTTTGATCAGACATTTGTATAAAACCGGATATGTTCTTTTCGGGGACATCAGTGAGTGAGCGATGAGAGTACTTGTTTTATATTGGTTCCTACTCCTGGGTTTGCAGAGAAAAAGTACTTTTGTGCTTTTCTCATGTATCCCGCTATCAGGAGGGTTGAGAGATGTGATTTTCGGCCTGCCACGCCGCTCATGTATTGATTTCCTTGTGTCTCTCTTCTTATACCCCCGAACTGGATGCGTGTATCTATCTCTGTATATAATAGAAATCTCTCTCCCTTCACCATTCTCCAAGCGCCATTCCCTCATTTCAAGTCCCTCCACCATCGGTTCTAGAACTAGAAACCCAGACAGAACTAATACCAGGCCTGAGGTAGAAACTGCAAGAAGGCCTCGGGGAAATACACTTAAGATCTTTCCATCTATCAGAGACACACTGGATATTTGAGCAATCACCTAATGTTCATTAGTCTGGTCTATCATTCATTCAAGTCTCAAATTCGAATGAAATCTTACACTGCTGAGTACTCGTCGAGGTCGTGTAAACCATACATGATGGTACCTAGCCACGAATAAAGTCCCTTTCTATCCCGAGTGTTTTGAGGGACTAGGGTCGGCCATTTTCATATTTAACAAATGGCTATCTAGATACTGAGGTGCCATGGCAGTACTCCGCAGGAGGAATATTCCTGCTGGCGTGATCCTTCTGGATTGATCCTTTGCCCCGAAGGACTTAAAAGTTTTCCAATCCTTCGGGTCTGGGACGTTTCTTAGAGATAGTAGGAGAAGACCCCAGTGGCCATTAATTATCGGGCGCCCCCGAGAAAACTAGCCTGAAGTACGTACGTGCATGTAGCTATAGACGATGCAATCCTAAAGAAAGCCTGAATAAGCCAAGATCCCTAAGTTCTTAAGCCTCCTTACGCCTTCAGGCGCCCGAACGGGTACCTCTTCTTGATGCCGGTATTGGTTCTAGCAGCGCCTAGTATATAACTTGGAACTAGAAGAATACAAGAATACTGTAGACAAATAAACTTGATACCATTCCATTCATCAAAAACACATTGTATACATGACCAATAAAACCAAAAACGCTGGTGAGACCAAAACAAACGTCTAAGGGGCCAAACCAGTAGAACCGCCACAGAATCGACCACCGACCATATTCATAACGGTCAGGATTAGTGCGAGAAACAAGGACAACAATGATGCTTTTTGGAGGATAAATGAAAAGGGGGCGGGTGTTGGATGTTGAAGAAATGGAGGTTCAACGAAGGATGTCGAAGGCAATAATGAAACACGACCGTCTGATGGAGCAGGGATGGTCTCTGTGTGGGTATCAAAAATACTTGACCAAATAATGCACAAGCTTAACAGAAAGGAAAAGAAAAAGAAAGGAAACGACGAGCTCTATTTCTCAGCAAATCGCCGGTCAAAGTAGCGTAGCACACCCATCACGCTAGCAGCCTCGACCTCCATCGCAGCACGATTGCGACCATCTGGTACAACGGGAAGGTCTCGCGGGTTAGGAAGGGTATTCAGCTTAGGCAGCCAGGTGGAAATGTCATCGCTCGCACGCGAGAAGTTCGGGTGCCGAGAAAGAGTGGTGAATGTGTCCGCACAGGTTAGGGTCAGGGACGGCGAGGCGGACATGGGGGCGGCAGAGAGCGCAGGTACAGGCCCGGGGTTGTTACGGTTGGTGGTCGTGGTGGCCGGGGCATTGCTGACGCGTGACATGCAACAGCCGCCGTCTGCTCCCTTTCCGCCGCAGCAGCCTCCCCCGTTGGAGTCCCGCTTGCTGACCGGGAGGCTGCCAGCGTTTTGCAAAAAAGGGTGCTGCGCGGATCGGCGAGGCACTGGGCGCAGGTGCCGGGGCCGTTGGCGCAGGGGTTGGTCGCTTGGCTGATTGGTGGGAGGGTGACTTCGGAGCGGACGTCACCGTCGGATGGGGGAGGTGTAAATTGGGAGAGAGACTGGATGGGTGCGAGACGCGGGTTCTCGAAGGAGTTGCGCTGGCCGCGGGACTGTTCCTGTGCGGCCATTTCGGCGCAAATGCATGGCGTGCCGTCCTGGCAGAACCCGCAGGGGTCGACGGGCGGCGAAGATGCGTTGTTGTTATTGTTGGAGTTGGAATTGGAATTGGCGGTGTTAGACCCTAAGGCTGGTTGAGCAGGAGGAGCGGCAAAGCGAGACGTAAAATCAATCTCCATCTCCTCCGGGTCCGGCTTAATGTCGGGCTCGGTGTTGGCACTGCCCACACCGTGAGGGGGGTGCTTCGAGTGAGAGGACTCGTGCGAGTCAACCGGCATGGCAAAGGCATCTTCAATGCACTGGCAGTGGGTCGACGAGCAGTTGCTGCATCCCAACGGGACGTTCTCATGTCCTTCTTTCCTGCTGTGGTCTGGGTGGTCTGGGCTAGTCGGCTGCACGTCTTCCATGCGAGAGCTCCGCGTCGAAGGGCGGGTTCGCGGCGGTAAAGGCACAGAGTCTGGTATGGTGGAGGATTTCCCGGCATTGGGGCCGGTGAGGGAGGAGCGAAATTCTCTCACGAGAGCCTCTTTGGCGCTTCGTTCGACGGATACTTCCTTCTCCAAAGCATGGGATCGATCTCGCCACCAATTCATCTCCTCGCGGCACTGTTCCACCTCTCGCGACAGATTGTCAATCTGCTCATTCAATCCGGCCACACGATTATCATGGCTATCTTCGATATCTTTGATCTGCTCCTCGAGTTCGCAGACACGGGCAGCGCGGCGTTCGCGGAACGCCCTCTGAGCCGCCCGGTTCTGGGCTTTACGCTTGGTGGGCGGCGTGTCCGTGGCAGGCTTCCGGCCTGGTTTGGGACGGGGTGGAATCACCCATTCTTTGGAAGTCACCGAGCCTGGAGTGGCCGGTCCCGGTGAGGGTGCTGCCGATGGTGCCTTGGAGGCTAAAGAGGGCGCCGGTGCGAGGGCCAACGGTGGAGGTGCCGCGGCCACTGGAGCAGGCGTGATAGGCACGCCCGTAGTGGCCATGACCAGGCTAATGTCTTATGGTCGTAACAGGTGCTGGATTATGGTCAGCATGGATGGGTTGGGATGGTGGTGGGTGAGTCGGGGCTGACGCACGATGCGGTCGGTCACTTTCGGAATTCACTCGGAAGCCGGCAAGCGAGGTAGCCGCACAGAGAGCAGTAGGGGCAGAAATACCCTACGAACCTTGTGCAAAATTCCGCTAGGCAGGAATATAGCCTTGTAGATGGTAAGGGGGAAGCCGAAAGAATAATGATGTTAGGGAAAACCGAGGGTCGAAGAGGTCGAAGGGGCGAGGGGAATGGGAGAATTATCAGATCGTTGCGCTTATCTGATCTTTTAGTCCGGGAGGAAAAGGAGCGGGTTGGTCCGGTTTCGGCGGGCATCCCTAACCCTATCCACTAGGAGTGGATGTCTCAGTCTTACAACTCCTCAGCCCTAAAACTACATATGGCATCACCATTAGCCATCTATTATTCTAGCTCTCCGAACTAACTCGCACAGCGGACTTAGTCGGCAGCGTCCTATCTACAAAAAATAGCCCTCATAGCAACCCCTTGACAACCCCTCGCTCCGATCTCCGCTCCATTACTGAAGAGGAATGACCCGCAGCCAATCATGACGATCAGGTTGGTCCCGAAATTCCTCCCCAATGGCGTTTCGTCCACGGCGAGAGGATGGATCGACGGCGCTGAGAAAATTTAAGTAGTCGGCAGACTTTAATTCCGGTGCTTATCAGATCGTTAGACTTACTCCTTTGGGCCAACGAGCGGATTATGATCCACTTCTTGCGGATCGATGATGCTAGAAGGTACAAATAGCGTCCTTGCAACCTTAGGAACTTCTGGGTCTTGGAATATCACTGTGCGTTTCTCATGGTGGATTGGCTTGGCCATTGCCACCCCTTCCCCACCTCCCAACAGATGATTTTTATCAATCAGTGGAGAAGTTAGCCTCTTCGGCTCGTCCTCACGCCGAATAACGGATCGAAATTTGCTCACACGGGCCGATTAGGAAATAGAAATGACGCCATTGTGTTGTAGGTGGTCTTGACTGTTTCTCGGTCATAGTTAGGGTTAAGCCTTGGCCGATTTCTTAGTCTGTGCCAGGGAGCTCTATTCTTTGGTGGCGATTTGAGTGGAGGAAGATTCGCTTAGTTTGGTGATCTCGTCGGTACCTACTTTGCGAGGTTGAGTCGGTGTGGCCACCTTCTTTCACGGGGCACCCGGCTGAAGCACTCGGCTGCTAGTAACGTAGCCTTAAGAAGTCTCTGTGAGGCTGGTTGAGCTACACCATGAAAAGTCCGTAGTTGAACCAGCCATTGATGGATGTATGCTGGACACCCCCCACACATCCTCTTCGACCACTGTTTCTGCGAGATAGGGCTCCCGTCATAGATGTGAAATCGCTCCACACTATTTATGTTCAGCAGTTAAGCAAATTTATATCTGTCTAACACCATGGCCACCTTTTTGTTGCACCACAGGAGGTATAGTCATTGCATTCGGTCTGAAGGCCTCCTGTCCTGCCCACTTCTAGCGCGAAGATATATATTTGCTTCTACAGCCCCTCTGAACCTACTACACATATTTTATGGGACCTGATCTTTCTGATTCCTACGTATACCATGTGGGGTAGTTTCTTTCTTCTTTTCTTTTCTTTTTTCTAATTTCCTCATTACCGTTATTAGGATCATGTATAGGTGACTCTAGACTGGCGTGTGATGACACGCCCGTTTCAGCAGTCCTTATCTTTGTCCTTATCGATAAGCCACCCAGCCTCCTCGGTTTCCCCTCACGACTGACCTTCAATCTGTTCTCTACACTAAACACACCCTAACTCACTTTCCCCGGCACCTACAACCATGACCAGAAAGCCCTCTCCGACCGTTGGCCTGGACCGGCCATGGGCTTCCCACCTGTCTGCCCAGCTGCCGGATCCCTTTGCACCTCCAGCTCCTCAGGCCTCGGCTCCGCCAACTCCTACCGGTGAGGTCCGCCCCGAGGACTACTCGAAACCGTACTGCGACTTCATGACCTCCAACCCGACGATCTTCCATGCTGTGAAGTCGTTCTCCAAGCAACTGGAACAACACGGCTACAAGTGTCTCTCCGAGCGCAAGGCCTGGAACTCGGAGCTGAAGCGAGGCGGCAAGTTCTACTGCAGCCGCAATGGCAGCTCGTTGATCGCGTTCAACATTGGCCAGGACTACCAGAGTGGCAACGGTATGGCCATTGTGGCTGGTCACGTTGATGCCCTGACAGCCAAGCTGAAGCCCGTCTCAAAGGTGCCCAACAAGGCAGGCTTTGAGCAGCTCGGTGTCGCCCCGTATGCCGGTGGCCTGGGCCCGACTTGGTGGGATCGTGACCTTGGTATTGGAGGCCGGGTTCTGGTTCGCGATCCGCAGTCTGGCAAGGTCGAGATCAAGCTGGTCAAGCTGGATTGGCCAATTGCTCGAATTCCTACGTTGGCACCTCATTTCGGGTCTGTCGCGAATGGACCATTCAATCAGGAGACACAGATGGTGCCTGTAATTGGTATTGATAACTCGGATCTGTTTCAGCACCAGGCACCGAACCCTCCTTTGAACATTAAACCAGGGTCCTTCGCTTCCACCCAGCCCGAAAAGCTGGTCAAGATAATCTCCCGGGAGATTGGAGTCACCGACTATAGCACAATTGTCAGCTGGGAGCTGGAGCTTTTCGATACCCAGCCTGCCCAGCTCGGTGGGTTGGAGAAAGACTTCATCTTTGCTGGCCGGATTGACGACAAGCTTTGCTGCTATGCTGCACAGGAGGCACTAATCGCATCCTCGGACAGCACATCCACCGGCACCGTCAAGATGGTTGGCATGTTTGACGACGAGGAGATTGGAAGCTTGTTGCGACAGGGAGCCCGGTCGAACTTCATGAGCAGCGTCATGGAGCGCATCACCGAGGCCTTTGCGACGGACACCTACGGTCCCAACCTTTTCTCTCAGACCGTGGCCAACAGCTTCCTGGTTTCATCCGATGTCATCCATGCGGTCAACCCCAATTTCCTTAACGTCTACCTGGAGAACCATGCCCCTCGTCTCAACGTTGGCGTGGCAGTTTCGGCCGACTCTGACGGCCACATGACGACGGACAGCGTCAGCTTTGCGATCATGAAGCGCGTCGCCGACCGCTGTGGCTCAAAGCTGCAGGTTTTCCAGATTCGTAACGATTCGCGCAGCGGCGGTACTATCGGACCTATGACCAGCGCTCGCATCGGTATGCGGGCTATTGACTGCGGTATCCCGCAGCTGAGCATGCACAGCATCCGTGCGACCACAGGGTCCCTCGATCCTGGGCTGGGAGTCAAGATGTTCAAGGGCTTTTTTGATCACTTTGAGGAGGTGGATAAAGAGTTTGCTGACTTTTAGAGCCTGTAAGTTTGGGCTAGACCTAGAACTTGTTGATTTTAGATTTCGTTTGTACGAGTCTCACATCGTGGCGGGCGGCCTAGCTTATCGATTTCTGGGTGTTTAGGGTCTGACAATAACGTGTTTGCAACTGTTCTATTTTATTTTTTTTTTTGACTATATCTAAACTTTCTTTCAAAGAATACAAGAGGCTAACACGCAAATGAACACAACATGAAAACAAAAAGAATGGACTTGCCGGTTTGAGCGCTTCGTCATCCTTCCAAAGAGCGTTGTAGTCCGGAGTGGAAACCCAACGCTGGATCTCGCTATGCTCTTTGAACACCGACAACGGCTTGACACAGATCCCTCATGGTAACATGGGCACAAAAGCGTAAGCAATCATTTATGAGGCGGAGACGACGAGTCCGATGCCGCAGAGTGGCCGTCGTCCTTCTGCTCATGAACGATAGACATCTTGGTGTCGCGCCTCTTCTCATCCTTGTACCAGCTGCTTCGGCCGTAGTTGTAGTTGCTGCTAGGCGTTAAAGTCAACAGCCTCTCCGGATCGCCGGCTCCATACTCCGGGTCCTCGGCGGGTGCACCTAGCGACAGATCCCCGTGCCACTGCCCGGAAATGTGCCGCGTTGACATACGATGGCTGTCGTAGGTCGGCTGACTGTCGTTGAAGCTAGTTGCCATGCGCGGGAACAGGCGGGCGAGAAGTGGCTTGAGGGTTGGGAGACAGGCACAGATGATCCCTGTGTTGCATTCGATGGCAGACCAAGACGCCGCGCCGACGTTGTCGTCTAGTGGTGATATACAGGTTAGCTATTGCTTTGGAAGCGGGTGCGGTAGACATACAGGTTGGATCCGAAGAATCGGCGATTTTCTTCAAGGCAGTCAAGCGAACAATACTGGTGATACAGACACTGATAGCCGACACTTGTTAGCTTTCATATATAAACGCTTGGGGTATATACCTACAAGCTACCCAGAGCAAACATAACCATGAGTGCAATCTTCTGTTTCCGCGGCAGGTCAATTGCCATCAGCGCAGGGATGGGAATCATCAAAATCGCAAAGTCGGTAGTGATATGCATGCTCGCATTAGAGAACCATAGACCAGGCTTGCTGAGACAAAATCCCGGGATGGAGTCATCCCAGAATTTAGCGACGGGAACGCAATTTAGGAACGCGCTGATCACGGCCCAGGTGCCGTAGATGGCTAGGATGGCGATCATGACCCAGCAAATAACTCGCATGCGGTGCGTGGGGAACACGCGAAGATACTGCATGAGGATGGAGGCTTTGGCGCAGAGAACAGCGGCGTTGTAGAAGGGGATGGTGAGCCAGAATGCCTTTGATTTTGATCAGAATTTAACTGTGATGGTTGGATCTATACTCACCTTCATTTGTCTTTCTAGGATGTTCGGTGGGATCAGTTTTATGTGCATACCCATGCCGCTGGTTGCTTCAACGATGTCCAAGCCCATGAAGATGAACGAGTTTGCCTGAGATTTGCTCGTTAGGTTTAATCTGCAAATCGAAGAGAACAGAATAACCTCACCAGAGCAATCACCACCATCCAGTCATTTTTCTCCATGCGTTTCATCAGACTTATACGAGTATATAGCCTCGCGGCGACGAAGCAGCTAGCTAACGTCGTGAAGATGACGCTCACAGCCATTTCCTGGGCACCTCGCGAGGACATATACGGCTGGCCATTGTCCCGCTGGAAGAGGCCATCGCGAAGCCCAAGTAGAGTCATATCAAGCACTAAACAAGAGCCAGTAGAAAAAAGTCTCTTCGAGTTCAAAATCGAGATCGATCAGGCGACACAATCTCGATCAGAGCCACGCGGCGAACGGAACAACCAATGCAGGATATAAAGATCGTGGTACAAATGAGTGAACGAAGAACAATGGACTAAGTGAAGGTGATAAAAGGAGAGGGCGGGCGGCCCTTTTCATTTCTTTTAATATGATTCCCATGCCCTGGCTCAGGCCCATAAGAAACGCAACTGGGAAACGGTCGGAGCGCAAATCCACAACAGTGCTGTCCAGCGAGGCAACATCTGCCTGTGAGGTCGATGATCTCCCCTGCATGCTTACCTTTCCCCCGGGCCGATGCTTACCCTGCAAGACAGAAACCCTGGTTGCGTTGTGGCGTTGCGCAAGGGGTTACGTCGGGGTACGCCGATTGGGATGGACGCGCTTGCTGGATGGCCCTATATTTCCTGCAGGACCCTTATGTTTATGTGAGAGTTGTGGCTGGTTCAAACGATACTATGGACAGACTATAACTTCAGAGGATTTGGAAGCATTGCGATTTGGAAGCAAAATTATTTATAAGAGAATCCCCCTTCTTTTCATGCGGTGCTCTAATACCGGATGACAAAAGCAATTGTATTCGGAACAATCTATTATTGATCAAGAAATTGACCGTTAGTACGGCATGAAATGATTTCGGACGATATTCTTGCTCCGAGGGGGTCGAACACGACGCATGGGAGGGAGAGAAGAAATGCATCAAGGGTCCGACGCAATTCCGCATCTCTGTACTCCGCACACGGTGCAATGCCATTCGACAGCTGAAAGTGACACCGAAGAAGCATTGGCAACAACTGGCTGGGCTCTAGAATGAGTGTGGCCGTTCGGGCCTATTTCCGCGGTGTCTCGCCATCTGTCAGATGAAATGATCTATTCTGTATGTTCCGGACCGTTCAAAAGGGGTTGAGACTATTGGTCAAGAGCTTGCGCAAGATGATGCCACCTCCTACGGGCTACCAGGACCGATGATCCTACAAGGATCTGTCATCATTATGCATCAGAAACCAATAGGCAATGCAGAGTCTATAGATCGGATGATCGACGCCGAATCCAGCTCGCTCGTTCTCATCCCCTCCCGCTGTTACCGCGGAGATTAGCAATTAGCGAACCTTCTCCAATTTGTCATTGTGCTGTAATTCCATTTGGCAATATCAATAATGATCGCCGAAGTTTCACCTGCTCGTGAGTTAGGGCTGGCTGTGTTTAAGCTCTTCGCACGGACATTTTGCAAGGGACTTTTGTTTCCACTTTGTTACCCACAGCGCTGGTCTCCGATCGCATCACATATTTAAGCTGATTTGTAAAAGCTTCGTGGAAGATCGTCCACCTGTGAGTTCCACTCTCCCATTGGGCCGGTATCCCTGCCGATAATCGCCTCCTTGCTAAGGGACCTGTACCCCACACCCCATACAAAACAATAGGGGGATCTACTTACCAGTCTGTGAGTTCGACGAGTCGGATTGGAGGACGAGCACGGAGTTCTAGATCCGGTCTTCCGCTAGGGCTAGACGAATACTCTAGACACTCATACATGGCCAGTAATGTTTGCGTCGAATCTATAACTTCACGACCAAAAATAATTGAATAATGGGAGGTATTGACTAAGAAAAATTAGAGGAGATCAAATAGCCACGATCGAGGGAGCCACCGACAACCCCAATGGATCTATCACATCAGCGACCACGATGGTTGATCGCCTGCACAGATTCTGAGAATCAAGACTTTCAGTCGTTCGGCCCAGAAATTTCAAACAATGCAGTGTAACTAGTCGTTCGTCACTGAGAGGCAGAGATGGTAGCCTCGAGCCACTTAGAGGTTTCCGAGAGAGTCTTGTGACCCTAGGGTATGCCTCCTAGAAAAGTTGCTCGCTGGGAAGAAGTGGTTCAGATGCAAATATGACTGCGCAGATAGACAGCCCTTTGTGTCGAACACCGCAGGATAGAAGCTCGTTTCGAACCTCGTGTTGATTGGTGCGACCATGCGCCTCCTGTATGACGGGAGCGTACCTGGCCGCAATTGCAATTCTAGGGACAAACAACATTTCAAGAGAAAATGGTTTCCTGGTCTCTGCCCCACTAATGTAGCTTGACGAAACCATCCTAGAAGGAGGTGAGGCTTTAATATGGCTAGGTAACAATCACAATTTCGAAGACACATTTTTTTTCGCTGAATCGCGTAGTCCTTGATTCTTCCAAGCCACTGCCGCACCTGCTTCAGAGACCCTTTCAAGACTAATAGACATGATTTCAATGATATTCCCCCAAAGGGTCTTGCGTATATATGCCACTTTGCCCGTCTAAGGCGTACCTGGCATAATCCATCCATCCGCCCACCTGCTTGCCTCCCGCAGCTTCGACCTTTTTTAATAGGTTTCGGGGTTTCGATCCATAATGCAAATACGAAAGAACCCTACACGTGTAAATTCAAAAGTTGAATGGCTGGTCTTGGGTTCCGGGTCAATAAATTGGAAAACCTCAAATCCCAACACCATTTCCACTAACAAGAACGGCAAACTTCAGTTCTTGCAGCGATTCTGGGTATGAAACAAAAATTGCCTTTAATGCTTCAGCGTGATATTGCCGATTAAAATGTCTGATTGATCCGACAAGCTCGAAGCCGAGGAATCGAGTATACCATGAGACAAGTCCTTCTAGGTCGGTGCAGGATATTGCGATATGATTTATGACATGGTTGGACGGTTTCTAAGCCTGTGAGCAGAACCCAAGAGCCCTTCGAATTGTGCACAGTGCGCCCGAGATTTGTGGCCGTCTATCCCCAACATAGAATCTACTGATGTTGATGATTTGATATTAATTTCACTGTGCTTATATCATTGTGAATTGGACAATCCTTGGGGTCTTGAGAAGGCCCAGTGCACTACTTCAGGAGTAGCATGTTAGTAGGTCAGCCCAGAATGCGTGCAGTACTTACTTGAAATAGATAGTTTAGTTCATGCCAATCATTTAAATCAGCACTAGCGATGCTATTCTATGTTAGTAGCTACATTGTTACCATAACATGACGGTACCGATCCGAAGGACTCGAATGAATACTTACTATTCGCCAAGACAAATTCAATGCTCGGAGCGACCGACATCTCTTTATCTCAGGTCAAAGATTCCGAAATTGCGGGGTTGATAGGATCTCCTAACTAGCCATCTTATCAATTTACACTACTATGGATAGAGATGAGAAAATATGTAAAATGCACTCTCTGCCCACGTCTGCGAGCAACAAAAGCCAAATCAAGCAGTCTGTCTTTCACAATTCTGATTCAAATATCTGTAGCCAGAAATATGTCGTTCAACGCCGACTCACTCTCGGCATCTGAGCCGGAACGCATTGAGCTGCCATGGTTTCGCCGCAAAAGGTGCATAGCTACAACAGTGGCCCTTGGAAGTTATCCGGAATGACGGTGCCCGTGAGCAGCTTAGGCTGCCGGAAGGTTTAGGATTGCAGCTATCTTTGCTATATATATTTTTCAAAGCAAACGGCGGTGACAACACGTCTTATACAAAGGGCTATCTTGATCAGATGCGAACGACATGGCAGTGTTGCTACACTGACTAGACTTTTATAAATTTTCAGTCTGATTATTACGCGGGTAGGCATCCGGGTTTCTCATTGTCCTGCGTGAACTTCCTCAATCTGCGTGACCACGCCAGTCCCAGTATCATATTTTAAACCCACAATCCATGTTCCCGGCTTCACAAGTGGCGAGGTCCTGAGCAAAGCCACGTCCTCCCGCAAACTCTCTTCGATCCTGCCTCGTGTTAGATGTCAAATTGTTATAGTGGAGACCCGAGGGAAAAGAAGGGAGGAATGGAAGCTTACGTCCCAACTATCTCACCGTATTTCATGGAGTTAATAGTATCTTTCTCTTTGGGAGCAATCTGTAGTAGGGCATCCTTTATATCCGCGTCGTGATAGTGTGTCATCCCGCAATCTAGAAAGTACATTAATTGTCAGTTCCCGTTCCCGAAGCTCGTCGATCTACAACCCTTCAGTCAACCTACCCGTGTGATGGACAACAAGGACTATCTTGGGATTTCCGATAGTTTGTAGGACAGAGATTGTCCTGATGGCGTCAAGTGCGCGGCCACCGGCATTTCGGACCATCGTGACGCCCTTAATGCTTGGGTCGACACCAAATATTTGATATGGATTCAAACGCGGGTCAGAACAGCTGAGGATGATAACGCCAGAGCCACTGTTTCGAACAGCCGCGGCCATAGTCATAAGATCTGGCGGGGCCTTGAAGTTCTGGGTGAACTTGCTATTTATCTCGTCAGTATTGGTGCTGGGGAAATTCACAAGTTTACAAAATCCTGTTACCTGTTCCGAGTAAGCAATTCCTTGAGAATATTGGACGCCATACTTTCGTCCTTCTCTTGTAGCTCAAATGTGGGAAATGGAGCCGTCAGCCTGATATGCCTGCAATATTTATAGCAAACACATGTTCTGTTGCCACTGATTCTCTTCAAGCTGCTGGCTCTTGGCACAATGACGTTATCGGGCATCTTGTCGCATTGCGTATTTCACGACTGCTCACTTTTACGACCTTGGTCATCCTACGCCACCTTTAATCCAGAGAACTTTCCTTATCAACGGGTTTATTAATGACTAGTCTACTGCCTCATTGCATGACCAGCATGTGGCCTAGGCTAGCCGGCGGGCTGCGGGGTGGGTGGGGCATCAACTCCGAGTAGCCCGGTTGCGGTGCTGCCGCCTTTCGGCCCACGTACATTCCTTGTAGCCTGCCTTTACCGCTTATCCTCGTCGTCATGTCGCTGCGTCTAGACTGTATTACAAATCCAAATCATAAAACTTACATTTTGATAGGCCATACTTACCATATGTTACTCTTAACTTGCCCGCGATAATCTGCCACTTCACTTCGACCTATCGCCACAACACCCACCAATCTGGCAGCAATTTTTCTCACATCGACTTCAAAGTGAAGAAATCTCCTACCAGGCGCCCATGGGTAATAAGCGAATTCTTGTCATCGGCGGTACCGGAGCGCAGGGACTCGCTGGTGTCAAAGGTCTAGTTGAAGCTGCGGATCCATTCGCCGTCCGGGTGCTCACGCGTAACCCCTAATTCAAGAGTTCGACAGACATTCAAGAATTTTTAAGGGGTCGTCCATGGATTTTGATGCAATTGAAAAGACGCTTCATGATTGCTTGAAATCAGCGTTGAATGTGCACTTTTTAGTCCGTCGAAATGAATTTCTGTATAGTAGCGATCGCCATTACCTTGCCGTACTGGAAACATAGAGAATAATCTTCAAACCTCTTGTAAAATGTGCATATTGGTTGTATTATCTCAATATTCTTGCGAGTTGCGACCCATTATTATGAATACAGGTCAAAGCCCAATGGATAAGTAGTACATATCAGGGTGGCAAGATAGTACAATCAAAATATGCGCTTCAATAACGGGCAAGCAAGCTGGAGGAAAGCTAGCAGACGATTGTGATTGTCGGAATATAAAATATAGTTGTGTACTGAGCCGGAACGCCGGACCGATGGCGGATTCACACGTAAGGGCCTCCGAGACGACTTTCTAGATCGGATGTGAACATAGTTTTTGTAATAAGTGTCTACCATCAATGTCGAAAGCGTCCCTTTCGTTATTGACAGGTAGAGATGATATTTACGGTGGTGGGTCCCACTTCTCCACAATCTCAATGTCTGCCACTCAGGGCCGGAGCTTATCAGCAGTTATTGGAAGCGGGGAAGGGCCCAATGGATAAGAATGGGGATCCTTTCCGCTATTCACGGTTGACAACACTTCTACCACAATCTTCAGCAACGCCTCTGGCCTCTACAAGAGACACTGTGTCCAACTACCTCAACCTGCAGTCTCTTGGCTTCTCGGGCTACTATCTGAGGCTTTTCTATTTAGTGAATCGGACCCGAGATCGTGGCCTAACAGGCGGCATTGCTTTTTACCTGGCATCTCCAAGGCGTGGATGATGTTAGTGCAAATGCATACTATTGGATTGGAATCGCATGCAGGATTGCATTTGGATTGGGAATGCATCGCACCGCGTCATACGGCACCAACGCCGCAGGAATGCCGATTCACGACCAGCGTATCTATAGGCGGGTTTGGTGGACTATATATCAGCTTGACGTTCTCGGCAGCCTGCACCATGGAAGACCGTTGAGTATCGACCCTGACGAGTGCGACCAATGGTCTTTATGCGCCGAGGACTTCATTGAATGCAACTCGCGAACGAATCCAAACATAGAGATAGATTTCTGTATACAGAATGCGGCTCTGTGCGAAATTATGGCTGTGATTACGAAAATGTCGTCGCCAGGTTCACTGCGTCGATTTCGCGAAAGGCCCGGGTCATTCCGAACGACACAAGCCAACCTCAATACCCGTTTGGTTACATGGTATCTTCAACTTCCGCCTAGACTCTCAGATATTCATGGAAAGAACACAACCTTTTGGGCACTCCTGCTGCTGGCACACTACAATCTTGCATTACTACACCTCCATAGACTTGGAAATCCTACGGCCAGCGACATAACTGAGCCATCACCATCACCATCACCAACCAAATCCAGCGACACATGCCACGTTTCAGCTCAGGCACTTATGGGAATATTCAATACGATGGTGACGAAAGACTCTATCGGGCAATGTTGGTTCACCTGCCAGACGATGCTATTGGCCACTGCACTTCAGACTAGCCTGGAAGCCAGGACTACAGCCCAAAATGGACCCGCAGTGCTAGCCATCCAGGCACAATCCCGCCTAGAACAATTACTGCCGATTGCAGAGAGCCTATCGCACTATTGGCCCAGTGCTGAGGCAGTTTGGCATCTGTATCAGGGGCTCTTGAAGCAACTCAAAAAACAAACGGAGGCTGCTTCGGGGCTCAACACTCCTGTATATCCAGCAGGCTCGAGTGCTGATAAAGTAGACCACTCAAGCTTGGTTACACAAGAAGCTTTTGATGATCGTACTCGAGATGCTTTAGAGAATAATTGGGCCGCGTTGTTTGGAGCAGGCTATGCAGACTCTTTTCTGGATTCCCAGCAAGATGACATTGATGGTCTGTTGCGCATGCCATTCGGATTTGGCGCCAATGAACAAATGGAAGGATCGGGTCATCTATAGCTCAAGAAAGTTTGCGAGTATTGTATATAGAAAACAGATGGGCTGGCTCAAATGGTCAACAATACCATGGAAAAGTATCCGAGTCTCGCAAGGTACAACGGTTTGGATCCGTATACAGAGGTGGAGCCTTCCCCCGCAAACTTACCTCTCGGGCCCGATGCTCAGCACCGCACTCGGGGCCTCCGAGTTATTCGGCTGCACCTTTTTCCCATCTAGGCTTACTGACACCTCAGCATGTACCACAGTGCTTTTCCGGGATTAGTGACACGTTTCTCCCTTGCTCTCGGTCCGTCGGACATCGAATATAGCATGACATAAATAGCGCCTCTTTCAACATGCTTTAATACGAACACCAATTCATACTTTGAACATCAAGCCCCGCAAAAGTCGATACCACCCTCTAAAAATGGCGCATACTACGAAACCGAGCTCGAACGTAATTTCTTTCGACCCGTACAAGACATTTGACCCGAAGCCCATGTGGGCCCATGCTACGTCTTCCAAAGGCCCTGGCCGAATAGTTTGCACAGCTGGGCAGGTTGGGGCGGATGAAAACAACATTGTACCTCCGAACATAGACGACGAAATTGCCTTGGCTTTCACCAATTTGCGCCGCTGTCTTGACGCTACTGGGGCTTTGGTGACCGATGTCCTCAAACTCGTGTACTACATTGTTGACTATGACCCTGATAACCGCCCACACTCGAAGCATCTTGCCAAATTCCTTGGTGGCCACCGTCCAACCACAACGCTGATTCCTGTTACAAAGCTTGCTCGGCCGGATTACCACTTCGAGATAGAGGCAACGGCTTCAGTCGAACAACTGCCTAGGCAAATGGCAGACGTTGTTATCGTCGGAGCCGGCTTAAGTGGACTTTCGGCGGCTCACGAAGTCCAAAAAGCGGGGATGTCGTGTGTCGTGGCTGAAGCGCGGGATCGCGTGGGTGGGAAAACATTGTCCATAGAACCACTGAATGATGGCCGGACAATTGATTTGGGCGCTGCTTGGATCAACGACACGAACCAGAAAGAGGTGTTCGCGCTTTCAAAGTCATTGGGCCTCGAACTCGTGCAACAGAATACATCAGGATCTGTTATACAAGAGGATATCGACGGCAGTGTGTCACAATTTCCATATGGCTCAGTACCAGAGGTGATGTTATTCCTTGCCAACTCAAACATTATGCTAAAGACCTTGTAGAAGCTATCAGAACCTAACGGAGTTGACAATATGGTCTTCATACGTGAGTTAGCGGATGAAGTCAGTAGAAGTCTTAACCTCTACGCTGTGAGAAAGGAACAAAAGGCTCCCGATCACCTTACGTTCGCCCAGTGGCTTCACGAAAAAGGCGCAACTCCAACCGCGATCGCTTCAGCCACAGTTTGGACGAGAGCAATGCTAGGACTGGAACCTCCCGAGATGAGTGCCCTATTCTTTCTTGACTATTGCCGACGTGGTGGTGGCTTGTCAACAATGCGATCCGATCGAAAAGACGGTGGCCAATATTTGAGGTTTGCCAAAGGTTTGCGAATTCTTATCTGTTGGAATGACCTATCCTGACTCCTTGTTTACCAGGCTCCCAGCAGCTATCCTTGGGTCTTGCAAAGTTGCTTCGGCCAGGATCGCTCATGTTAAAGTCCCCTGTTCAGAAAATTAAGCAAGCAGCAACTGGGGTTCTCGTTTCGACTGCACGTGGCGAGATTTTAGCCAAACGAGTCATTGTAACCGTTCCAACGCCACTTTATCACCTAATCGATTTCTACCCTGCGCTTCCCGAATCCAAGGTTGAACTCAGTCAAAAGAATCGACTTGGGTATACAAATAAAGTCATGCTACTGTACGACCGCCCGTGGTGGCGACATGCTGGCTTGTGTGGCCTCTTGCAGTCTTTCAAAGGACCAGTGACGGTCTCCAGAGATAGTAGTGTGGATGAAACGGGGCAGTTTTCCTTGACCTGTTTTACCGTGGGCCAACCCGGCCGTGAACTGTCCAAACTCCAGCAGCACGAGCGATACGAAAGAGTAAAGCAACACATCCGGAAGCTCTTCGGGGCCTATACGAGTGTGCCTGAGCCAATTAACGTATCCGAATATGAGTGGGGAATGGATCAATGGGCGCAAGGATGCCCTTGCCCAGCATCTCCTCCCGGACTATTGTCTAAACTTGACGAGGCAATGCGAGCAGCGCATGGGAAAATTCACTTTGCTGGCACCGAGACGGCGTACGAATGGAAGGGCTATATGGATGGCGCTATCTCGTCGGGTAAACGGGCGGCGCAGGAAACCATGGTGGCCTTGACCCAATCCAAACTTTAATACACTGGGGGAGGAAGACAAGAGACTTTGACTTAAGAACTACTTGATTTGAAAGCTTGAAAATCAAGGACAGTAATGGCCCATACATACCTGTAGTGACAGAGTTAGTCCCCGTTCTATACTTCGCCCGATAAGATAAGCCCGCACAGACCACCGATTGAGAAATTTCCATCCGCCTCATTGATCAACCCTCGACTCGACAGTCGACACGGTGTCTTTCCTTGGCTTCAATCGCCACTATTAGCGATTCTCCAGCAGAGGCAATGGCCGACTCTGCACCTACACCCACCAAGCCCGCCCACACTATCGTACTGGACGCCGGCCCCATCCTGAAAAATGCCCCGCCGCTCTCAACCCTGCTCGCTCAGTGCGAGGAACTCGTCACCACCCCCTCCGTGGTCAGCGAGATCCGTGACCCCGATGCTCGCAACCGTGTCGAAACGCTCTATCTGCCCTTCCTGAAACAGCGAACCCCCACCCCGAACAGCTTCAATGTCATCAGCGAATTCGCCCGCAAGACCGGTGACCGCGCGGTGCTGAGCCGAACCGATGTGGAAGTGCTGGCGCTGGCCTATGAGATCGAGTGCGAGCGTAACGGAGGTGACTGGCGGTTAAGAAGCGTTCCCGGCCAGAAGCGGGTCAATGGAAAACCGCCTGTCAAGGAGGAGGAGCAGCCGGAGGAGAAGGATGAAAGTGCAGTGGAGGCTATTACGGAGGGCGTGCAAGAGACCGCGATCGCAGACAACGAGGGAGATGCTCAAACGAATGAGGATTCTACATCGCACGAGAACGGCCGTGAGGCCGCACAGGACGATAATGATCCCGACGCGCAGGAGGAGGACGGCTCTGACTCGGATGGCGGCGAGTGGATTACACCCTCCAACTACAAGAAGAAACTGGCTCATGACGAGGCTGGCGGCGCGACATCTTCTGCATCGGAACCGAAGACCATGCAAGTTGTAACCATGACCACCGATTTCGCGGTAAGCAAGGTCTAGCATTGAAGTTTTGGGTCTCTACTAATCCTCTTTCCAGTGTCAAAACGTCCTTCTTCAGATGAACCTCAACCTCCTATCCACCACCACGCTCCAAAGAATCCAACACCTCAAATCCTTTATCAAGCGCTGCCACGCCTGTTTCTTGACCACCAAGGATATGAACAAGCAGTTCTGCCCCCGATGCGGCAAGGACACGCTCACCCGTGTCTCGTGCACTACGACCGCCAACGGCCAGTTCACAATGCACCTGAAAAAGAACATGCAATGGAACAACCGCGGCAACCGTTACAGCGTCCCCAAGCCCATTGCAGGTAACGCAAGCGGCAAATGGAAAGGCGGCGGCGGGAAGGGCGGCTGGGGCACGGAACTTGTCCTTGCCGAGGACCAGAAGGAGTACGTGCGGTCCAATGCAGAGGAGGAGCGGCGGCGTCGCCGTGAGCATGATCTCATGGACGAGGATTACCTGCCGGGTATCTTGACGGGCGAGCGCAACAAGCAGGCCGGCCGCGGCCGGGTTGGGGCTGGCCGGAACGTCAACTCGCGGAAACGCTGAGTCTATCTTTGCATTTTTTTTAAATGGCGTTTTGAGGGATGCAGAAAAGCCATTCTGTCATGAGCAATGACCATGTCTCTCGGTATGTTGGACCGGGCATTTGGATATACAGTTATAGAAGCACATATGAATGTGAAATGCGATCCAGTTTAGATCCATATATTCAAGACCTGCAGACCTCCCGACAGTGAGGAAGGTCGACTTAAGCAAAAAATCGAGCTATGAAACACCATTCGCCTGAACATCACCCTTTCCCATCCCATTTATCCAGTTCAGCTTTCATGGGGCAGCAACGCTGTTCTCTGTATTATCGATCTGTTAGTCTCCTCTTTCTGGCTCGAGGCAAAGAAGTATTTCGTACCGGGCTGCTGAGTGAGCAGGAGACCATAGCGCTTCTTGAGGGTGACACGGTGTCTGCGAGTCAAAGTTTTAGCATGTTTCCAGATCTCCAAGTGATTCATATCAACGCACCTCGAGTACTTGTCATCGGGAGAGAAGCGCGCCGGGTGGGCGGACTTGGTCACCTCGCCATTCAGGACCTTCTTGAGGGTGTACACCCGCTTGCCGTCGTTGTCGGTCACGTACTGTTGGTCGCGGTCAGTGCTGGTTTCTTCGGAGGTTGAGAAAGAGCGGAGTGATTGCAGTCATGGACCTACCATAAGATGCATTCTGCCGCAGAAAAAAGGTCAGCTCATGTCCACTACTATATTTCTCTTTAACAATACTCACTTGGCGGTGTTGGGGGTTGTTCTGCTGTGAAGTGAATGGAGCTGGTGTAGGTGGAATTTTTTTGAAGCCGAACGGGCGCTCGGACCACACGATGAGTCAGCAGGGCCATTTTTCTCGACTCAAATTTCGCTTCACATTTTCTTCCCCAACAGCAATTGTTTTGCACAGACTCACGATGCACTGAACCACACACTTTTTAGGTCCTGGAACCTCACAAGGCAGATTGATGACTTCTGCAATCATGTTCCTTTCTCTCTCCTCGTAACTTAACTGAAAAGACCTCAGGTGAGTCTACTGCAGTGATATTTATTCGTGCCTCCCTTCTTCTATGATGATGCAAAATACCAAGCTCAGGCAAATGGCACCTTGATTTCTAGCTGTTTGTCAATGACCTGCTTAATTGACTACAACGGTATCTGAGAAGAAACAGCACACTTAGCTTGAAATATTATTTCCTGAATGCTCTGCTAATACGGCATTCGCAGCACTAGCTATGACCACCCCGATCTCCCCTAAACAGGTGGCTACCTCACCGCTGGCTGGGCATGGAGGGCCAAAACCTCGCCCAGCCCGCCCTCCTAGACCCAACTACAGACATATCCATCGTTTTCCCCTTCCTCTAAACGTTCATCCTGTCCCTCCTCTCATCCCCCACAACCCTCTCTCCCTCATTAGTATTGCTCTCTCGTATCTTACCTTCCTTATCTCTCCTCCCCATCAGCATGTCTATACGGCCTATTTTGACACTGCCACTTCCTCTGTGCATGTCACAGACGAAGCCGCAATCAAAGCCCTGTGGCAGATGGGTTTCTTTGGCAAAGGTAATCTAAGCCGAAGTGAACCTAGCTGGCTAGAACGCGAAAAGAAAAGGAGAGGGTTGCTGGGCGGCCACACGAGTGAGGAGGCGACGAGGAAGCGAAGGACCGAGCGCCGTGAACTGAAGTTGGAGAGAGCGAGGATGGAGAAGCTGGCCATCCAGGAGAGGCTCGAGGCCGAGGCGGCAGCCCGGGAGGCAGACGGTGCTGCTGCTAACGGCACCACAACGCCTTCGCCTGCCACCAAGAAATTCTCTCTCAAGAACGCCAAGGAAACCAAATGGCTCGAGTCCCAACGAGCGGCACAGCAGAACGGAGATGCTACTGTCGACGCATCGAGGCCGAACTCCAATGGCAAAACCGTCCGATTTGCTCCCGTCGTCCAGGAAAAACAATTTACTTCCAACTCGCCCACTTCCCTCCCTCTCTCGGAATCCATCCTGGACGCGGACGCCAATGAAGCAGATGAAGAAGAACCCACGCTCCAAAACGAGGAACATCTCCAGCTCTCCAACGAAGAGACATTTTTCCTTGTATACGGACTGGGTGCTTTACGCGTCGTGGACGACGAACACAACACTGAAATCCCTACATCGTCTCTCTTCCCACTCCTATGCCACCACTCCTACTATCCTCCTCGAACACCGTCATCAATCCTGCAGCCCGACGACCCGTTCATTGTATCATATGTCGTGTACCACCATTTCCGCTCCCTCGGCTGGGTCGTGCGCTCTGGCGTCAAGTTCGGAGCAGACTACATGCTCTACAACCGCGGGCCTGTCTTCTCACACGCCGAGTTTGCCGTTGTCATCATCCCCTCCTACGATCACGCTTACTGGTCTGAGACGGAAGAACGCCGAGAGTATATTGCTCGCAAGCGGACTCGCAGTTGGTGGTGGCTGCACTGTGTGAACCGAGTCCAGGCTCAAGTTTTCAAGAGCCTGGTCGTCTGCTACGTCGAGGTACCGCCTCCTTCTGCTTCGCCGGGCAGCGACATCGGGGCCACGCTGAGTCGCTACCGGGTGAAGGACTTTAGCATCAAACGATGGGTACCTAACCGCTCTCGGGATTGAAGCTTTGGACTGGCTTCTTTCTGTGTTTTTGTCAAACTTGCATTGCGCATCATGGGCCTTTTTTATCTTGCATTGGGGGATATGTGTATGACTATAGCATAATGACCGTAATGAAAACAATTCTCTGCAGAGATCAGAATTAGCCTCCAGCTTCACTGATTTTGTCACAGTTGAATGTAGATTCAGGAAAGTCGGAAGATTCGGGTAATTTAGTCAACAATGACCCGAATCTTCCAGCTTTTCCTAGGATTTGTGCTACGTCAGTCGCTCGTTGAAGATACCCATAGGTATTTACTAGAAAGCTTGTTATGGTCTTCATCTCTCCTATGCATAAGATCAAGAATGGTTACGAACCGGAGAATTGACGTCCTGTGGAGTCAATTGAGGAGAGAATAACTACTAATATCGGCAGTTTCCAACTGCGGGGAAGCCTCTAAAGCATCCGGGTATAGTTTTAAATGGAGGCATCCTCGTATCCTCCCCTCATTCAAGGCCTTATCAAGGCAGCTTCTCGAAAAATGGCACCTTTCCTTCATCTAGCCCTCTTAGCCACAATCGCAAGCCTTATTTCTCCAGGCCGTGCATGCACCACCGACGAACAATGCTCTCTCAACGGTGTCTGTACCAACCACGCCTGTATCTGTGATCCCGGCTGGGTAGGATCCGACTGCGGTAGACTCGACGTCCAGCCCGGGCCACGCGCGAATGGGTACAATCTCACCAGCGAGGGAACATCGTCATGGTGCAATGGCATCATCCGTGATCCAGAGGACAAGAATCTTCACCATCTGTTCGTGTCCGAGTTCACGCATGACTGCGGACTGGACTACTGGTCTCCATACAGCCGCATCATTCGTGCCGAGTCCACCACCGGCCCCATTGGTCCTTACACATTCAAGCAAGAGATTGTGCCTCGATTCGCGCATAATCCAACCGTGGTCTGGAGTGAAGCAGAGCAGAAATACCTGCTTTTCAACATCGGCTGTCCTACCCATGTTCCATCAGGCTGCCAGAGCATGAATTTCACTTGTGGACCTGGCAATCATCTCAATGGCGAGAGCGGTATTAGCGCTTGGTCGTCCGGCAATCTACGGGACTGGGAACCGCATGGTCAGGTTCTCCGCGGGTTAAACAGCAAGGCCTGGGACGCAGATACCACGAATCCTGCGCCGATAAATTACCCGACCGGATCTGATCACTCCGATGCATTTATCCTGGCATATCGTGGCTGCGAGGATAACTGCTACAGCACTGAACTCATCAATATCGCCACAGGACCCGAATACAACGGACCCTATAGCCGTTTGCACCCACACAGACCTATTTTCTCAGAACCGAGTGAAGACCCATTCATCTGGACGGACAAGCGCGGCAACTTCCACATGCTGGTCCACTCCCTGCTCCCCGATGCCGGGTTTGGAAGTGGCCCTAATGTGGGACGGCATGCGTATTCAAGGAAGTGGAATGGGCCGTGGACGTTCAATAGACAGACCGTTGCATTTAATACGACAGTTGATTTCGATGATGGCTCGACTATTGACTATTACCGACGAGAGCGGCCGAATATCTTTTTCAGTGAGGATGGCAGCATGACCCCCTTGTTTTTGTCCACTGGTGTGCAGGAGGTCAATTCGTCGGCAAGCTACTCGTTGATTCAGCCCATTGGGCGCTAATAGTCAGTCTGGTCGTGGCAGATAAATACCTAGAGATGTGTCGAAGAGATTAGGGTTAGACATAGTGTCCATACAGACTACCTATTTGAGAAAAATTTTTTTTTCTCACCCAAAGCTTGCCAAAGAAAGGGTTCAGCAAGCATGTGCTTTTTTACCTCTTTCTCAACTCTATATACTGTTCTTTCTACGCTATACCTAATCAGGCAACATTGAGACGCGATCACGTGCCTATTTTCGTGTTTCGTGTCGCGCGCCCGTCTGCTCTGTCGCCGTCCCACTACGTGCCATCGTGCCAACTCCAGGAGAGTGCAAAATCAAACCACCTGTACGACACGGCTCAGCAACCCGAGAAATGTCCCATCCATGATTTACTCCGTCTATGCCGCGTGATTTGGCGATGGAAACCCAGGACAGCCTCGATATCTCGTGGTTGCAACGCGTCGCGCTAGGCCTAGTAAGTTACGAGCCTGCAGGTTTTCATTGGACTGACATTTTGACCTCCGTAGGAGCAGGACCCATCCCAGCCGCGCCTCGTAGCGCCTGCACTACCCGAGAATATTCCCCAGACCACTCCTCGTCGTTCATTCCAGGAGGCCCGCCACTTTTCTGATGGTGACGCATTGTCCACCACTCCAGGGTTGCCCTCCAACTTCTTACCCGACCACATCCACCCTTCAGTCTCTGGACTGCACCGGCATGACGCAAGCCTAATGGTCCCTCCCAACGTTGGCGGCCGGCACGAAGCAGGCTCCGAATCACAAGCCAAAATGAGCAGCGGCGAGACTGCCCCTGGAGACACTCAGGTGGTCTCGCAGTCCGTCTTTGACAGCATAATTCAGAACAATACCTCCTCCGTACATTCGCACTTTTCGCAGGCGGGTGCGGGTGGTGACACGATGATGACCTTGCACAAGGGAGAGAGTGGCCATATCGACCTCCTGTCCCAGTTTGAGTCGGCACCCAATCCGACCCATCTTTCACAGGATCACGACGACCACAGCAGTTCTGCCCCGAGCCAGTCTTCTCCGCTCGCCTACCAGCCCGATCTCTTTCCGGAATCCCAGCGCTTCTTGACAACGCCCGGGACGACAACGAAGATCCCCACAAAGGGTGCGCCAATAGAAACACCAAGCCTACCACGCAATAATCCGCTAGCCGGTGATATCCAGTCAAGCGGCGGTCTCTTAGGTCTGAGTCAACTGTTCAAAGCCACCCAAGCCCCGTCATCTCCACTAGTCCATGGTCAACAACCGGAGCTCGCGTCGGATCGTCCGTCGCCCAACATCCCAATTCATCAGCCTCGCCTCGCCGCGGGAATCTCATCGCCCTCGAGAGGCTTGCCGGTTGATTTCATGAGAGAGTCTTCAGAGCCGAATCTCAACTACATTTCCATGAAAGAGTCCCAGACAAATCGAGAGAGGGTCCACAGCGAGCGAATGACCCGATCAGCCGATGATATGCCCTCGGAAGACCACAGCGACATCGAGTTCTTCAAAGAGTCTAGCTTTGTGGAACGTGCACGCCGTCAACGGAGAATTGAGGAGGAAGCTGCTGCACAATTTGCCGGCCTGACTGCGCCTGCCAGGACCTCCCCGACTATGCCCCTTCCGCATTCCGATCTGACTCATTCTGGTTCGCCTGAACACTCCGTGCAGGAGCCGCAGGATGTCGACATGATGCTGCAGACTGGCGTCAGTGAAGAGGAAACAGAACACGAAGATGTGGATCAGCAAGTCCCCCGGTCACAGGAGTATCCTCATTCTTCAACTGAGGAGGACAAGGAAAACTACAACGGTCCTCCCGTCTCCGTCGCCGCAACTTCTAGTGCACATGACCGGCTTTCGCAGGTCCTGCATGGGACACAAGATCCGTTCGACGCTCACGACGATGGACCATTTGAAATGATCAACCCGCCATCACAAATCATGGTCATGGACTCCCAGCTATCACCGCAACCCTCGCCAGACCGGATAGCCCACGAGGGTGATGAGGAAATGCCCGATGCGCAGCCACAACCTGGCCGTGAAGTAGAAATCGGCCCTTCTTCAGATATTCATAAAATTTCGCCTGTTCGACGCTCTGTACGATCTTCGCCTCCTTACTCACAGCGTGAAGGAGAACCATCTCGAGGGCACACTCCCTCACAGTCACATGGCTCAGCTGTATCAACGGGGCACTCGCCCAACGTGCCGGTGCCGGCCACCCACGATCCGTCTTCTTACGAAAGCAGACAAGTGTACTCCAGCAATCCGAAGAGCAACGGGAGCAAACAGTCTTCTATGCCGTCCCGAGTGATCGAAACGCCTGTTCATCTCCCCCGAAATCTTCGCGCGACTTGGCCCGCTTGACAAGCATTCCCGAAACCAGTCCCAGCCACTCCCAAAATCATGAATGGGAAGAGGGCTCTAACGGCGATGGAATGAATGTTGAGGATGATGACCTTCCTCCTATGTTCCCTGTCAGCGAGCACGTTCGAAGCATCCAGCCTCGACCATCTGGAACCAGAACGCGGTCTTCACCCTTGAAGAAATCTCCTCTGAAAAGCATCATTCTGTCCAGTCCCAGTGGAAGGCAACGGAGAAGACTGACAGAGATAGCCAGTGATGCTTCCCCTCAAGTTGGGCCTGGATTTTTCGACATGGGCATTGGAATCTTCACAAATGAGGATCAAGAATTTCGTGATTTAATCGAAAGCTCTCCAACTCAGCCTAGGAAAAAGCGCCGTGGCAACAACGGCCAGGCCTATCATGAACCTGAGCCTGTTATCCCCGTCACCCCTCGCCTTGTACCTCCTAAGACTGTCACGCCCCTTCGGCGACAATCTACACAAGAGCCTGAAACCGAGGAACCAATCCACATACCCGAGACTACTGTTCGTAGGCAACCAAAGCCACGGCCTCAGCGATCCGAAAATGTCTGGGAAGTCGAGTCTCCGCAACAATTCATTCGCCGACGGGCTAGAGGCAAACCCTTGTCTGCACCACGTCCATTACAAGAAAAACAACCCCCAGCACAGAAACCTGCAGCGTCAACGCCTGTGCGGCCCGCTCTTCCTCCTGACCCTCAATTCTCTGTATTATCTGAACTCACGGAACTGGATTCGGATGAGATGGCTGAAGTAGAGCGCTCTGTCATGAGTCGGGTTCCTCGTACACCGAGAGGCAGGAGACTTTTCTTCGATGCCACTCCAGTTGCTCCTCGCCAAATTCTGGCACCGTGGAGTGGCCTACAACGGGCATACTACCCTGCAGTCTGTCTTGGTACACCTCTGGGTGTCTCACAAGACAAATATCTGGTCAAATTTGAGGATAGTGATCCTGTTGAGGTTCCCAAGGGTGCTGTGAAACGATTTGATCTTCGCGAGGGAGATGCCGTCAAAGTCGACCTGCCTAACATTCCAAAGGTCACTCACATAATCCGTGGGTTCGATCACAAGCTCACCAAAGAGGAAATTCTCGAAGCGCCGGCCGACTTCCCGCCTCTAACCGATATTCATGGACATTCCACTGTTATACTCGGGCCCAAACAGCGCAAGAGTCTTCCCGGCGGAGGCCTAAACAGCACTGAGAACGTGATCAAGGTGCCCATTTCACGGATTTATTTTGATATGATTCTATGGAACAACCTCAAGGATCGAGCATTCACATATCAGCCAGAGATCGTCCCGCAAGAAAACAAGCCCACTACGCCCTCGGAGAAGAGAACCTCGGCCGGTCCTTCCCCAAACAGCCGATTTTCACGCAGCTCTCATTACTCCAGCGGTATCTTTGCCGGGATGGCGTTTGCCGTCTCTTACAAGGAGGACGAGAGTACCAAGAACCACGTCACCAAGTTGATCCTGGACAATGGCGGAATTCTTCTGCATGAGGGATTCACAGAATTGTTCGAAACTTCGTCCATTACTGCCCCTGCTACTCCGACCAAAGCGTCAGCGAGAGATGCAGAAACCCGCAGTGGTGGACTACGTCTTACCGCCAGTGCCCAGGAGGTAGGATTCGCCTGTTTAATTGCCGATACACACTCCCGTCGTGAAAAGTACATGCAGGCACTGGCATTGAACCTTCCCTGTCTTTCAGGGCGCTGGGTCCAAGACTGCGTTGCCAAAGGGCGCGTCCTCGATTGGGATATCTACCTTCTCCCTGCTGGAGAGTCCATGTACCTCAACGGAGTCACCAAATCACGAATTCTGATCCCGACACCACCAGACACTGCCTGTCTATCTGAGACGATAGCATCACGACCCAGACTCCTCGATGGTCACTCCGTCATTCTGGTCATGGGCCGAGGCAAGGCGGAAGAAAAAAGGAGAGCGTACATCTTTCTCACATTTGCCCTGGGTGCCTCCCGCGTTGAACGCGTCCCGGATCTGGACACCGCCAGAGCTATGCTTGAATCTCAGGCCGAGGCAGGCATACCTTCCACCTGGGACTGGATCTATGTCGATGACGCCGACCAGGCCGCTGCAAAGACCATGCTCGCGGCGCCCAAGTCCAGGACGAGGAATCTGCGAATCGTCCATGGAAGTGGGGGGCGGAAACGGAGGAAGTCGGAAGTGCTCGCTGTTGCAGCGGACGGTGATGCTTTGTGCAATGCTAAAGTGGTTGGCAATGAGTTCGTCTGCCAGAGTTTGATTTTGGGTCGGTTGTTTGATGAATGATATTCTCATGTTAGGTTAGATGTTGATACCTTGATACCACAATCCACATAGTCTCTTTTCTTCTTTTACTTCCCTCCCATAACATCAAGACATTGCAATGCTTTCGTAAGTTTCAATATGATTGTGAAACGATGAGAATGCTCTTTATAATACAAAAGGAAGACTGGATATAGATCCTCATATCGCTACAGTACTCGAGACTCCGAGGCAAAAACAGAACCGCCCACACCCTTATTTGGCCTTCTTGCCCGCCTTCTTCTTGCCCTTCAAGCTCTTCATCTGGGCCGCCCGCTCCGCACGAGCCTTTCTCTTCCTCCACGCCAGCCACCGGTTGTTGCGGTCATACGGCACGGCCTCAATTCCCGCCTTCTCCGCCGCACGACCAATCTGCCAATTCGCCTCACGGTACATGTAACCGGGGCGCAGCTGCGGACCCTCGCCCGCGTTCACGGCCTGCACGCTCGTGATGCGCGTTCCAACCGTCTCATCGATGGTGGCCTCCAGATCCGACTGCCCAGCGACACTGTCCCGTCGAGCCGGCACAGCAACCATATTCAGCTTGCGGCGGGTAGGCAGGTGGCGCGGGTGAGGCAGTTTCTCGTCCTTCTCAAACACAACCCCGATATACCTGCGGTCCGGATGCAATTGCGGATCGCGGTAGTACCGCACATAGCCGGCGTGCTTGGCGAAGATGGTATGGTCTCGGCCGACGCCGCAGTTCTCGCCGGGGAACCATTTCGTCCCGCGTTGTCGGAAGATGATGCATCCCGGCACGACGTACTCGCCGCCCGTGCGCTTCGCGCCGAGGCGCTTGCCTGCTGGATCGCGCGAGTGTTTGTTGGAGGCTCCCTGTGCGGCGTGCGAGGCATATCGCACTTGGGAGAGAGGGAAAAGGGATGTTGCCCGGGGGAAGGAAGGTATCGTTTTGGGGAGGATAGATGGGCCGGACAGCGTGCGGAGGAGTGGTTGGCGGGTTAGGGGCTGCCTGGAGAGGGCTGCAGGGCCAATTGTCCTTTCCAGCGCCCGGAGAGGCGCCAGCAGTCGGGGCTGCAACATGGTTTTGTGGTGGTGGTTGTTGTTAGTCGAATCCAATCCAGTGATGATGCTCAAGGGGAACTTTTTCGCTCCGGCTTGGCACGGAGCCGGGGTCACGTGGGCGGTCCTACTGTTAGCTAGCTGGCTTCATTTCATCATCAACAAACACCAGGGTTCCATTCTCTTCTGAGAAGGGTCACGATAGTCTTTCGCTATGATTCCAAACTGGCATAAAGCCCTCTGGGCATTGTTCCTCCTAGCCTCCGTGGCCCACGCCCAATTCAACTTCTTCGAGCAAATGTTCGGCGGCAACCAAGGCCAAGAGCGCCAGCAACAGAACCAGAACGCCCCCAGCGACAGCAGTCGATACCAGAAGGCGTGGGATGGATGTGAGTACACTTTCTGTTACAAGGGAATAAGGATATATTGCTAACCACTGCTGTCCTTCCCGCTCCACAGCAAAATGCAGCAACTACCTCTGCCCCGGAACTCTTGCCTGCGTACATGTCCCACACCACTGCCCGTGCCCGCACCCCGATGTGGAAGAGAAAGTAGAGCTGGGTGAGGGGAGCGCCATTTGCGTGTCCAGGGGTGGCTTTAAGGATGGGGAGGCGACGCGGAAGATCGAATTGGCTCGCAAGGGAGCTCTGTGAGAGTTTCGTGTGCGCCTGCTGCAGGGATTGAGTGTATATACCTGTGGGACAATATTATATATGTGTCCAGGGCTTTGGAGGGCAATGCCTTTGGCTTTTAAGTCGCCATTCGTCTGAAATCCGCAGGATCCACCACTTGGGTCTCGACTTCGTATGGAAGCTCTGCAAACCCGACTAGAAAATAAATTCTAGAAAATTGTCTCGCAGTACTTTTGTTGATATTTACTATCAGTCAATAGAATAGTGAATTGTTGTATGTTAGGCAGTACGATATGGACGCTTCTAGACATGGCGTTATCGGCGATAAACCCAGCTTCGTCATCGCAATCGCCGCCTTCAACCGTTCGCATTTCTTCCCTGTTCACCACCTTCAACGAATCCTCGGTCTTTCAATCAAATCGACCAGATCCTATCATGTGGGCTGCAAGGCCCCGGCCACCCTCTGCGCGATGGCCAACTTCCACTCGAGCTCTCTCGAGCATTCGCGGGCGCGGCGTACGGCGCGGTCCTCGCAACAGCATCACCCGCCCAGAACCCATTCCACCAGCTCGAAGAGAAGCAGAGACACCGTCCCAGTCAGAATCTGCAAGTCCCCAACCGCAAGATGCCGAAAATCCTCACTACAATCCCTCGCAAAACACACTCCTCTCACCTGTGCATCTACCAGAAGACCCCAACGGCGTGCTCAAGTCGGCTCACCCAGCCACGAATATCCTGGCGAACTCGGGGCTTGTCATCCAGCGACAGTTGGAGATGATGAATGTTATGATGTGAGTGCTCGCGCTTTTACCGGATTCGGCGTTGACTGATCGAATATGCGAACAGTGGTTTCGAGCAAGCGAACAAATATGTTATCATGGATGCGCAAGGAAATCACGTCGGGTACATGGCGGAACAAGAAAAGGGCATGGGAAATGTGATGGCGCGCCAATGGTTCCGAACACATCGGAGTTTCGTGACGCATGTGTTTGATCGGCATGAGAACGAGGTCCTCCGGGTAGGTGGAATGATTCCCCAAGTCATATTTCAATAGCTGACCCCTACAGTTCCACCGTCCATTCTCTTGGATCAACTCGCGAATCCGAGTCTACGATCCTGTGGATGTCACTCCAAGCGCACACTCATCCTCCACCGCTCTACGGGGTGTCTCTCCAGGCTCACTCGTTCAAGCTGGCGTGTCATCAAACGCCCAAGTATCGCCACTCAATTTTGACGAAATGCGAATCATCGGTGAAGCACAGCAGCAGTGGGCTCCCCTGCGACGAAAATACAACCTCTTTACATATCACCCATCCCCAAATCCGGCGACGGACATGGGCACCCAACGTTTCCCACTATCCGAGTCTGATTTGTCCCAAACGCAGCAGATGCAACTCGCCCAGACATCAGCCCAAAACGAGGGCGCATACAATCAGTTCGCCTATGTCGACGAACCTTTTCTCTCTTGGGACTTTTCGCTTCTATCCGCCGAGAACCGGCTGATTGGATCGGTGAACCGCAATTTTGCAGGGTTCGCGCGCGAGTTCTTCACGGATACTGGGGTTTATGCGTTACGCATGGATTCAGCAGGGCTGAGAGACGACCAATTGGCGCCCAGCCAGGGAACCTCGGAGGCTGGAATGACTCTAGACCAGCGCGCGGTGATGCTGGCCACGGCCGTGAGTGTCGACTTTGACTACTTCAGTCGCCATAGCGGCGCGGGCGGTGTTGGGTTTATGCCGCTCTGGTTCCCCGGTGTCGGGGGCGAGGCGGCCGCAGGTGGTGGTGCTGCTGCTGGAGGTGCCGCGGCCGGCGAAGCTGGAGCAGTTGGTGCTGGTGAAGCAGCCGCTGGGACTCTCGGTCGAGCCGGTGCTGCGGGTGGTATGGCAGATGGCGCGGCCGCGGGGGCTGCTGGCGCCGGGGCGATGGCTGGGTATGAAGCCATGCAACGGGGTGTGTCCGGAGATCAGAGTGCGCAGGCATCGTCACCTGAACAACCTGGGGTGCCTCCAGCGGACCATCCAGAACCCGGGCAGCCGGGATTCTACGAAGATGTGTGGCCGGAGGAACGACAGGAAGATCCGTGGGGCCGCGACGAGGAAGATCCGTGGGGTGGTGATGAATCCGGGGGAGACGGAGGCGATGACTTTGACTGGTTTTGATCATATAGATGTGTACAGTAGAGGGTGATAAACCTACGCCCAAATCACAATCATTCAGTTTGTAACATATTCTGAAAATTATCCTCATTTAATTCCTTTCAACTCAACCTCGCCCTGTCCAGCGCTCCAATCTCTGATTGTCCCACCTCCCCCTTATCAATCGCCCCTCCGGAATTCCTCCGTTGCCACACCCCAAGCCACCTCCAACTTTTTCACCCACCACACTCAATTCACCACTCACCACTCACCCTAACCTAACGTCTCCTCTATCCTGTTCCTCCTATCCCCCTCCCCGCAATCCCTCCAAAATGGCCTCCTCCGTCGCCCAAAAGCGTCTCTTCCACGAATACAAAAACCTCTCCACCAACCCACCAGAGGGCATCACCGCCGGCCCGGTCTCGGAAGACGACATGTTCTACTGGGAAGCCTTGATTCAAGGACCCGAGGGCACCCCGTTCGAGGGCGGCGTTTTCGCCGCGGAACTCAAGTTCCCCAAGGACTATCCGCTCAGTCCGCCGACGATGAAGTTCGTCGGTGGTGGGGTGTGGCATCCGAATGGTAAGCCGTTATTTCCTTTCCTCGTCCCTCCATCTTATCCTCCATTGAAGGTTAGAATGATACTAATGATCTCTCTGGTATAGTCTACCCCAACGGCACGGTCTGCATCTCCATCCTCCACCCACCGGGCGATGACCCGAACCACTACGAACACGCCTCGGAGCGCTGGTCGCCCATTCAAAGCGTGGAGAAGATCCTCATATCGGTGATGAGCATGCTCGCTGAGCCGAACGACGAGAGTCCCGCGAATGTGGAGGCGGCGAAGATGTGGCGCGAGCGGAGACCCGAGTATGAGAAGAAGGTACGCGATGAGGTGCGCAGGGGATTGGGTTTGTGAGTGAGAAGGAGACGCCGGTTGGTGGTGGCCGTCATGGGGTGGGTTGCTTTTATATTCTTTTTCGTTTCTTGCATGGCTCTCTGTTCTTTTCTCTGGCTGGTGATGGGTGATGCTCTTGCTTGAGATGGTGTACGGCTTATTTACTTGGCATTTCTAGCAGTGGCAACGAGCAATCTTAACTTTTCATTGATACTTCCCTATTTATATCCCAGGGGTATTCTAGATACCGGGTTAGTCCTCAGTGTACCTGTCGACTCATCTCCTGGTCAATCCACCCCTCCAGACCCTTCTCCTGCTCATACAGGACTTCAATCTCCGCCTTGATATTCAACATCAGCATGCGCTGCAATTCTGCTCGCCACCTCAACTCGGGCCCATTGTGTGCCAGCACGGGACTGTTCCACAGCATGGCAACGGTCTTCTTGCGATCCCGAGCTGTCAATGAGAGCAAAGCCCCATCTTCCACCGAGTCTACTCCGGCGCTTGCATCTGTCACTCGCAGACCGAGCCATTGCAGGCTCGGGATATTCAGTCGAGAATTGTTGTGTGCGTGTGCCGCAGAGCCGTATTTGTATGTCGACATGATTGCCACGCCGTCTGGGTCTCCGTCGACAAGCGCATAGAATGGAATATTGGGTGCGGCGGCGTCGGAGAGTCGACGGAGGAATTTCCGTGTGCATAAGTCGGGATAGCCTTTACCCTGGGTTCAGTCGTCAGTTTGAGTAATGCTTAGGGATGCTGGGCTTACCGTCACCAAAATACCCTCTCCCGATGCCGCATTCAAGTGATAGGAGCTTCGAGCGAGTCGCTGGAAGACTGCCTATCAAACCGGTCAACATTTGGTTCACGGTGGTCATAGGGAGAACGGCACACACTTCTTTCTCCACCACCAATACCCATCGAACACCCGTGATATCAATCTCGTCCACATCCTCTATCCGAGGAATCAGTGTTTCCTGGGTGAGTGAGCCTAGCAGTCACCATTGAACTCCGGGAAATGAGTCCCAACCATGGAGGACGTCCGAGCATACACGACTTCACTCGATGCATGCTTCTTCAGGCGAAAACAGCCCACCGTCAAACCCTTTGCGGCAGCTTCCTAAGACTCCGGTTCAGTTTGGCAGTTGAATTTGGAGAACGAGAGAGATCTCACCACATGCAATGCGTCCCTATCCACGCCAATCGTATACGCCAGGTCGTCAATCACCCCGTCGACTATCGTCTGAGAACGGAAATATTCCGGATCGATATAGTATATGTCCCTGGGCCAACACCAGCACTCAGCACGCACACACATGTATATCAGGAAAAAGAGAACGTTACCTTTTGGAAATCATCTTGCCCGTGCGCATAGCTTGCTCGATGATGGAAAGCACTCGGATGACGACCGCTAAGTACGGCGCATCAGTGATCAAGTTTTATATCTTCCGTCTGGAGTCCCTTACTGAATCTCCATGCCTCGTACGCCGTTCGCCCGGGCCAGGAATATGACCTCCGTACCTGGGCGCCGGCGGTCTCCTCAAGCGCTCGATTGCTCGGATTGATGGTGCATGATGCTGGGCTAGGTCTGCGTTTCAGCGAGATGGCCGGGCGACTGTCGGCTGGAGGGAGGGATAGTTGATGGAGCAAGCCTGTGAGAGTGGTGTCGATGTATTCTCGGACCGAGGCCTCTGGGGAATGGCTGGTGAGATGAGGGTCCATTGGCTGGTGTGGTGGTGATGGAAGATGCGAAGAGGGCGAGGGCAACGTGACCTGGCATCCTTCCACTCTATACCTATACTGTCCGTATGCTGTGCGATACACCATGGAAGACAGTATTATCGGCATCTATAAATAAATACATTGATCTAGATCTAAAAATATATGAACCATGTCGTTATCTGATCGGAATGCGTGGTTGGTGCTACATTGTCCATAGCTAAGACCTACCATACCCTCTTCCTCTACCTTTCTCTGCCGCACTTTTCTTCCATTCCCTTGTTCCTCACCATCCATCCCCAAATCCATTCACTCCCAGCCGTGTGATCGAATCCATCGCGTACTTGGTTGTACACGGCAGTCTTGATACTGCTGACTCAGCACCTTCCCCGGGGTCTTCCCTTGTAAACAGCGCGTCCCCTGCACTTCCCTCAGAAGCAACCATGGCGTTTCAAATTGGACCGTGGAGAACCGACGCCCAAGGCCATCTGACCGCAGATGAAAACGGCGACTCCAAGACCGATTATTCTCGCTGGCGTCTGGTCAATGAGGAAGGCCGCCAGACATGGCGCTATCTGGAGTCCGATGAGGAACATGAAGATTGGCCGCAGTCTATAGCCGACAAGTACCACCTGGGCATGCCAACGGTAATTTTCTTATTTCCCCTGAAAATTGATCACCCTGCTTACTGGTTTGGTTCAGGGTCTGCCGGATCTGCCACAGGCAAAGACGCCGCTAGAAGCCGCAGAGAATGGTCTGTCTTTCTTCTCGCGCCTGCAGCTCGACGCGGGCAATTGGGCCTGCGAGTACGGTGGTCCCATGTTCCTGCTGCCGGGAATCTTGATCACTTATTATGTGACCAAAACCCCTATTCCCCCTGAGTATGCGACGGAGATCACTCGCTATCTCTTTGCCCGGCAGCATCCCGAGGATGGCGGCTGGGGTCTTCACATTGAAGCTCACAGCTCGGTCTTTGGGACCTGCATGAACTATGTGGCGCTACGCTTGGTGGGTGTCAGTGAAGATGATCCTCGTATGGTCAAGGCCCGGGGCCTGCTGCACAAGTTCGGCGGCGCCCTTTACGGACCGCATTGGTCCAAGTTCTGGCTGAGCATCCTCGGTGTGATGGAGTGGGAGGGCGTGAACCCCGTTCCTCCCGAGATCTGGTACGTTTCCCCTTCATATGGACATGCGCCTTTGCTAAGTGTTCAGGCTCCTCCCTGACTGGGTCCCTTTTGCCCCCTGGCGCTGGTGGATCCACATGCGCCAAGTATTCCTGCCCATGTCCTATCTGTGGTCGAAGAAGTTCAGCCACCCACTGGATTCATTGACGAAACAGCTTCGGCAAGAGCTGTACACGCAGCCGTACGATACCATTGACTTTGCGGCTCACCGCAACTCGATCCACGAGGCAGATAATTACTACCCCAAGACGTGGTTATTGAATTCTATCAACGAAGTACTGGTTCGGCTGTATAACCCCTTCTTCCGTGTGTCGGCCATTGTCAACCGTGCGGAAGGGTGGACTTGGGAGTTGATCCGTATGGAGGATGAGAACACCGACTACGCGGGGCTGGGACCCGTCAATAACCCGATGAACATGGTGGCTTGCTATATCCACGACGGACCGGACAGCTATTCAGTTCGGCGGCACCGGGAGCGTTTGAATGATTACATGTGGATGAAAGACGAGGGCATGCTGGCGAACGGCACCAACGGCGTACAGGTGTGGGATACGGCTTTTATTACCCAAGCAATTGTCGTCGCCGGGTTCGCGGATGAGCCCAAGTGGCGGCCGATGTTGAATCGTGCGCTGGAATTCCTCGAAGATCATCAGCTCCGAGAGAATGTGCCAGACCAGGAGAAATGCTACCGTCAACACCGCAAGGGCGCTTGGCCCTTCAGCACCAAGACCCAGGGCTACACAGTCAGCGACTGCACGGCCGAGGGTCTGCGATCTGCCATCCAGCTTCAGGAGATGCACAACTTCGACAAGGTGATCTCGGTGGAGCGGTTGAAGGACAGCGTCGATTGTCTCCTGCTCATGCAGAACCCCTCCGGCGGGTTTACAGAGTACGAAACGACCCGTGCCTCGCCGAAGGTTGAATGGCTGAATGCCGCCGAGGTCTTTGGAGGTATCATGATCGGCTACGACTACCCAGAATGTACGACCGCATCTGTTACCGCACTGTCGCTCTTCAGCAAATACTACCCCGACTACCGCGCGGACGAGATCCGCGCCGCGAAGGACAAGGCCGTGGCATATATCAAGCGCGTACAGCGACCTGATGGCAGCTGGTACGGATCGTGGGGCATCTGCTTCACCTACGCGGCCATGTTTGCACTGGAGAGTCTGGCTAGCATTGGCGAGACGTACGAGACGAGTGAGGACTCGCGCCGCGGGTGCGACTTCCTGATCTCGAAGCAGCAGGCCGACGGCGGCTGGGGCGAGTCGTACCTCAGCAGCGAGAAGCACGTATACGTTCAGCACGAGATGTCGCAGGTCGTGCAGACGGCGTGGGCCTGTCTGGCGCTGATGGAGGCGCGCTACCCGCACAAGGAGCCGATTGAAAAAGGCATGAAGCTGCTGATGGCTCGCCAGCAGCGCAATGGCGAGTGGCTGCAGGAGGCCATTGAGGGTGTTTTCAACCAATCCTGGTACGTTGCTTACCTCTACTAATCAAGACATACCATACTAATTGCATCTAGCATGATCTCGTATCCCAACTACAAGTTCTACTGGCCCATCCGTGCGTTGGGTTTGTACAGCCGGCGATACGGCAACGAGGCGCTGATGTGAGCCGTCTAATAATCCTCCACTTAATAGTCCAGCTGTTAGTTAGCGACAATAGCTGACTTTACTCTGTAAATAAATAATAACATTTCTTATGGGATGATGTAATATCTTGTTCTGTTTGTTTTTGATTCCACCACTTTCTTTCTCCACTTCATCTCTTTCCTCCCCACCTCCAACTCGCCTTCCTCCACCACTTCCCAACTAAACATCACCAACCATGAACGCCGCCAGCCAGGGTGAGAAAGCCCTGTCCGAAAGCAACTGCCCCCTCGCAATCCAGCACTACACACGCGCCCTCACCGAGCTTCCCCGCGCCCCACCCTACTACCTCCAACGCTCAACGGCATACTCGCGCCTCAAGCCCGCAGACGGCGGCCCAGACAGCAAATCCGCGCTCCACGATGCCGAGGTTGCACTAGTTCTCGCCCGAGACCGCGGCAAGCGCGAGCTCATCCTCGCGGCGCAGATGCGTCGCGGCGTCGCCCTGTACCAGCTCGAGCGGTATGCGGATGCGGCGTATGTCTTTGGGATTGTGGAGGAGAAGACCAAGACTGAGGAGGAGAAAGATAAATCGGAGGGTATCAAGGCTGCCATGTCTGGGGCCGGGGGGAAGAAGAATGCGTTTGCGGAACTGCCCATTTGGATGGCTAAGGTTCGGCGCAAGTTGAATGAGCTGGGTGAGGGGCATGAGCAGACCATTGTCTCTGTGCCGGAGTTTCCGGGAGATGTCCATGTGCCGTCGGAAAAGGAGCTGAAGGCACAGTGGGAGGCTTTGAGGGCGGGGAAGTCGGTTCAACAAACTACTGGTGGTGGTGGTACTGCTGCTGCTACGACTGCGTCGAAGGATACTGGTTCCAGCTCAGAGCCAGCTGTTGCAGACCCAAACAAGCCCAGTTCTGCACCAACAGCCCCAGAGAAGGTCCGACACGAGTGGTATCAGTCCCAGGACTCCGTGGTGGTGACGTTGTACGTGAAGGGAATAGCGAAGGACAGCGTCGAGGTGGAGCTAAAAGATGACTCGGTATGTTTAAACCCTTCAAGCAAAAAGGCCAATAGACTAACAATGTTCTCAAGGCGTCTCTCCAATTCCCACTTCCCTCGGGCGCAGAGTACGCCTTCACTCTCGACCCGCTGTATGCGCGCATCGATCCATCCGCCTCCAAAGTGTCGGTAATGAGCACCAAGATTGAAATCACGCTGCAGAAGCAAGTTGCCGGCCAGAAATGGAACGCACTGGAAGCATCCACTTCAACCCCGGCAACAACTCTCGCTGATCGGCCCGCCGCGGCAGCTCCATCTACTTCGTCCGGCCCGGCATATCCGACTTCATCGCGCCACGGCGCAAAGGACTGGGATAAGGTCGCGTCGTCATTGACTGCGAAGAAATCCAAAGACAAGAAGAAGAAGAGCACTGACGAAGAGGGAAATGGTGAAGGCGACGTGTCAGACGCTGAGTCTGTAGACTCTGAACTCGGCGGCGATGCGGTGGACGGCTTTTTTAAGAAACTGTATGCTGGTGCGGACCCGGATACCCGCCGCGCGATGATGAAGAGCTACGTTGAGAGCCAAGGGACGTCGCTGAGCACGAATTGGCAGGAGGTTGCCAAAGGGAAGGTGGAGCCTCACCCGCCGAGCTGATCCTGATGATGCTTTTGTTTGTGTTCGCATCAAGCGCTAGGTGTTTATGATATCCTGATTGCTCATTCATGCTCAACCAGTCGGATTCCAGTACATATGTGTGTCGTAGTTGGTTCATCATCCTAATAACTTCTCATTTTTCTACCGCTTCGAAAAAGACGAGCCGAGCCAACAACCCATATAAACCTTGGACGTGGGAAGTTTTTAGGTAACCTCATTCCGGCCGACAAGAACCTCGTCTTGATCGAAGAACTCCTGATTGTTAAAAAACCTCCGATTAAGCTCATCTCACCCCTGCCAAATCATGTAGCCGCAAATCATCCCGCACAACTGAAGAATAGATCGAATCCAGGTAGACAATGGGTCGGCCACTTATTATCCAAGTGGTGATATGATAGAAGAAGTCTGACATTCTAAGGATAATCCAGCCATCCATTTTATTGTAAAAAAACACCCATAGTACGCGAAATGACCGCACAATACCGAAAATGTCAAACATCGAAAGCAGTTTAGTGCTATATAAACATTGATTCATAGATCCACCGTGATGACATGCCGACAACATATTATCCCAACATTCTACTCTTCCATCTTCTTTCCATTTGAGAGTTTCCAAGACGTCGATTAACCGATTCATCCAATCTTTCCCTCATGTGCCCAAATAGCTGTTTTGTGTGAACAAGGGAGCCTCCCTTCGCCTCCGGGCTCGTCTGAGCCCTGTACTACCACCGGACAGCTTCGATCTCCTCACACCCGCAGGGAAAGTCCAACCGACGGCACTCAATCCATCTACCTACGAATGTAAGCGAGAACTAGGCAATCTTCACTTCCTCGAGCCGTGGGAGGCGGGCGGTATACATCCTAGAGTCCACAGGATTCTAACTTTAAATCTACCAAGGCTCCATTACCTTATATCCCCTTGCAAACATCTGATCAAGACAGTCGACCATTAATTGTGACATAAGCCCAAGATGGCATCCATTATATTTCTACAACAGAAAGCTTTTTTGGCCATCAACATTTCCACGAACATCTCTTGACGTTCAAAAGCATCCGGTGCAAGTCAAGGTCTGATAATATAACGTCAGCAACAGCATGGCTTATAACGCCAGCAACAAACAGGCGCCCGCCGGCGAACCTTGCGATTACGAGGGAACATGTCTCCTATGTGGAGTCCTCGTTCCAGGCCTACACAGTCCTCCAGTGACAGGTTCCTGCCACCCTGGTGTGGTATTCAGGGAGGATATATGGAAGATTCACAGAAAAACCCAGCTGGAGCATGTGATGGTCCCGTCCGACGAGGTAGAAAGGGCACATTTCCATAAGTTCCCACGGCTGTGGACATGCTCTTGTCGAGCTAGTGGGTCTTGCCTACCTAGATACTTCAAAGCATATGGAAATTTACCCTAACTTGCGCAGTCATCAAGGGACCTAATACGAAGTACAGGCTTACAGGCATTAATATAATGCGGGGGTCTGCGATTGGACACTGTGTCCCACATGATCCACATATAGCACGAATCGGTGGAAGCCAAAAACAACCTAATTACAACACTCCCTCCTTCGCTTATTTCAATACTGCAAACATCGGAAGACAGCCGCACAGATTCAAAGAAAGACAAATTGGATACCTCGTGCATGCCCACTGCTGGGTGCTGCTAGACCAGGTCTTCGAGAAAGGAACTGCGTTTATTGAGACTAAGCTCGAGAGATTTATTCGAGCTTGCCGAAAACACTGGAGCCATAATGAATTATGGGGAATAGACGACCACGCTTTCTGGAGCCCCGTGCCAATGGGGTTTCGATATGGCTGCGATATTTTCAAAAATCCGCTGGTGGTGCCCGAAATTGCACAAGCGATTAACCGCGCAAAACGTCCTAATCAACTAGCAAGCTCGCCGGAGGCTATTAAAACAACTCCTAGCCCACGAAAGAATCTCAAAGCCACACTGTCACTCAAATCCAGACGTCTTTATTCCTCATTTCACAGGGTACCCTTAGATGTTGCTATTATGGTCGCGGCGCATGTTTGCCCCGTCAAATATACAAATTCTGATGTTGAGAATTTTCGCAATATGCTCTTAGCATTTCAATGGACTTTGCCCAATTGGTTTTGGCAGAGAAGACGCAACGAAGATTTAGTCTTCGAGTTAGCTGAACTCAGGAAAGATGGTTCTTTGGTCGATTGGCAAGCGTTGTGGCTAGATGTAATGGGTCTCCTTGCCGATCGGGAATGGTATATTTCAAGCGGTTCGCTTTCATGCAACGCGCTAAGAAAAAAAGTGGGCAATCGAAAATACTTGCTATATTATCTTCTTTAGAGTCAATTTGATTGCTTCTTCGTATGTGAAAACCTCAAAATATTAAATTAACGATCAGGGTTACTAAAGAGGAGTAGATACTCTAGTCGCTGGCCTTTTAGTGCCCACTAAGCGGAGCTCCGGTCACATTCTATCAGGTCAAGTATTGTTGATGTTACTCTCGAACTTAATAGTAAGTGTTTTGGGGGAGCGATTCGCTTGTCCAGCCTTGTGTTGGCACAACGAGTTGTTCCACCGCCCCTCCTGACCTTGTTGGTAATCTGTTTGGCGCCTGCAGATTGCGGCAAAAACGCCCTTACCAAATCGATCTCCTTTTTTTCAAGAGAATTTTCTAGGTAAAGCCATATCTCTGAGCATGTTCTCTTTGCTCGATTTCCAATCGGGATCGACCTTGAACCGTCCTCCTGCAGGGTGGTAAGTGTGAATCTATTAGACCAGGCTTCAATTAGGCCTTAAATATTATAGCCCTCTGGAAAAGATGATTGGTGATGTATCTGGCTCCCGTCGTGAATATGACTTTCTTAATCCGTGCATCCTCGGGTAAGTTTATTCATGATGAGCGATAAGCCTCGGTTTCCTCGACAAATCTTGCACTAGGGCCGCCATTTCTTTTGATCACCTCGAGCTGAAATGTTTATGTCTAGTTATATGAAGAGTCGTTCGTAGCGCGTCAAAGCTTCGTGGATGTAATTCTTCTGGGGTGTTTGACTTCATGTGGGGGCCTGAGACGTAAGACGAGATAACTCCCCTGTTATAGGCCTTAAAGATCTCAGCTCGCTATACAAGTACAGAAAGGGCGCCGCCGCTAGTTAGATCGTAAGTTCTTACTAGCCTAAGGCTTTTGCGTTTCGTGGCTAACGTGTTTATTGCAAGCTAATAAAACGGAACATAAACGGAATCATATTATGGGGCATACTAGAGGTGACGTTTTCCGATATTATATGAACCAAATCGTCGAGGATACGTAATCAATCTTTCTTAAGACACCCTCTAGAGATGCGCTCATTAAGGCTTTCGAGTAATTCAGGGATGACTCGTGATCCGTCTATATTGGCTGTCTGTATGTCCATATGTCCTCCTGTAGAGTTCACTGAATTTAATTATTGGCAGGGGATAGAGTACCACCTGCCCGAGAAGTGAGCGGCCCCCTAGTCAATTAGGGTCTCCCCACCCCCGCGTTCAACACGCTAACACCCACTGATGATCCTCCAGTCAGTGAGCCGTTCGAATTTGCCGCTCACCTTTGGCGGTCGGCAGTTGTCACTTCCTTCGGAATCCGGAATCAATGCAACTAGCTGCGGGGAAATTCCAAAAGAGGACAGAGCCTTCAAACTTCACCCACCAAACCCAGCCCCGGTGCATGCACGTTTCTCATTTCTCCCGCTTCTCCCACATCATCTTCTGCTCTGGATGCGGTAATGGCCAGCAAACACTCAGCCACCCGCACTCGTGGTGGCAGTGTCTTCGAATGCTCTGTATGTCGTCGCAAATACGGGAAGAAGGAGCACCTCCAAGTAAGCAGGCTCAGTTTCGGCCCCGGACAAGTCCTCCACGTCCTCCACTAATGTTGGTTTGTAGAGACACGAGATAACGCGTGTGTGATTACAAGTTGCAAGTCTGACTGAATCTACCGAAGGACTGACAGACCACCAAGACACGGGTGCCAAGCCGTTCAAATGCTCGATATGCCATCGAGGCTTCTCGCGTGCCGATGTTTTGACAAGACACGTCAGGGGTCATCGTGGTCGGGAACCGGCCGAGTCAACAGGCGCGGTTCAGCAGTCTATTCCATCACATCATGCCGATGTAATAACAGCCGTCAGCTCGGCCAGCCTGGTCGCTGAGGGGTTGTCGTCGGATGACCGATATCTCCCAATTGACGACCACTCATCGCTGCTTTGGCCCGACACGCAGAGTTTCTTCCAGAGTCTCACGTCCTTGGACTCAACGGCATGGGACCAAGTTGCCGCTCCGCTTGCCGAAGCCCCAGCTTCCACGAGTATCCTCAACGAGATAATAGCTCACGTTAGACTTCAGAACGCTCCGGGCTCCGAGGACGCGCCCCCATCTGACGAGCATCAAAATGCCCAAGACGGACATAGGGCAGTCCAGACGGTAAATGGGCTCATCAGCAATACAGTAGGCACATAACAATCACATCCTTCTTCAGGAATCGTTAACTAGTTCCTTATTGACCCTATGGCAGTTCTCCAGCGTGACAGCACCGCCCGAACTGGCTGAGTTGACGCCTCGCTTTCTAGACAGCAGCTTGCACATGTTCTTCACCAAATTCATTCCCATCTTCCCTGTCATCCACCGGTCCACCTTCGTGTTCCGGGACTGCTCGGCGCCTCTGCTGCTGAACGCCATTGCGCTGGGTTCGCTCTTTCTCCGGAGCGAACAAGCCACGGCAAAGGTAGGGTACCTTAGCAACCAAGATTTATCTATCAACATGTTTGACACTGTCTCGACACAAACGGGCTGACTAACCGTCTACGCAGGGCGAGGCCCTCTGGCGACTCGCATACACCGCCATCGCAACGTCCTGGCCCGTCATGATCAGCCAGAAGAGAGAGCACGACCCCTGCAGCGGGGTACAGCTTGTCTTGACCTCGCTGCTGAGCCAGACCTACGCCGCGCTGTCGCAGAACCGCATTCTTCGCATGACAAGCCAGACCTTCTACGGACTCAGCATGCACTGGGCACAATACTGCGGCATATACGACATCCCAGCTATGCCGCGGGTGCCGTTTGAGGACTCCCCAGAGGAGGTCAAAGCCCTTGCATGGAAGGCCTGGGTGGCGCGAGAGACGCAGCTGCGGGCCCTTCTCGGGCTCTGCATCATTGACGGCGTGGTGTCGCAGTTCAGCGGCAACCCGGTCAACACGTGGCTCCCGACCAACTCGCTGCCGCTGCCGGCCGACGAGGATGCCTTCAACGCCGACTGCGCCGACAAATGGATCCGCCAGATGACCAGGAATGGCAGGCATCGGGTCAGCACCCTTCGGTTCTGCGATCTGTGTCACACTCTCTTTGACCCCGCCGCAACATCGCCGTCTATTATTCCTTCCAGCGTCATGCTCTTCGACATACGAATCATTCTCGAGATCTTGAACGCCCTAGCTGCTGAAGCAAGGAGATCTGAGCTCCCTCCAGTGGTGATCCCTTCCCTCCCGCAAATCCACATCGCGCTCCGAACAATGCGCCACCACATCCTCTACAGCGATCATCTCAGCCCAACTGATCGCTCCATCGGCCTTCTGCGTTTTCACGCCGTCTGCCTTGACCTGAACAGTACGGCACGCGGCACCCGCCGGATGTGCGACCAGCTGGGCATCCCGCAGGGCATCTTCGGCGGGGAGAAGCGGTTGGAGTCGGCCGTCGACCCCGCCCGGTGGGTGCAGAGCCTGGCTGGGAGGAAGGGCCTACTGCATGCGCTGCAGATCCAGCTCGTTGCAAGCCAGATGCCGCTGGGTCTGGCGCACGATGTGTACCTCCCCGGGGCGTTGTTTGCGGCGGCGTCCACGTATGGATCGTTTGCGCTGGCGGGAATTTCGAAGGTGCGGTTGCCGGGGGTGGTGGATTGGGATGTGGTGCTGGGGCTGGAGGAGGAGATGGGAAAGGTGGATAGTAGGACGCGGGATTTCCTTGAAGGGAAGCTTGGGAGAATGGCGGGAGAAAGGGATTGCGAGATGCGGAACTTGTTGTATGAACTTAGCTCGCTTCGGATTCTCCTTGGTAGTCTGTCGATACAGTGGGGCGTGACTCGGGAGATGGAGGAAGTGATAGAGGCGTGGGAGCTGCGGTGTGATTTGCAATAACAATGCTCCATACATGTCTGGCAACATCTGTATAATAGCGCTCATTTGGCTTACGCCACCCCATGTCCGGCCTCGACTGTGAGCGGCCTCTTCTTCCACAGCACAATCCTTCCAAAGTTCCACAGCGCATCCTGCCAAGTATTAAAATAGTGCGCCCCCCATGGCACCACCCTCGTGACATACGGTATGTGCAGCGCGTCAAACGCATACTGCAACTGCCTAGTGTCAGGAAACGCAATATCATACAACCCAAACCCCACGTAAATTCCCCTATCTCCCAGCGCCGGATTCGCCTTCAACATCGTCGCATTGACGTAATCGCTCTGCGGCGCCCCAGGCAGCAGCGCCCCTGACATGACCCCGAAGTAGCCAAAGTAGCTCGTCGCATTGATGTACATCTCGTAGGTCAGCGCACTACCCAGAGATAGGCCCGCGAAGGCCCTCTGGTCTGAGCCCGTGGTGACTTCCCAGGTTTGCTCGATGTGCGGGAACAGATATGCCATGAAGTCCTCCCTGATAGATACAAAGCTGACGCCTATGTACGCGTTCCACGAGGGCATCACCACCACTGTGGGCGGGATGTGTCCCTCCGCGATAAGCCGGTCAAGGATGTACTGCACCCGCGCTCGGTTCGGCCAGTCGGCACTGTTGCCGCTGCCGCCATGGCAGAGATAGAAGAGGGGATATTTTTTGCCGCGGATGTGGCCGTACTCTGCGGGCAGGTAGATGGCGTAGTCGTTGATGTTTGGGGCGGGGACGGGTGACCCCGGGGAGGTGTAGTTGACGAAGAAGAGGGTACCGGTAAGAGATTTGGAGGTTATGGGTAGCTGGTAGGAGAAGTCGAGATCGAAAGCTGCGTAGCTCTGATGGCGGGAGTCAAATGACACCTGGAAGATGGAGTAGTTCTGCTGGCCGGGGTAGTTCTGTATTGGAGGGTTGTCCGGATCGATAACCACCTGGCCGGCGGCGCTGCAATTCGGGGCAAAGTCGCAGTCGGGCATGAAGTTGTACGTAAATGTGCCAGACGGGAAGTAGGTTGTGTAAGTCCACATGCCGTGCTCTTTCTTGATCATTTGGTACCCCGGATTTTTGCTACCGGGGCCGAAGTTGGGGTCAACAGGAGCCAGGAAATCGCCGGGTTTATAGCCGTGCAGGTCGAAGCCGGCGTTATACTGGGGAGTTGTGTGCCACTGGTCGGTGAAGGAGTAGATGTCTCCTCCCATCAGTACGTTGCGGGCATGTTCGTTGACGTAGGTAAAGGTCACCTCGTACCCCGTTGGACTCTGGGCGCTTGGATTGACCATCACGGCTGACGATGTGAGATACGCCGAGGAGACGAGCAGAAAGAGGTGGAAGACGCTCATAGTGAGAGGTAGAACGTGATTTTGCTGATTATAACGAAGTAGAGCTGGGCATTCAAAGGAAGGAGGGCATCGTTATAATACTTAAATCACTGCTTATCCGCCATATCTTGGCTATTTCTGGAGCTGTGGGGATCTGCGGCTAAATAGAATCTGGGGAGAAATAAGCCATGCAAGCGGAGGTGGGGAAGTCCGGGGAAAAGTAGATCTTCCATAGCGTCGTTGTGGGGAAAAGCTGTCTGTTCGGCACTTTCGGTCGGCTCCTGATTATCGTGTATTTGCTGGCCCTCCCTCCGGTCGAGCATTCCTAAATGATTCGATGGACTCAGCTCGGCCATCTGTCTTCCGTTGAGAAAACTCAGCGACGCGAGACGGTAATTAGTTCTGCAGGACTTGTTAATAATTCGTTACCCACATCCTTCTTGTTATAGTTTGATGACTTTTAAGAGAAATTACATAGGCTTGTTACTTAAATTTTAAACCCCTCTAGCTACACGAGTGTGTGTATATATGTGTGTAATCATTTATCCCGACCAATTGCTGAGCGATATACAGGCTACCGCAACTGTGTATATCCATGTACGTACACGAGCATGCCGTACAAGCGTCACTTTGGTACGAACCCGGTGCGAGAGTCCTGTCTGAGCTACGCCTACAGTACCCCCACTGCGAAAGGTGTATTTTCTACTGGCACTGCACAGGGATGAACGTTAGGGCAAAGAACAGGTAATAGAGGGGCATCGAGGTCGCAGATGTATAGTGTTTCCCTGTTAGATACAGTATTATATGACACACAGTCGTTCTGGAAATAAAAGGGAACTACTTTTAGAAAGGGGTGGTTTACGACTTGGCCAACTGCAGATTATGGTGGTTTCGGATACGGGCCGAGAAACATTGTGTCTGTTTATGAAGATGTTTGTTATCACTCTCAATGTATTTTCATTCCCTACAGAAATGAGAAGAGCAAAGCTTAATTCGAATGATATATATTTCAAAACAATCACCACTGCATTGATAGTCAAAGCGAAAGACTCAATCATCCTTCTTCAGAGTCTCCGGATTTGATGAAAGAAAGCAATCAATATCCGTAGGTAAAAGTATACCGTTGGTCGCCCCTACGACCATCTGCATTTGCCTCCGCCTCGAGCGTTGCTTCGTCCGTGCTTGCCAATTTCTGGAGTCTCCAGCGGTTCGTCCTCATATATGCAAACCGAATTCCAAGTAGTCCAGCAATGCCAACGGCAATCAAAATAACAGTGATGATAAGAGGAAGTTTATCTAACGAGAAGAACATCATGAAATCAGTATGGAGATATCGTTGTGTCAATGTTTTGAACATGAACAACTCACAATCCGGAGAGTACTTTGCCAAGTATAACTGCCCGGCAATCACTCCTCCAACGTTTGTATAACCATTAAGGCCAAGAATAAAAGATCGAGGGCCCTATATATAAGCATGTTAGTTCTAATCTTCCCCGAGTCAGACTCTCGTTTCTTAGGTATATTTCCATACCATCAAAGGTGTGTTTCCTGCGAGCCATGCAGCTGTAAGGGGTCCAGAAACAAATATTCCAGCCATGCACACATGTGAGAAACCATAGCGCAGGTGAGGGTTGTTTGAAGTTGCCATAACAATGCATCCAATGAGCGCCAATACCATTCCTCCAACAATGTGCCCTGATCGATCTCTAGACCGATCACTCGACCATACAATAAAAACAAGAACCACTGCGCCAGCAACGAATGGCGAAACGCTCATTAATGTTGCATCGATTCCATCATAGCCCATGCCTTCAACGATCAGCGGCAGGAAGGTAGTGAAGGCATTGACAGGAAGTACCCCAAGGATATTGAAAATCACAATTAAAATTTTCTTCCAATCTTTGAGAACATCGGTGATATCCCGGGGGTTAAAACCATTTTCAGAATTCATGTCATGAGTAGACGCTTGGTCAATCCTCATCCGGTGAATCGCATGTTTGCGTTCTCTGTAAGTCAAAAACCAGCAGGTTTCAAGTCTTGCTGGGATTAGAATCAAGACTGCAATGCCCACTATGACGGTAATGCCACCTTCAAGCAGAAATAATACTTGCCATCCCTTGATATGTGTTGAGCTAACTTGAAGTAATCCATATGCAATGAGCCCTGCGCAGGCCCCAGCAACAGCGTACATGCCGGAAAAAATGCCCATTCGAAGACCAAGAATGTACTTCGGATAGATAGTAGACATAAGGTAGAAGCTAGACGGGGTGAATCCACTTTCCGCAGCACCAAGAAGCAGTCGGAGAGCAATCAGGGTCGACTGATTTTGGATTGCAGCATGACACATGCATAACATTCCCCATGTGATAAGAAGACCAGCGATCCAGTATTTAGGACCGAACCTCCGCGCAGCAAGCACCGAAAGCGGTTGTAACGGCACGTAAGTTGCTGAGAAGAGGGACAGTGAATCGCCGACGGCGTTTTTGGACAAGTGTGCGTCGCTGATAAAAGTGCTTGTGGCGACATACCCGATGTTGGTTTTATCAACTATGCTCTTGTTAGCTAACCGATTTAAGCAGAGGAATCGGAAAAAAAAAATAAAAAAAAATAAAAAAATAGAACTTGCTTCCACATAAAATGAACCCCACTGAAAGGATTGTAATAACAGAAAGATCGAGTTTGAGATTAATCCGACTATCTAAAGCCTTTTCTTCATCGGAAGTCGGTTCATAATGGTCCGTGGTAGAAAGCGGCGTAGAGAGGGATCCAGCACTGTCAAGCTTTTCCACGTGTACCTCTCCACGTTCGGCGATTTTCGATACGGATGATGTATCTTCCATGGTAATTCCTCGCAAAGTACAAAAGAGTAGCCGTTGATGGTGAGATGGTGGCACCTTTCAATAAGCAGCTAACTCATGAGGCCAGCTTCCTCTTTATTCTAATCCGAACTAAACCTGGGGAAACCTAGGGGTTGGGTTTCCCCACAAGGTGGCTTTCTACTCCCCGCTGTTCTGAGATATACTAACTAAATGTGGCGATGATGCTCACAATGCGGGGAAATAAGAAAAGTACACCTTTTCTCAGATCCTCCGCTTGCAAGCGGCTATACTCAAAAAAGAAACACCTTCGAGGAAGAAGAAAAAACGCAAGGTTGCGATGAAAGCTGGTAATAAAAGTATGACACAGGCATGAGAGAACACGTAGGAGAACTCGACCCTGGGCGCAAATAAAGGGACATTGAAAGTACACAATACTATTATGTTCCTTTGGAGAGCAAGGGAAATTTTCTAGGAACTGATTTGAGAAGCGCGAAGCCTATCGGACAAGCTTGGTTCGATCGGAAACCTCTTACGCGGACTTTCCATTTAATGGGACGTTGCGCAGGAGATGCAAGAGGTTGTGGGGAAATAGGCAATGTGAGGCGAATAATCCTGTGTGAAGTCTTGCAAGGTGTCCAAATCTCAGTACGTACCTATTCCTCCACCAACGGCGAATTCGACTGATCAGTCCTGAGTTTCCCTACGATGGGGATGACATCGACTTTCTTCACCCACCAGACATATTCGTCCCACTTGCAACGAGGAAGTTCGAAATTCTTTTGTTCCCCACTCTCCCACTTCGTCTCACATGACCCCATGCCCCGAAATGCCCTTTTAACTATACCAGCGCTTCCCCCAATTTGGAGTATTATATATACCTGGGACTTTGACAGGTATTCCCACTTTCTATTCTCGAATACATAATAATTTGACGGATAACATGGCCGCTGTTGACGATTTTCGTTTGATTGAGAGCAATGATCCCGCCGAGATCCATGCGCAGTTTGATCACCTAAGATCTCAGTGTCCTGTGGCACACACCTCCGAGAATGGAGGATTCTGGATGCTTTCTCGATACGAAGATGTCAAGAATTGCGCTTCTGACTCCCGTTCATTCATATCTTCTGTGAAGGCAGTCATTCCAAGTGACCCACGCGGCATTCGCCGGCCGCCACTGAACACTGATCCTCCGGCCCATACACCCTACCGGACCGCTCTCGATCGAACCCTAAAACCAGCTAGAATTCTACGCCTCGAGCCGATCCTAACAGAACATGCGGAGCGTGAGTTTGCCAAAGTTTTACAGAAGGGCAAGGCAGATATATGTGCCGAGTTTGCCGCATCGTACGCCGCTTGGGTTGAAGTCAGCTGGTTGAATCTCTCCGATGAGCTAGCACCTAAGTTGGCCGAAACGGCCTCAAAGTGGATCAATGCCTGGCGAGAGCAAAATGGCTCCGAGACAACAATCCATTCGGAGACAATGTACGACATGGCAAAAGCTCTATTCCAGGACAGACGGAATTTCCCTAGAGATCCCGAACAAGACCCTGCCTCCTCTCTATTGCTAGAAAAGGATGCTGAAGGACAGCCATTATCCGACGAACTGTTAATGTAATTTTTGAACTACTTTATACCTATTGTGACCCGTACTTGGGCTTGAGATTTCACTTTGCTAACTCTTTACTAGTGGTTGTCTACGCCAGTCGCTAGTAGTTGGCATGGTGGCTCCCCCGATCCTCATCGGAAGTATGTGCAACCATCTATCTCGCGATAAGTCTTTGCAGCAGGCTCTTCGGCAAGATTCCTCACTCATTCCGGCTGCTGTAGAAGAGTTCGTTCGTCTGTACGTCCCGTACAGGGGATTTTGCCGAACCCCTACTACATCAGTCCAGCTCCATGGGCGATTGATCCGTGCCCATGAACCTATATCCATGACCTATGCTGCTGCGAACCGTGATCCTACCATCTTTGAAGATCCCCATAAATTTGTGCTTGGGCGTCCAAATATCACTTCACATCTTGGATTTGGTAAGGGTAGGCACCGATGTGCTGGCATGCCGCTGGCGAGAATGTAGGTGGAAACTACCCCGCATCCCTCTTTCCTTCAATTGGCTACACTTCGAGGATTAACTATAGATAGGGCTTTACAAACTGCTCTCAGGGTTATTCTGAGGAACACAAGTGACTTTGAGGTTATCGGGCCCTTTCAATACGGAAAAATGCCTGAAATGGGAATCACAAGCTGTCCTCTAAAAGTTGTTCCTGCGAGTTGACTTGCAGCTTCAGCGGTTCGGTTCAGCGATGCAATTTTGGTTGAGAAAAGCCAGTTGAGTCGACAGACCCCGTACTCTTCAGTGCGTTGTTTCATGAGTAAGAAAATAGGTGGTTAACTAATTACCCAATTAGAACCAAAGAGGGGCTACTTTCCGCTCATTTAACCAAGACAAGACTCTTTATTAGCTCACCTCTCCCTGATCTCCTAAACCCTTGTAGATCAATTTCATCGCCGTGGATATTGAGTTCCTTGGAGGCTGACATGGCCAGATAGAGTCAAGAATATGCATATGCAGAAAACATGATGAAATTAGAAACATTCACAGAGACAACCCGGTAATGTTTCAATACGCAAGCTATTCTTCCAAAGTAGAAAGTTTCATATTTGTTGTGGTTGCTTCCTAGTCGTCTAGAAATGAAGTGCTGCTCGAGACGAGCCGTCCTTGGTGGTATTAGCCTCCGAAATCTGTGCATCACCTGCCCCCGCGTTTGATTCATTCTAATCTCTTCCCTTCCTCAGCGACAGAGTGTAAAGTTGGTCGATGAACCGTGACGATTGTTGTTGAAAAGAAACTATTTAGGTTGACCATGCGTTGGACACCATCAACAGTGGGAAAGAAGGCGAGTATAACGTGTGCAAGAACACATATCTTCAGTGAAATATATTTAGTTAGCTAAAGCGAGTTGTGCACCTAAGCCAGTCGCGCATCAAATGCACCATATCAAATGCGATGGATTATATATTTCATCTCAACGATAATATTCTATAATCACTTCTCCTTGTAACGTAATTCGCCTATCGCCCGCCATCATCTATCACTGCCACCCCAATTAACTTTCTATCACGCGTTCTTACCTGTATTCTTCAACCGCGTCTGGACCAGCCTTAAGACGTTATAATTTACGAACGGGTGAAGAACAAAGACCCTCGAACCTTACTATCGTGGTTTAAACCGGATAAACCAAAAATCACCAAGAGTGTGACTTAGCTGAGGGATATGTATAATTTTAATGAAAAAGGCTACGCGATAAGGCTTATAGCAACCACGAGGTGACCCAGCACTAGAGCTTGACACTTGATGCCTGAATCCATGACTTCAGTATGAAAAATATCTTACCCTGGGTAGGCATGGGGGGTATCGGGGTGCTAGGAAATGCATGTGGCCTAGGAGAGTGGGTAGAGATGTGGTGGGATGCACTTTCATGATCTAGTTTGGCCAATCGTCCTTTTTGGCCACACCACGGTACACACAGGCGTGTTTAACTACCAGATTTTCTTCCGATATCGAGTTTTCCCCTTGGAGGCCGCCGTTCGCCCTCCTTGCCCCAGGTTTCTTTATTGACTATCTACTTCGTGCCCCCGCAACTCTTTGTGATATCTTACACGGACTATTCTATTCTTAATCCCTTTACATTTTACCGTAGGAAAAGTCACCACCGTAATTGCCTATCGTTCTCTCTGATCACCCTACCTGGCAGAGTACGTTATCTAGCACATTTTCACCTCAGATGATTGCCCGCACACGGTTTCCCCAACAGGATAGCTTAGCTCGTCGTCTACCATTAGTAGATACTATTTCGCAGCATACTGTCTCACACTGAGTTTGAACGGATCCAAGGTAGAAGATGAACTGCAAGAATAGTTGTGGAAATGAGGGTCTGTAGAACTTTCCAGAGGCCCTTCCCGTTCCATGCTTAAAAAAGATGCATGTTGGGCTTCAAGGAACATATGATTCGGTTTACCACTACGTGACACCAATCAACGGCGCGCGATGTGTCAATTAACTTGGTCCATTTCTAATACAGGACATTCCTTTTGTCCTGTAAATTATGCAATGTTGTTTAAACGAAAGTTATCGAAGCAATACTGTAATGTTTCACATTCTCGCAAAGCCTCGACCAACCAGAGATTATTCCCAATCACGGAGTACTGGACCACTCCTCCCAAGAACGCAGATTATCATAATTCAATGAGGTCATACAAGGAATAGCTGAAGCAAGCGAACGTCATGTAGATTGACTATGCTCCAAAATCTCTTTTCTTCCGTAGACTTGATTTGTTGCGATTCATGTTGAGTGAAGCCGCAGGAGCATTCAGTCTCATCGGGATGCTCGAAGACACAGGCATGTTGAACAGACTGATTGAAGTCGACGGAATATAGCGTGTGCTTCCATCTCGCCTCCCCCAAGGTAACATCGAAATGCATGCTATTTGATCTGTCTGGGACGATGGATCGCTGGTCGTCGCTACCGTCCTTGTGATCGACGACCTTCCACTCCTGATCGTTGCCGACGCTGCCATCATTGTGGCCGGGAGTCAGGGAAGACGTTTTGGTTCGCGTTGCCGGGCTGCCGCCTATTACTATTAGCAGTGTGCTTAACGGGGGAGATCGGGCGCTAAAGGTCAGTACGCATTGGACTTTCCTGCTTGTCCTGTCCACTCTGACTCGCGACCGCCATGCCTTTGTGAGGCTGAACTTCGCGCTGTTTATGGCTTTGCATGTTGGTAGGTGAACTCCTTTTGTTATGCTGCAGTGCGTTGAGAAAACGAAGCATCGGAAGGTCTGAAAGCGTTGTAAAAAATATCAGATCATTCAAAACCAGTCAGCAGAATTATCGTGAGGCAGTATCCGACTACTACAGCAACGTGACGTGGCTAGGAGGAGACGCAACGGAACTATTAGTGCTGGTGGTAACAAAACAACCCTGATGGGATATTGATGGTCTTACGAATGTTTTCGGGCACATAAAATATCTCGAAGATAATATGAGAACGCAGAATCTGACTAGTTCTACTGTTAAGAGAGATACGTTTATCCCCTTCTTTCCCGAATTTTGCGACGACACGGACATGTCTGAGACTGACGCTCATGTTCGGCCCGAACAAGCTAGTCTCGGATCCTTCATTCCTACCCAGCCAGAACCCGCACAGGGCTCGATGCTTATGCCTTTAGGACAAGAGATCGTTATGCATGACAACCCTTCGATGATGACGTTCGATCAGGAGCAGCCAGGGCAAATTTCAGATGCACAAGGATGTATATCGGCTCCTGCTACCAATCGCCTACTTTTAGGAGCTGTCGATGCTGATCAGTCATTATCTACGGGAGGTTTAGACAACATTGGGCCGACTGGCAAACACCCGACGGTTGTGCGTGCTGACGTGGGATAAGGTTCGTACTCGATCCTCCGGCCCCTTTCGCCCTATGGAAATTCGGTCCACACCCCACACATGCTTAGCTTGCCAAGCGACGGAAGGTACCTGACTTGCATGGTCATTGTGTAACGCCTGGCCGCAACCATCAAACACTCCGTGCCAAGGAGCTTTGGGAGCCTGGCCATAACGTGCACAGGTCTCTATGCGCTTCACACTATTACTCGATGAAAATAAGTGTACGCGCTTCTATTCCCACATTATTTTAAAGAGACTTCTCGCCCCGAATCACACCGAATTTCCACTTCAGATGGCCAACAGCCAGCAAATGATTCGCAGTACTCGTCCTGGGGTTCTTCCACCGATATTGTAAGAGGGGGCCAAACAGAGTAAATCGGAAACGCGGCCTAGAATGAAGATCCTCGATCCTGGTGCCACATTAAGATCCGTACTAAAAAATGCAAGGGCCCTACAACAACCAATGGAACCACGACTAGCGTAAAACAGTCAAGGATGCCCGAAAATCACTTGAATATGTCGGATCCCTGTCGTCTGCGCCCGAAACACTTCTTGGTACTCTTCATTTCAATTTCCCAGCCAGATTTGGAGACACATGGACACCTGGAGATGTCCATTTTGAGCGCCTAATACTGGATTTACAGTAGGCTCACCATCGAAAACTTTCGCAGCCTTTGAGCAATAGTCATTTGCAACGCCCAATCCGTCGCAGTGTCGATAGCTACTGCGACGGGCTTGGGCCAACATTTGAATGCCTGATTCCTGCCAGGAAAGCATGATGAAGGTCAGTTCTAAGTTTAGTTGGATAGATGGCTACTGGAGATGAATCTTAAAGAACAACCCGTATAGTGTTATTGTGCACCCACTGTTGACGGCAATAATGACATATTGCTGTTATTTGAATAGAAAGAACTGATTACAACTTCGATAAGATCAGAGATGCTTCATAGGTCCTGGTTCTGTCAGAGTCAGAAAAGCACTGTCGCCACCACATGCCCAATCAGGTCGTGCTTATTCCCACGGCCCAGCGCTTCTGTAATGAAGCCAAGGATATGCTCAACACCTTGCTTTCCAGGTCCGTTTCTCCTTTCTTTGGCTGCTTGATACGCGCCGAAACATGGGACAACGCTGGGGCATATTCTGCAACTTTCTAATTACAACGCCGCGCAAAACGGATCAGCAGTACAGCATCCGAATTCGTCTCAACTTGCAGATTACTCCAAGCTGTGCTACTATTAGCAAGAAAGTAGAAATTGGAAATGACTAGGTGGAAGATGATCACCCAACCCGACATCGCAGTATCAATCGAGTATCATTGGCTCGGTAGAACTCCGTATAACTAGCCAAAAGGAGCGACCAGCTAGTCGATACCAAGCACACGACGTACATAAGCAATTTACGGACAGATTATGGTTGGTTGGGGAAAGGGATCATCAGCTAGTTTGAAGACCAATGTCTCAGGCTGTTGCAACCTATGATCGAGCCGATTGAGCCGCAAGAGGGCTGGGGGCTACGCAACGGGCGCTTGAGGATCAGGTTCTGGGTGTTCAAAAAGAGAAGGAGATGTCAGAGTCAGTTCTCCACCTGGTAATATACTAGGTCCATCTGCCGCATTACGCTCACCTGACCTCCCATTATGGAATCTGTGGCTGCAATTCCCACATTGCAGAGATTTCTCGCTTCTCCGTAACTATAAATATTAGACTTGATAAAGAGCCTGAATACCATCGTTTGCATCATTGTCACATCTGACTCGCTGATAGTATTTACACGTGGATATGCCTACCATTAACTCCAAGAGGACACTAAACGTCGATGCAGGGTATCGGATCCGCCGCCAAGTACAATATTGTGGGGCAGTGGGGCGGAATCTGCAAGCCCAACCTACTTAGTGTAGGCGAATTGTTCCTCATTGGCCATGCATAAAATACGGCACAGTCACTCCTCACTTAGCAGCTTAGAGTGCTCATTGGCCATGCATAAAATACGGCACAGTCACTCCTCACTTAGCGGCTTAGAGTGCTCATTGGCCATGCATAAAATACGGCACAGTCACTCCCCACTTAGCGGCTTAGAGTACGATGATTTAAAATTTCAAGGAGATGTATGAGGACACTACGTGAGACATGAAGCTTCCAACTGAGAAAGGGCCGAGTTAGTAGCAAGTATGGCAAGGATGTTGCGAATGATTGAAAGTATCCTAAGTATCCTAAATAGCTCGCTCTGAACGTCGGGGTTTAAAGTCGGCGCACCCATCTTCTCTCAAGAGGCAAGTGGTTCTGACGGTCAAAATCTTCGTGATCACCGCCGTTAATTACCCCGAGGACAATGTATAAGTGATACAGCGCAGTCAGTTGCTACCCATCTTTCCCTCCCTCCTATAATACCTATTGGGTTGAGAGATTTCATGTGGCAAGACATCAATGCTTGGAACTAACCTCGATTGCTTTTGCCGGAACATTCTAGGTCTCTCTGGAAGCTTCCCATCGAGGCAATCTCCTCACAGAATATTTTCAGGGCCAAATGTGCGCTATGTCTGATTTATGCAGAGCACTTACTTTAAAGACTTCGAAGGATTCCTATTAGATGGCGAGGGGGGTACCACTCTTTCAAGCGGCTGATCATCCTGTGTACTAATTGGTAATCCCATTTTATGGTGTTTCAATATCCCAGCAAATCATGTGGTTAGCGCTTCGCAGTCACGAGCTGCTACCGCTATTGGCTTTATATGGTTAACCCATAATCCTTTTTCGGTGTCCGTCTAGCATCCCTGCAAGGGGCGCAGCGCCATGTGGTAGTCTCAGCTGTGACATCTCCCCCTCCCCCTCCCCCAAAAAACAATATGCATTTAAATCTGTATATTCCGCCAACGAACTAAAAGTTGGGGGCGGCACAGGGCAACTACCCCAGCAAGGAAAGAATCATTGGGTGTGAAAAGGTCGGACGATCTTACTGCTCCCAACAGACGATCAGACGCAGACCCCTGATGGTCGCGAATACGAAGGTTTCAGGCACTTCTATAAGAACTATGTACCGCCTGCGCTTAAATCTCTTTCCATCCTATGCCAAGCGTTCCTTCCTAACATACAAGAAAACTCCTCCATACTTGGTCCTTCCACACTACGTTACCAAATCCCTCTAACCCCGCTACCATGTCAAAAGGAACTAGAAGGTCAAATTTGGGTGGGGAACGCTCAAACACAAGCTCCCTTGTTATAAGTTACACACCCAGAACCAAGCGTGTGAGCAAAGCAAAGAAGGGGAAGCGAGTTCACCCGTGTAAATATCCTGGGTGCGACAAGGTAAGTCCTCAGCACTCACATGTTTGACTGGCGATCTAATAGTTTTATACTGTAGGTCTTCACTCGAGCTGAACACAGGAGACGACACGAAATACGCCATAATCTCAAAAAACTCTATCACTGTACTCAGGATGGATGCATGGTAGCTTTCGAGCATCCCCAGGACTTGGTGCGTCACATGGAAAAGAAGTGAGTAATACTATCAGCCATCCATCCTCATCTTACCAAGCTCACAGTCCCTGCAGTGAGCATGACTCCGTATATAGCCGGTCTACTGAAGGAGTCCCTTACTTAATCGCAAGCGAGACCACCTCTAACACACCGTCGGAATCGGCATCTTTGCCTTCTACTAGTCACCCCGATAGTACTACTAAAGAGGGAAGCAACTCGACTACCTCGACCATTGCAACCATTGCAACTGCCGAGTGGGTTAATGGTCAGACTTATCGCCCTGAAAACAAACCTACATACGAGGCCAGGTTTTCGCCGGCTGAGTTGTCTGCTTCCATGTCTACAGAAACTTTGCCCACGCCTGGGGATCAGACACTGTACACTTTTGCTGGACAAATACAGGACATCTTCTACTATCCAGAAGGCTCGGCCACAGTTTCTTCGTTTCAGGGTGTCAGCACAGCTTCCGAGTATCGGATGGGGTCACAACTACCAGACCCTTTACAATACCCGAGGGGAATGCCACTACAGGGAGTATGTGCACAGGGAGAATATTTCTTAACTAAACAAATGCTAACTTGACTATTCTAGAATTTGTCTTGTACGTTCCCTAATGCCCCATTCGAATATCCTGTGGCTCAAGTACCTTGGATGGTCTAAGGGAAGCCCGCAATTAGTCCCAAGAACCTTTCGTGGCAATGAAATTGTGGGGAATATGCAATCTATACGAGAGTTGGGAGTGTACGGATACCTGGATGTCCATTGCAGACATTCTGGTATTAGAATCCGACAATCCAGTAAATAATATCAGTTCAACTTGTATTTTCTAGTTAAATCATACATTCTACATGAAAGCCGAAAGACCACGCAAGGATCTCACGACTGTATACATCTTTCCTACCGAGTTGATTCTCTGTTGATGTAGGCTTCAATTTTCCCTCCTACCCCAAGAGCCTCAACCTGTCAAAAAATTCATGCAGACCAGTACACAGCCATATCAGCCTCAAAATCTCCTGGGCATAAATGCGAGATCTCAATCGTGTTTTGAATATCCATCTCAGCTCCTGCACCAGCGCCAGATTACATACTCTGTACCGCTAGTAGGTAATACATTTACACGTACAGACACCTGGTAAATGCACTAGTTATGCAGCCAAATTATAGTAATGACGAATATGATGGTGGCTTTGCGGCTAGTGGCAAGCAGATCATCCGAAGGGGTTGAGGGCGCTAAATGGGTGAACCGTGCTCGACGGGATCTGCCAATTAATTTCAACAATTCCGCCGATCTAGCCGCATCTAGGAGATCTTGACGAGGGCGGGCACTAACCACGCCTGATCCTCAACGCGGGCCATGCGATGTGCCGTAACCGAGGGAAATAAAACCCGTCTTGGATCTTGGATATGTCATCAGAGCATGCGATTTGGGCCGCGGGATTATGGTCCTACACCCTATCATGAGAGGAAGACTTAATTAAATGATCTAAGTACAGACGCAGAGCAGTTGTAGGGTACCAAGGGCCGATATGGCAAAGAGCTGCGGAGGGCTTTAATGCTCATAGACCCAGCACATTTCGAATTTAAAGCAAGGGTCTACGTCAAAGAATGGCTAGACCAGGGGTCGGATTAGTTAGCGCAAGTCACAAGACGTCGCTAGAGCCAGATGATCCTTGCGATTGTCGTTGGAAAATTGGGGGCCAGATGTAACGACTACTCGATGACACGATGCGGCATAGTTGCCTCCCCCCATCCTAGGATTGTCTCGTAGAGCGATGACGTGATGGCCAACAATTGAGATTATCAGTGATTATTCAGAGCGTATGGATGGGCGGTCGACTGATCTAGGGGTGCTGGAAACCAGTCCAAATTCTTGCCGTCATAGAGTGGTTTTGACATCTACAGTGCCCACTTAACAATATTATTAAGCTTAGGCTACCATGCGTGCTCCTTCCGGGTTTCCCACTAGTCAGATAGTCATCTATAGATAGCTGCGTTTTCTGCCTTGAGTGCGTTCGTCTCTTCTTTCTATTCCACTTCCTACTACATAGATGCGTTCCAAAGCAATACAGACCCGCCTGCAGTCTCACCGGATCGTCAATTTCCTTCAAGAGTCACAGCAACGACCAATATAAGCTTCTGCAAATTTATTTCTGCTTGCCATCAAGGTCTGTAAAGAGCTCATATCCAAAGTCCTTGCTCGAATCGTTGAAGCGAAGCTTCTTATCAAGATTATCGATCTCATGGATATCCGCATCGTCTAGCTTGAATGCAATGTCGAAGTTCTGGGCGATTCGCTCTGGCGATTTGGACTTGGGAATAACGGAACGTCCATGGGAGATACCCCAGGCTGGGATATTTCAATCAGTTATTAGTAAATCGGATGAAACAAAGGCAGGTAGCTTACCTAAGGCAACCTGGTTTGAGGTTTTGCCATATTTCTTCCCAATCTCGACGAGCTTTTCATCATTCACTAGCTGGCCGTGATCCTCACGACCACCGTAAATCTCGTTCTGGTTACCAAATGGCGAGTATTGAGTCACATGGATACCCTTCTCCTGGTGGAACTTCGCGAACTCTTTCTGTTGCAGCCATGGGTGCAACTCCATCTGGTGGACTGCTGGAACAATAGATGCATTCTCGAGAATGCGCTCGACTTCCTTCTTTGAAAAATTGCTAATCCCAATAGCCTTGGTTTTTCCAGACTTGACAAGGGCCTCCATCGCTTTATAGGTCTTGTTTTGGTCAGAAACGTATTGAACGAATTTCTTAGGATGAAAGAACAACTAACCTGGACATAGTCGATGTCTTCGGTTATCAAGTTGCCGTCCTTATCAGAAGGGAAAAGATCATCTCCACGCTTGAAGGCGACGGGCCAGTGCATCAGGAAAAGATCTAGATATTCGAGGTCCAAGTCATCCAACGTCTGCTGTAACGCCGGACCAACATCGTCAGGATGGTGCTTGTTGTTCCACAGCTTGCTAGTAACAAAAATCTCGCTCCGCGGCACACCACTCTGTTTGATAGCCTTTCCCACACTTGGCTCAGTGCCGTAGCTAAACATAAAATTAGCTTGTGTTTTATCAATGAAACAATGTGCAAATTACCATCTCGCGGTGTCTATGTGGCGATAGCCGGCCTGGAGAGCTACAAGAACCGCAGCCTCTTGAGCAGCCTCGTCTTGCCACGTTCCCAGTCCGATAGCAGGGATCTGGGCACCGTTGTTTAGCTTGAAAGTTTTTTGGGCCTGAGACGCCATATTCTTAGGAGTGTTAGAGAATGGTGTTCAGCTCGATACAAAAAAAATAAAAGAAGCTATTGACGGAGGTATATGAACCTCTCACATGGTGGACCCTAATTACCTATCTCTAATGTCACAATACACATTCAACCAATAAATCACAAGTGGCATGGTCCTGACTGGGGAAGTGTTACGTTTTGATGATGTGCTTCTTCGAATTAGGAATCCTATCGTAGAATCCTGTATAAATTTGCCAAGTTTGAAATGCCATGACGTAATATATTGAGGACCTTGGTTTAGGATCACCAGATCTTGGTATCCCGGCGCCGTGTTCTCTACCGTGGTTAAAAGTATTCACTACAACCGAAACGGACCCTTGTTGTTGATGATTACACGATTATGGCACGCTAAGTACGGACAGCAGACGAGGTTCCTTGAGTACGACAACGTGCAATCAGTGCCGAGAGCTTGTGAATATTTACGCCACAAGCTTAAAACGTGTTTCTCGAACTTAATGACGTAATGGTGCAATTCAAATCTATATAAGTCACGCAACTTCACCAACCAAATACATACACGGAGACTATAATTTAACGTTTAAGCTCAACTTTAACCACCATATTTCACCATGGACACTGTCAAGGTACGCCAATGGTCGCGAATGTGACTTTTACATTTTTGCGTGCTTGAAATTGACTATAACAGAACGCCGCTCACTACGTCGAGGAGAACGTTAAAGGCTCTGGTTCTGAGACTTCCAAGGAGGCCAACAAGAACGTCGCAAAGCACTCGGATGCAGGCCTCGGCACCCGAGCAAGTGCCGCGAAAGATGCTCTGAAGGACAAGAAGGATGAGGAAAAGCATGATGCTAAAGCGGAAGCTCACAAAGGTAATTACACTGTACTGTTTACTTGAAGTGTCAATACTGATGAGGCCTACAGAGGCTGCTAAGCACTAAGAACACCTGTCACCCGAGACAGAATTTTTGCAGCTACCGGGTAGCTCCGTCCTGTTGTAGTTGAGGTGAACTGTTAGGATCCCGCCATCATCCAAATATATATGGTTTACGTACTATACGCAAGGTTAAATTAAGTACCGTCTGATTGTCGCATCAAAAATTCCCTGGGATTGTAGGAACGTATATTAAAGAGAGGAAATCCTAGCCCTCTCGTTGCTCCGACATCTTACTCCAGTGCGTGTGCTTTGAGGTGTTAAGGGAAACAAAATCCCCTATGATCAAATAACCACTTATCATGGCATCTTCATCATCTACGTACATCCAGACAACGTACGCAAGTAGATCCGCCACAGATGCCATGCCATTTATTTTCAGCATATTGTGCAAGCAACTATTCAGTCTCCTAGTGGCGGTTCTCATATTCCACATCTTCCTCCTCAACTTTAGAACTGCTGTACAGAAAGAACTGCACAAAAATAGCCATATCCAACAACAATGTGCCAGCACTGCCAATCAGCCATGACAGATTAACCAAAATATACCGCCCATAGATAGCAGCTGCTTCACCAGGCCGACAGCGCTCATGGGAATGATGCTCTACAAGACTGACAGCCACAGCCTCAGAGGAATCACGACAAACGGGCGAATATGCCAGAATCGACAAGACATAGGTCAAGTTGCCGATACAGGCAAAGAGAAAGAAGAGCAGGGAAACGCCTTCTGTCGATTTGCGCCGAAAGTTCAAAAGAAGCTGCGGCAGCCGCGACCCTAGATAGAACGCTGCACAGAGATACCCGAACACCTGGCCAAGCGTATCCATAGCGAGAGGCTCGGGCTCGGGCTCGTCAGTGGAGCTCTTCGAGGCCGGGCTGACGTACCAGCCCACAATCCCTGCCGCGCAGACGAGAGCAATCGCTGTGGCGTTGAAGAGGGCTGTTTGCAGGGCGGATATGCGGCGCTGGGTCCGTTGAGAGCGGACTCGTTCTGATTCAGACTCGATGAAGGGCGTTGCGGGGGAGAGATGCGTGCCGTCTACTGATGAGTGGAGGATATCGTGAAAGGATGTAGCTGAGTGTCTTCTTCCCATGTTGCGCGTGGACGAGGAGGATGATAGAGGGCGTGCGCCATCCTGGGCGTGGGGTGCACTGTGTCCGTGTTCTGTCGGCTCCTGGATCTGGACATGTCCTTTGGACGTGGGCGTGGTCGTCGATTTAGGAAGTAGAGCTGATCGTTCCGTTGGGACTGGCGTGGGACTGCCCTGGCCATCACTCTGCTCCACACTAGCAGCAGCATCTGGCGTCAGTGTGGGAGAAACAGAAAGCTCATCCGTAATGTTAAACCCGCGATAGTAGAAGCACTGTCCCAGCAGCACGATATCCGCGAGAGTGTAGTACACAGCCAAAATAATCATTGTAGGCAGCACGCCTTGCAAGACGGCGCCGAGGATATTGAATACATCGCCCGCCAGCCAGACGATGAGGAAGAGCAGCGAGAGGCCGTCTGCTGAGCCGCGGCGAAAGTTTTCGATGATTTGCGGGGAGAAAACGACGACCCAGCAGGCAATTGAGATGGAGCTGTTATGTGTGTTAGTGAGATCGGCAAATAATGGCAGCAACTCGATGCACACTATAGTGTAACACCCCAGTCCGGCACTCACCCGCAAATGCCACTCACGGCCTCAATGTTGAAATTGGCCACCTGTGAAGGGAACATGGTGTTGAAATCCCCTCGATGCCAATCACAATGTTTGTAGTTGGGTGTATTGTACAGGGCACATCGATGCCAATGTTCAGAGGTTATGTCAGTGGGGAACGACAGAATTGGAGAGAATTTGGAGAATTGCCGGCGACACGAGGATGGATGACGTCTGGTCACGTGATATACTATAAAGCGTTCCAGAAAGATAATTAGATATCCTAAAGATAGGAAAGAAGTCAAGGTTTCCTTCTTAGAGCTCACGAAATGGAAAGGGATTATTGTTGCACTATTTGATGGGAGGCTACCTTATCCGTACTACTGTTTCGATTTGCCCCCGCAAAGATATATAGGAGCGACGATAATTTCACCCGACTCAAATCCATCCCAAATTCAAGGCCAGGATTTACGCGGCCGCAGCTTTCATAAGCTGCTCCAACTGAACCTGGAAATCACAGAAAATATTGATAGCCTGTTACATGCTTCAATTAGCCCATCTTCTTCTTTCCTTATGAATTAATTCATACCTCGGTCAACTTGATATGACTCGCCCCACCCAAGTCCCGGACGAATACAATTTGAAATTTGGCAGGATCATTAAGAAATGACGTTCCGGGCTCCGGAATGGGCACTGTAGGTGCCTCGTCGAATAACGACTTGGTACTAGTGGGCGCAGGCTCTGTCAATTGCGCGAGGAGATGCGGGGCGATGGTGAGATGGTCTACGCCAGCGAGAGAGTAGATCTCCGCTGTCGATGTCAGGCTCGCTGGTAGGACCTTTGTGGTTGCATTTATGTATTTGTAGTACTGCTGAATAGCAACACAGAGCGGAAGCAGTTTTGCCCTGTCGACCAGACTGTGACAAAGTGGCAGTTAGAGGGGAAAAAAAAAAAAAAAAAAAAAAAAAAAGAGCAATGGTTATTCGAGGCTAGTTAGCGACTCACCTCGTGTCAAATTGGACCTTCAGCTCGTTTACATAAGGTGCAATATACGTGCAGCCCACTTCAGCTGCTAGCACTGCCTGCGCCATGCTGAATAAAGTGGTTGCTAGCGTGCGCACGCCTGCTAGCTCGAGGGTGCGGCATGCCATCATGCCTTCCCAGGTGCTGGGGATCTTGATGGCAATGCGGGAGACGTCAAAGCCGGGCTGGATGTGTTGAAATAGCTGGATAATTCCTGTAGGATTCATTGAGGTGTCAGGGACTCGTGTAAGATGTGGTTTGGCAGCTTCTACACGTACGCAGGGCATTGACGACTGTCTTCTCAGATGAATATGAGTAGTATGGGTTCGTCTGCACATGGACGCGGCCATCGATATGCTTGGACATACCCACAGCTAGTCGAACCATCTGCCGATTTGTGTTAGACTACGTTGTAGGCAGTTATGGTGTAGAACACACAGCAATCTCCACGGCTAATTCTTCAACACTGATCGAGGAGTACTTAGAATGCAGCATCTTTGCATCTGCCACAGCGGCAATAGCCACTTCCTTGCGCGCTGGTTTGGACAACTCGCCGAAGGCAATGGCCTATATATGAAGTCAGCGGATATACTTGACTAGAAGGACGGGGGAGTACTTGGTTGGATGTGCAGTCCTGAAACGGTCCCAGGGTCTGAGCCACTACGTAAACAGTCAGTATGATTGATAACGGTGTAGTGACAACCCCTCAGCTACTGACTAACCCTCCTCGTCCATCGTGTCGCAGTCGACCACTGTGCGGGAACGCATGTAATCGAGGCCGGACGGGGTAGCCATATTGAATGGTGAGGTGTGCCGGACTATGAAATCAGATGCAACAAAAGTGGGAGTCAACTATAATGGGGAATGAGGCGTGGGAAAGAATTGGAAGTGACACAGCACACCGACGTGGGCATCCTTGTCATCCCACCTCGTCACGAAACAAGGCAGGTTAGCCGGACTAGCTAACCGCCGTGGACCATGGATCCACTCTTGAGGTACATAGGGCTCCCCCATGTAAGAAATCAGGAATTTATTTGATAGTCCTACTGATTGAGATATATAGAGAGAGATCATTGACCGGAATAACGCCCCGCGATGCAATACGTACAAAGATCGAGTAATAGAAACTACTGACTAGCCAACCACGCCTCATGCGCCTTCTTCTGCTTGTCCCAATCCTTGCGCAGCTTCTTCGCCCGGCTCTTAGTGATCTCCTCACCAGCAGCATCGCGCGTCGGAATACCATCCGTGTCCCACGCGCTGTACTCATTCGTCCTGAACATCTCGAGGTGGCTCAGCTTGCCCTTCTCCAGCCGCTTGAGGGCCTCCTGCTCTTGCTTCTGTTTCTCCAGTTGCTTTTGGCGGGCTCGTGCGGCCTTTTCCTCGCGGGCTTGGAGCATCTCGCGGGTCACTGGCCGGACTAGGGCGGGGAGGTTATCGCGGTCTTCGAGGTAGACGCCTAGATCGAAGAGGTCGATGTTTCGTACACGATCGCACAGGGCGAGGACTTCTTTGCCGATAGAGTCGGATGATTGCAGGGCACTGACGTCCTTACGGAAGTTGGAATAGACGGCCGCGTAGGGTTTCGCGGACTCGGACTCGGCTGCAGCTGTAGGTGCAGACTCACGGGCGAGAACCTCCTCGATTTCCTTGGGGCTAATGCCGGCTTTATCGCGCGCGGCAAGTCGCAAGGTGTCGCGCATGGAAGAAAGCGGGTAGAGGAAAGGCTTAGCCTCTTCGGGGACATCGATGCCCGACCAACCAATCTCGGGGCTGTCCGCAGCTGCGGTACCATTGAGGCCAAAGATGTTGACCATCGACGTCACCCACCGAGCAGTAGCCTCCACATCCTTTGGGTTCAAGGCGGACTTATCGGCAGAGTTGTACTTTGTGATCAACTCTGAGATCGATTGCATCGCAGCGGGAGTATTGAACGAATCGCAGAGCTGATCGTACACAGCCTTCTGGGCTGCTTTCAAATCCGCAGCAAGGGTGCTTTCGGTGTCGGATGCGTGTCCCTGAAGGGCTTCAAGATCCCTCACTTTCAGGAAGAAATTGTTCACCTTATCCTCCCACGAGTTGCCAAAGTTCACCAGCTCCTCTGTGATTTCAACGCCATCTCTCCAGCCGCCTAGAAGGAACACAATCCGCAGACTGCGCGATGTCCAATCGTTTCGCCCAAGAGCCTCGCGAATAGTAGTGAAGTTCTTCAAGGACTTGGACATCTTAGACCCTTGAATGGACAAGTGACCCATGTGCAAGAAATAGTTGACCCACTGGTTGTGCGAGTGGCTATGATCATCCCAGTAAGCCTCGCTCTGAGCCAATTCATTATCGTGATGCGGGAATGCAAGGTCAATGCCTCCAGAGTGGATATCCATCTGCTTGCCCAGTCGGGCTGAGGCCATGGCCGAGCATTCAATATGCCAACCGGGACGGCCCTTGCCCCAGGAGCTAGACCAGCTCGGCTCCCCCGGCTTTGACGACTTCCAGAGCGCAAAATCAGAAGCTCCGCGCTTTTCGGTAGTCTTACTGGCCAATGCACCCTCACCCTCCGCGGCTAGCTTGTTGTCGGAACGGCTCCACGGCTCAAGCCGCGCGTATGGATGACCCGCCGCTTCGAAGGCTTCGATATCGAAATATACCGATCCATCAGCCGTGACATATCCAAACTTGTTCTTCACGATGCGCTCCACGAAATCAGCGATCTCATCACCATACTCCGTTACGCGAGTCAGCTCGTCTGGGTCCAGAACGTTCAGGTCGCGCATGTCCTTCGTGAAGCTTGCTTCGTATTTCTTCGTCAACTTGGTGAAGATACTGTGGTCGTTCGCGTCTATCGAGGCGCCCTTCAGAGCATCCAAGTAAGGGAGCAAGATATCCTGCGTCCCGGAATAGAAAGACGTGGCGAACGCAGCGGCGTCGGTTGAGTCACCAAGACTTCCCGCCTGCGCAATCATCTTGGCGGCCGACGCTGCCGTCTTGATATGCATCTTGACCTTGGCCTCATCGTCCCCCGGCTTCTCATTCCCGGGCAATGCGCCACCATTCAGAACGACTGCGTACACCTTTTCGACTTCTTCTTGATAGCGAGACGGGGCCACTTCGGGGGAGAGGAGAGGCAGGTTTTTCTTTAGGTAAGCGGTGTATGCACTTTTCGCGGTATCCAGAACAGTGGCGGAGATGGTGGGGTTGATCGCCGTAAATTCGTTGAATAGATGCTGTTGTCTGCCGCGGAGAATAATCTACAACACAATCAATCCATGCTCTATTGTCAATCGGGGCGGGCCATTCCGCGTACCTTGTCATCCACGTCGGTAATATTCATAACGAAATGAACATCAAACTTAAAGTAGTCGCGCATGATGCGTCGAATGATATCGGTAGACACATAGTTCCTGGCGTGGCCCAGATGCGAATCGTCGTACACCGTCGGTCCGCACACGTACCAATTAACCTTTTTGCCCGCTGGGTCGATTGGGATAAACGGGGTTTTGGACCTGGTGAGAGAGTTCCACACGTTTAAGGGAGGGAGGTTGGCGTCTGGATTCGACGGCGGTTGGCGCCACGGCGGCTGCTGGCGCGCAGACATGGTGGTCCGGGAAAAGACGAGCACGGGTGATCGGACACGCTGTTTGGGAAGAAAAGAAAGAGAGAAGAAAGACAGACGGGGAGGAAAGAGCATAAAGAAGGGAAGGGGGAAGGCGCAATCGAGGGGTGACTGCTGGGGGGGTGAGTCAAAGAAGAAGCATGACAGGAAGGTACCGGAAGGAGCCCTGAGCCCTAACTGGTACCCGAATCGGGTAATCAGCCTATCTCGACCTACTTTTTTTCCCATGCGGAGAACGAACTTGATTCTATCGCTGCGACCCATTGCGCCTGCACTTCTTCTATCCACCATGCCGTCACCCTTCTTGACCCCCGGATCAACCGCCCAAGCAGATGGCCTCGCCCTGCTGCACCTCCGCCGCGACCAAAGTATCCCGACGATCCTCCGCACCTACGACGACGAGAACCAGGGCTACGACGAGGGCAAGGTAGAGACGACGCGGTTTGGCTCATTCCCGCACAGCACGCTCATCAACAAGCCATGGGGGTCGCAGATCATCGCCTCCGTCGTCGACACGGGCTCGCGCGGCCGGAAGTCCGGCGCTGCGAAGAAGCGCAAAGCCGATGAGTTCGATGCATCGGGGACGACAACCGGCGCGGATGATGAGACGTCGTCGCTGAAGAAACCCGTCGCTGCTGCGAGTGGGTTCATTCATCTTATGGCTCCGACTCCGGAAGCCTGGACTTTGTCCCTTCCACACCGGACGCAGGTCGTCTACACCCCGGACTACAGCTATATCCTGCACCGCCTCCGCGCCAGGCCCGGAAACACGGTGATCGAGGCTGGCGCAGGGAGCGGGTCGTTCACGCATGCGTCGGTACGCGCCGTGTTCAACGGATACCCGGACTCCACGGCACCAGCAGCGAAACGACGACGACTGGGCAAAGTGTGCAGCTACGAGTTCCACGAACCGCGCGCGGGGCGGGTGAAAGACGAAATCAGCCAGCACGGACTAGACGGGCTAGTGGAGGTGACGCATCGCGATGTCTACGAAGACGGCTTCCTACTGGACGACCCCAAGACCGGCAGGTCGCCCAACGCCAACGCCATCTTCCTCGACTTGCCTGCGCCGTGGCTCGCGCTGAAACATCTCGTGCGCAAACCGCCCTCTGGTGCGGTGTCTCCACTGGACCCATCCTCGCCTGCGTACCTGTGCACGTTCTCGCCGTGTCTCGAGCAGGTGGAGCGCACGATTAGCACTATGCGGCAACTGGGTTGGTTGTCTATTACCATGGTCGAGGTGAATCATCATATGATTGATGTGAAGCGGGAGCGCATTGGGTTAGATGCGCAGGGTGTGCGCGGGGCGCTTGTGGTCCCCAGGTCTGTGGATGAGGCCGTGGCCAAAATGCGCGGCGATGAGGAGCGCACTCGACGGTTTCGGGAGGCTGAGGCCGAAGGTAGAACCGGGGAGGGCGAGACAAAGACCTCAGCTGAAGAACAACCGGCACAAACGCCATCAGATATTCCCTCATACAACCTGGGCCGATTAGTGCATCGGACAGAGGATAACCTCAAAACCCACACATCATACCTAGTTTTCGCCATTTTGCCGCGGGAATGGTCGGAGGAAGACGAACAGAGATGCAGAGAAAAGTGGCCATCCGCACAGACGGGTGCGGACGCAACTGCCGCGCCCAAGAGCAAAAGGCAGATGAAACAGGAGGCTAGGGCAAAACGGCAGCAGGAGGAGCAGGAGGCGCAGGGACAGTCCCAGCACGGGACAGATGCGAAGGATGGTGACCGTGCTACGTTGTAATATAGTTCTTGGGTCATATAAGATTCCAAACAGCCGTGCTCGGCTCAGAATAGACATTGTTCTAATCTATGTAGCATGATATGGGGTGTGTTTGATGTGTATGTTGCAAAAAATGGAGGCTAATGAGCTCAGTATGCAAAATAGTAAGTAACGCCAGGAGCGAAAACAGGAATCACAGGTTGTTCTCCGCCTTGAACTTGTCCCAGGCCTCGTTCAGCGTTCCGAACACGGCACTAGAGATCATGCGCTGCTCCGTCGTGGCGGTGGTGGAGATCTAGAAAGCACAATGGTCAATAACGAGCGGTTGATATTTGAATGGAGAGGGAGGGCCGTACCTTGTCGGGATGCACCTTGGCAATCCCCTTCATATACTGGATCTTCACCTTATTCGGCAAAACCAGTTCCGACATGTTGATCTTCTTCCATCCGGCCTCGGGCCAGAGTACTGTATCCAAACTTCCGAGTAGAGCGCGCAGGTTATCCTGCTTGCCATTTTTCCATGCCGTGAGGCGCGCATCCACACTATCCGAAAGGGCGAATTTCTCTTCGTCCGCGCGGTCCGCGGCCTGATTGGCAGCCCGGAGACGGGTGACAGCCTCCGAGTCCTGGCCAGATGTTGACGGGCCACCAGTAAGATCGGACAGAGCAGAAGCCGGCTTCCTAGGTGCAGGAGTGGGCTTCTTCTTTGCCGGGGCCTTTGGAGGCGGCTTGCTAATACCAGCAGCTTTCTCGCAGCGATTGCGTCCTTGGATGCTGGTGCTTCCACCATGGCCTGACTCCACTGCCAGTTTCCATGCTTGAGCAGCATCCACCCAACGCTCCAGTTGCTCCAATGCCTCAGCTTTGCGCATCAGTGCTTTGCCAAAGAGGTCCTTCATTTGTTTATTGGGCTCGCCGTTCCCAAGCTCGATCATTTCAGCCTCACCCTTGAACGGCCCAATCACCTGCAGGATCGCATCTGCGTCATCAATAGCAGACTTGGGTTCGCCAATTTTCAAGGCGGTCATAGCGCGATTACTGCGGATGATGATGGTGATAGGGTGTTTGTCAGGGAGCATGCTGAGAGCTGTAGAGAAACTTTGATGTGCGGCTGCATAATCGCCCCGTTTGTACGCTTCTGAAGCCTTCTCCCGGTGTCGATGTGTAGATTGAAGAGCCTCTTGCGATACAGGTGGTATGGACCGCGGCGGAGCTTTCGAGCGTACTGGAAGGGGAGTTGACGGTTTCGCAGAACGCGGAGTTTGGGTTGGGGGAGTGGGCCGGGAGGACGAAGACGGGGCAGGAGACTCGAACAGATCAACGTTGGATTCGGCTGCTGGTGGTGGTGCTTGTGGCCGTCTCCGTCTTGCTGGACTGACGTACGCTTGCGCTGACTGCTGTTCCGCTGCAGCTCGAGACAGGGGAGACCTGGAGTCTGCTCGGGACTGGTCTGGTGGCCGCTGGAGGAAGCTAGGCCGCTGCGAAGGCTGGGCAGTACCAGGAGAGCGTAAGTCACTGCCAGGCTGGGGACTCTCACGTGGACGAGTAGGCTTTCGAGGTGGACGCGAGTCCCCAGACTCAAGGAGAAGTGCCTCATCGGTCCAGCTGTCTCCACCTGTTTGTGATTGAGCAGGATCGCCTCGTCCATGTGAGGGTTGTGGTTGTGACCACGGCTCTTCTTGTGCAGGGGACGCATCCCTCATCCACTTGGGCTGGTTGGGGTCATGATCGGCGTTGAACTCATGTACCACTTGCTGAAACCTTTTGTTTCCGGTTTTCCAGAGAGAAGTGGCTGACTTCAGCAGATTGTTGCCAAATTGCGACGCCAATTGAGCCGGATCCTTCTCCGCCGAGGCTTGACTCCGACTATCTTCGCGCATCCAGGAAGGGGCGTCCCGTGCTTGTCTGTTGTTTCTTTCCATTCGTTCGCTGGAAGGACCATTTGCCGCACGACGAGTTTGGGACTTTTGCCGGGATTGAGAATGGGCCTGTGTAAGAAGCCAGCCAACGGCAGCCTGTACGTCCGTCCCAGACTCAGTTGATTGCAACGCCTGTCGTGCCTTGTCTGCAGGAAAACCCATGTCCACAAGTTCTGCAATTGCACGGTCAGCCTCGTTGGACGGCACTGGAGAGACGTCGGCAGCGGGTGAAGGTGATTCCGGACGCGGAATCTCAGAGACCGGCTTCCCTAGCAAACCGAGAAAATCGTCATCTTCGGTCGGTGCAGCTGTGCGCGGCGGAGCAGACTTGGGCTTCAATTGGTTGAGGCCGAATGGGTCATCGTCGTCAAACGCGGGCGCACCCTCAGTATTATCACGCATGGTAATTCCTCCGCTAGCTGGACTCTGGACCCTGTTCGCATCGCTTCTGGGACTTGGGATAGGGAAATTGGTCGATGCGTCCACCGGCGCAGCGGAGTTGAAAGCGGCGAGAATATCGTCGTCGTCGTCGTCGTCGGCGGCGGCGGGTCGGGGAGCGTTGGTGGTGCTAACGGCCGGACTGTGGGCGCGCCCTTGCTCCAAGCTATCCCAGAACTGGTTGTTTTGGCCACCGTACTGGGCCTCAAAGCGAGTGCGATTCTCCACATCCTTCTTGGCTTTCTCTTCTTGCAATCGTTTCTGCTGCTCGACTAGGGACAGGTTCTTGTTTCCAGCGGAGGGCCCAAAGGAGACGAGGTTGGCAAAGCTGTCGCCGGCCGATGGAGCCGGTTTCACTGGCGAGCTGGAGCGGTTTGAGGTTGTCGACACTGGAGTCGATCTGCCGGAGGTACCATTTGGTCGCGCGCTGGCATACAAGAGGCCAGAGCTCATGGGGGGCGGTTTTGGGGGGCATTTGAGTTGGACGACCAACTCAGCCCGGACAGGTCGTCCATTCTGAGGACAGATGGAGCAATTTAGGAAGGAGAGAAGGCGTGATCCATCTCACGCGCGGCATTCGGAAACGTGAACATGTGTACCAGACAGACAATCTCCTTGTGGGGTCCGGACCACATGACGCCACATATCACGTGACCCATCCTGTCCAGTCGAGAACTATAGGAATTGATGGCACGGGTCAGGTATAAGTGACGTGTAAATAAGGCAGAGGGGAATAATTAGGCTATGATTATCCTTTGAATTCGGCTATGATGTGAAATCTATTTAACGGTCAATAATCATTCATGACCAGGGCGAAAAATATCGAGCAGAGATAGAGCGTCAATCTGAAAGAATATCGCTACATAGCTCAGAGTAAGGGTATTTACGCGGAGGATACTGTGTGCAAATCCCCTCGCTGGCGGCTATCTAAGTAAGTGATGATCACATAGAAAGCCGGCAGACTAAAGCCTATCAACACTAAGGCTTTGTAGCCCAACCCACAACAATGGCCATTGTGTTCTTCACGAACATCATTGGACCTTCATGACTCTGATTTTCCGCTTTTCCGCCCCCTAGTTACATAGGAGATGCGTGACAATTTTACAAATTATCTCCTCGAATTGACCATCGGTTCGTGGATTGTGCCCGCATTAGTGCATCCCAAGCGCGACCGAGTTCGGCAGTTCTCCCGTGATGTTGCAGAGTGTGGCCCTCAATTGGGAGTAGTCAGGAACGTGTGGCGGAACACAGTTGTCATGCAATCCGCATCACTTTGCTCAACTTACTGTCTGAAACGATTTATTTCACAACCTGGCCGTTTCATTCCCCGGAACCCGCCCGACAGAGCTTAGTTGATGGGTCTAGTCTCGTCAGCCACCAATGCATAATGATTATTTACGCCCCTCTTCTGCCGCTGCTGTCAGAGTTTTTCTTATTCCTTTTTAAGATTTTTATTTTTTATTTTTTTTAATCTGCGAAGTCCACTTTACAAGCAACGGCCAGAATTTCGGCTACCCGACGCGCACCGATTGAGAGTTCGCTCTGCTTGATCAACTGCCCCTTCGGGTAGAGACGAGCCGCGCGGTAACGAGTTAATGGGCAGAGTGGGCCATAGAGTTGGATAGTAAATTTCGATAGCCCAGCATGTGGCACGTTCACGGACAGCCCCCGCGACGGGTAGTTTCAGTTTAACCAGCGTCCGTGCTGAGACTAGTTGCCGCGGAAGGATTACACCATGTAATAGCTTGCAGGGATTATTTCGGCTCGCTATGGATAGTGAGGACATGTGCATCATTATGAATAAACCCAGGCACTGGTCCCTTGCAGAGTGCCAGGCCTAGTGCTGACCGGGGGAATATGTACAGACTTAGGAGAATACAAAACTTGGATTTGCCCGGAGCACACCGGAGACCATGGTCCATTATGGAGACCAGATCGTTACCCACAGGATTCTAGATCCCGTGCACAGGGCAGTTGGGCATATCTGGTACGCCAGTCCGTGCTTGCACCACTCGGGAAAAGCCTCATCGCCGTGCGATCTATAACGACCACGGAAGACTCAAACTTGCACCGCAGGCCTGAGGGGAATATGATAACCCGACTGGTCAATTATCCACTAGAGGAGGGGCCAAGTGGCGCTTTGGGTCTCCGTTCTAGGCAAACGGTAGGATCAAAGCAAGTATTTCTAGTCGGGATCTGCCCCGCTATTGAGAAAATTCCCGTGCGAGGGGATCAGGGGTAGTTAGGTAGCTCGGAGGGAGTGAAGGAATTTGGACTATTCTTCTTGTAGACCAACCAACTATCGCCTTATCGCACCTCCGTTCTTCCTCCCTCCTTCATTCTTCCTCTGTCATTCCCCTCTTCCCTCCTACCCTCCCTCTGCTCTCCCACCCCCCATCATGGGCCTGTTCAAGCGCAAGGACTCGACCAGGTCGGTACACAGCGAAAGGGACGAGCGCGAGTCCTTTGTCTCCGTCAACAGCGCCCGCACATCCAACACATCGCTGCGCTCGCCCGGCTACAAGGGCAATGCCCTACCAGCTTCCATCCCCGAGATGCCCATTGCACGCCCACCCGACCCGGCGTTAGACCCTGCCGCGTATCTGCGCAGCCTCCACGCCGTGCGTGAACGGACCTCGATCGTGTTCAACAAGGCCAAGAAGAACCAGCTGAACCACTTTGATGTCGACCTCTCCAAGTTCCAGGCAACGGCCTCGTACGTCGTGTCCATCATCAAAGTGAGTCGACCTATCAACCCCGTCCGATGACAAAGCTAATCTGTTACCCGTGAAGAGAGACTACGCCCCAGAATATGAGTCGATCCCGCCGCACGGCCGCTGGCAGCACTTCGACATCGGTGGCCGCCCACGCATCCAGCAGCTGCTTCAGTCGTGGCCCTCCCGTATCGACGCGCAGGAGCGCACCCGTCGGCTGATCGACCTTTTTGTGGTCTCGGTTCTGCTGGATGCGGGCGCGGGAAACAAATGGTCTTACAAATCCAAAGAATCGGGAAAGATCTATTCGCGCAGTGAAGGTCTGGCCGTAGCGAGTCTCGAGATGTTTAAGACGGGCCTGTTCAGCAGCGACCCCACGGAGCCATGCCAGGTGGACGGTGCGGGGTTGAAGAAAGTGACGGTGGAGATATTGGCCAAGGGTATGCAGCACTCCGAATCAAATCCGCTGGCTGGGCTCGAGGGCCGTGCAGGGTTGTTGGTACGATTGTCGGAGGCGTTGAACAACCAGGACTTTTTCGGGGTCGATGCCCGGCCAGGAAACATGCTGGACTACCTTCTCTGCCACCCGTCGACCCTGGCTTCCTCCGTGCCCATTGTCCCCATCACCACGTTATGGACGGTGCTCATGGATGGGCTCTCTCCCATCTGGCCGCCCTCTCGAACCCAGGTTGACGGCATATCGATCGGAGACGCCTGGGTGTGCTCGAATATGCCCCGCTCACCACCCGCGCAGCCGTGGGAAAGCATAGTCCCCTTCCACAAGCTGACCCAATGGCTGTGCTACTCCATCATGGTCCCAATGTCGAAATTAATGCACATCCACTTCGCCGGCGGAGATCTCCTGACTGGCCTTCCGGAATATCGCAACGGCGGCCTTCTCATCGATATGGGTTTGATGACCCTTAAGCCTCGAGAACTGGAGCGTGGGATCCAATCCTACCACCAAAACGCTCGGATTAAAGGCCAGCCCAACATGGAAGTGGTTCCGCTCTTTTCCACTGATGATGATGTGATCGTCGAGTGGCGCGCCGCCACTGTTGGATTCTTGGACGAACTCCTCGACGAAGTGAACTCCCAGTTGGGGCTGCGAGCTGCGGAGGACCAATTGACGCTGGCGCAGATGCTGGAAGCGGGCACATGGAAGGTGAGTCTCGCGGAGGAGACGGAGAAGCGACCGAAAGAAAAAAGTCTTGCTAACCGGATTGGCATATAGGGCGGCCGTGAACTCGCCGAGGTCTCTAGACCCAACACCAAAGAACCACCGATCATGATTCGATCCGATGGCACCGTTTTTTAATAATGTCCTACGAGTCTCACGCTAATCGATGCCCTCACTATGGGGGCGTGCTTATGAACTGTTGATGACGACTTTCTTATTACCTATAACTGATGATGATTTTGTTTTTGGTACATTTGGCTCTTCCGGGCTTCGTTGCATGGTCGGCTGAGATCGGCACTTTGATCTCTGTTGCGTTTTAGCTATCAGTACTGCATACATATCTGCATGAGATGAAGTCAATTGATGACAGGACACCGTCAATCCAAGATATCTGCCATGTAGCTTTCCACCGTCTATTTAACTTCCACCATCACACTAGTGAACGAGGGACTATACCTCGTTCTATCACGTGCCTCGGGCCAACCTTGATCCGGCCCCTCCGCATCCATGCAGCAGCCGGTCACCTGCCCCCTCATGCACCGTCTTTTTGCTCCAATTCCCTCTGGTCCCAGGTATGACTGATCCGAACCACTGACACCGAATAGTCGTCCCAGCTTGTCCTTCTAGCTGGCCCTGACCTGCCTCTTCCTCACAACCCGAGTGTCCCCCGCTCTTGCGGGGCATCCGCACCTAAGCTCGCCAACATGGATGCACGCAAGAAGAAGAGAAAGGTGCTGCTGATGGGCAAGAGCGGCTCTGGCAAGTCGTCTATGCGCTCAATCATCTTCAGCAATTATGTCGCAAAAGACGTGCGGCGACTAGGTGCTACCATTGACGTGGAGCACAGCCATGTCAAGTTCATGGGCAATCTAACCCTCAACCTATGGGATTGTGGAGGGTGAGTGGCTCCTGTCCCTGTCTCATTCCAATATTAAACGAGGCCACAGACAAGACGCATTCATGGAAACGTACCTCGCCTCGCAAAGAGGCAACATCTTCTCCGACGTCGCCGTGCTCATCTACGTCTTCGACATCGAATCCCGCGAGGTCGAGCGCGACCTCGACACCTACAGCGCAATCATCGACGCCCTCCGCGAATTCAGCCCCTACGCCCACGTCTTCTGCCTCGTCCACAAAATGGACCTCATCCAAGGCGAGCACCGCCAACGCATCTACGAAGAACGCTCGGCCCTCATCCGCTCCCGCTCCGCACACTTCCACATCGACACCTTCGCCAGCAGTATCTGGGATCAATCGCTGTACAAAGCCTGGGCGGGGATCGTGCACAAACTCATTCCCAACCTGACGGTTATCGAGCGCTTTCTCTCGGCGTTCGCGAAGAAGATTGACGCCGAGGAGGTTATTCTCTTTGAAAGATCGACTTTTCTGACGGTTACCTCTGTTTCCTCAACAATAGGCGATCTCAACCCTATTTTCGATCGCCATGAACGGCTGTCGAATATCATGAAAGCGTTTAAGCATTGCGCTGCGCGGAATACATTGACGACACCTGCTTCGGCCGGGTTTGTGGTTATGCATACCAAGACCCCGCAGTTTAATATCTTCCTGGGGAGATTCACAGATAACACTTATATTTTCGTCGTCGTGCCGCCGGGCGAAGCGGCGTACAACTGCGCCGTGCTGAATACCATGCTCGCACGTGAGGGCTTCGCCAAAGCGGGTGCGTCTGGACGTGGTGATGGGTTCCCACTACCGCCGTCCGAAACGCCGGATGATCATACTGCGAATGGACCACTCTCCCCTTGAGTTACATACCGCTGAACTGGACTGGTCTGGCGTTCTATGATTGTGAAAAACGAAAACCAGAAATAAAGAAAGCAAGTTACTTGACTATGATAACGGGCGCTGAATTGAATGAATGATCACGGCGTTGCGGTACGAAGATCAATGAATTTCCCGGTCCTTCCTTGTTTCCCTTGTTCTCCTTTCTTTTCCCTCGTTTCTGTCTCGTTGAATGTTTGAGAATCGAGATACCCCCAAGCTTTTTTCCATGGCATTTGTTTATTTTCATCAGTCATATATGTCTCCCTCATTCCCATCTCATTCTCGACTATTTTTAGTTGCATTGCTCTGTCTATAGGGTGAAGTTATAGTGCGTATTTGACTCGTTTAGTTGGATCACTATTCTGGATGTACTTTGTCGATTGTAGGAACTGTGATGCTCAAGACTGGCAGAGGTGAGGCAAGGATGCCTACGCAGCTTCGCGAAGAGTGAGAAGCCCCGCGTTGTTCCTGTGATTTTCTAGCCGAAACAAAAGGTCGAAGAGGGTATACTATGTGGAGGGAGATCCTTCCACACAAGCGACGGTTTCAATTCAAGATTCTGGGTAACCGATTGGTGTGGGTAGTGAGCACATCAGCAGAACCCCTGATATGCACATAGTAAGTGGTCCTGACTTGCAATCATTGACGATGCGTCTTATGGTCTATGCCCGAGTTGTTCAGATTAACCCCCCCCCCCCCCCCCCCCCCCGGGGGTCAGAGATACGTTAAAATAAAGCCCTGAATATAACTATCTCCTCAGACACCAAAGCAAAAATAGTACAGATACCGTTTCTGTTTAGTGGAATACAAATATTCAAGCAGGCGCGTGTTCCACCTTTTCCTTCTTTCCTGATATCTCGCTTGCATCCCGAATCAGATCAATGTCCGCAGACTTGAACTTCCATGCCGGCGTACCTTTTTCGAAAAGAATATCAAGCTCTTCATAAGTTCGTCCTTTGGTCTCAGGAAGTCGGAATATGCACCAGATAATAGAAAGCATGGCGATTCCCATCCATACAAAGGCCGTCTTTCCCTTCAAATTGGCCGCCGTGGGGTTAATGAGATACGGTTCTATCAAGCCCGTAATTAGGTTCGTGCAAATATAAGCATTTCGCGCCAGAGACAGAGTCTGAGAGCGGACTCTTGTGGCCGAAACTTCGGCTGCGAGAGCAAATGATTGCGGGCCCAGTGTGATCGAATATATGGCTAGCCAAACCACAGTTAAGATTGCCTGAGCCCAAGTATCAGCGTTACTGGTGGCTGCCGGGTATGAAAGAGCACCAGTGACAAGCAGAGTGATGGTCATCAATGTCATTCCCCCGATGATCATGGATCGTCGCCCAAACCATCGCATTAGTACCCATGAGCAACAAGTTGCCACGAAGGCGACCGAAAAGCCGATAAAGTTGAGCTTATATGAGTCTGAAGAGCTGAGGCCTGCTTGAGTAAAAAAGTAGGTGCTTCCATACGCAAACTGTTCTCCGGACAGAGTTTGTGCCATCAAGACCATACAAGCAATCTCTGTCCGTCGAAGATTTGTCCCTTGAAAACAGTCCGAGTAAGTAGATTCTGTCTTTGTGGCCGCCTCCAGATTGTTCGTGTGAATCATCATGGCTAACTTGGTTTCGATTTCTTCGGAACTCGTATCCTGGGAGGAGAGTCGGGTCAAGACGTCTTTGGCCTCTGCAATCCGATTCTTTCGGATGAGCCACCAGGGAGAATCAGGAGCCATAAAAGCCAAGGCAAATAGTGGAAGAGGCCACATCCATTGAAGAGCCAAAGGGATGCGAAAAGCCCACTCCGTTGGATTGTCGATGAGACCTTGCAAAACACCAGCAGCGACAAGCTGACCAATCACCCAGCAAATGTTGATAAAAGACGTCAAGATACCTCGAAGAGCCAGTGGACATATCTCGGAAGCATATGCGGAACCCAAGATGCCAAAGACCCCCCACGGAATGCTGCAAAGAATCAGGCCGAGGAGCAAAACCGGGAGACTTGGCGCGAAGAACGGGATGAAGATGAAAGCACACAAGACCGATAAGCTGGCCATGATCACCTTGCGGTGACCAAATCTCTCCGTCACGAACCCGTTGATGATCAGACCAATTACGCTGCCTGATGTGGGCGCCAGACTCAACGCAACTTGCCAGCTTGTGGGAATGAGCCATTCGTCCAGACCCGGATAGAACGTCCCATACTTCTTCTTGAACTGGGGGTATGCATAGAAGTTGGAGATCAAGATTGTGTCATAACCTTCCATGATAATATTAAAAGACATGGCGATAGCCCAGAAAGTTGCAGTGGGGAATTGCCGAACCGCCTGCCAGAAATTCAGACTGTGCTCATCTCTCGTGGCTATCTCGGCCGCCGCGTCCAACGCGTGAGATTGCTTGACCCCATTGAGTCCAATTTCGTCCATTAGTGAGGTTTGATTCGGCGCCATATCTGCTAGCTAGTCGTCGGCTCAATATAGCAGTGATAAAACGTGGAATATTGATGATTTACCGTTATTTTATACCATCACTTGCAGGGCTCGGGTCATTTAAATACCGACAGCGTAGCTAACTCAGGGATAGCACCTTGCGCTTTGACTTTCGTACGAGAACAAATAACAGGATCCTATAACCCGATCACCTACACGCAGGCCTCATGCGGGGAAGTTTGTAAGTGCCCATCTAGCGAATAGACCGAAATCCTTCCATATCCCCGGAATTCATTGATCGTGCCTTTGATTGCCTATTTTGTATTAGAGTTACTTTTCCCCACGGGGGGTAGAAGCTCCAAATGGTATAACCTCCTAATATAAATCCGGGGTCTCATACTCCGTGGACTATTCTGTCATGGGACCGTGGTCGATTACCCCAGGTTCGGATTATTTTCGGGGGAATTGGCGGATACAAGCATCCACGGGACCCACTTCGCGAACTATTGGTCTTTCCAAGTGCCCAGACTGGTCGTCGGATGACTCGGGCTTACGTCTCACAACGAGTACTACGACAATTGCGAACCACCGCGCTCTTGGGATTCATTATTATTCGAGCCACGTCCTGTTTACGGCAACGCAGCCTACGTCCCCCCGCTTTAAGCTAGTGATCATCGTTCTGGGCTTTATATTTGCCGGGGACTGCTACAGACCGCATTCTTTCTCTTGTTAGTGGAAAGCAATCGTTTCTGAAAAACTGGAACCTCTACATTCTCCCTCGTTTTTGGAAAGACTCTCTACCAAACGTTCAAACCTTTCCTGTCATGTCTGCCCTTACTACAGATTACCTAGAAAGGGTTTATGCGGGCGTGTTAGGCAAGCTGGTCGGCGTTTACCTTGGCCGACCTTTTGAAGGATGGCATTACGATCGCATCATGAAAGAGCTTGGGCCGATCCGCTACTACGTGCACCAGAAACTGGACATGCCTTTGGTGGTGACAGATGATGACGTTTCCGGAACCTTCGTGTTCTTGCGGGCATTGGAAGAGCACGGAGTATCCCCCGATCTGTCGTCAGAGGCGATCGGAAAGACCTGGCTCAACAACGTTATCGAAAACCGCTCTGTCTTCTGGTGGGGAGGCAATGGTATCTCGACCGAACACACCGCGTATCGCAATCTCAAACATGGAATTCCAGCTCCGTTGAGTGGCGCCATCAAAACCAACGGGTCCACTGTCGCAGAGCAGATAGGCGCCCAGATCTTTATCGACGGCTGGGCGTTGGTGGCGCCAGGTAATCCAACGTTGGCTGCGAGACTTGCTGCCGCTGCGGGTTCCGTGAGCCATGACGGTGAATCGGTTTACGCGGCCAAATTATGGGCCGCTATGGAAGCTGAGGCGTTTGTCTCGAAAGATGTAAACCATCTGTTGGAGGTAGGCCTCAGCTTTGTGCCTGCCGATTCGCTCATTGCGCGGTTAATCAGCGACATTAGGAATTGGGTGACGGTGGATGGTGACTGGGAGAAAACCCGCCAGAGAATCGAGGATGTTTACGGCTACCACAAATTCCCCGGCATGTGTCATGTTATCCCAAACCACGGTTTAATGATTATGGCACTTTTATACGCCGGCGATGACTTCCACAAGGCCATGTATATCATCAATACCGCTGGCTGGGATACCGACTGCAATTCAGGAAACGTTGGGTGTCTCGTGGCTATTATGCATGGCCTGGCTGCCTTTGAGGGAGGCCCTGACTGGCTTTGGCCCTTGGCTGACCGCGCGATCATCTCTAGCGCCGACGGAGGCTATTCGATAAATAATGCAGCTCGCATTACATACGACGTGGCCAACCTAGGGCGCAAACTTGCCGGCCAAGCACCGCTGTCTGCTCCGAAAAATGGCGCCCAGTTCCATTTCACTCTCCCCGGGAGTGTTCAGGGCTTTCAGGCAACTCGCAATGACTCTCTCCCAGATCTAGTCAAGGTCAAGCAAGCCGCTGATGACAAGAATCACGCCGGACTTGCTATTCACTTGGACGGGGTTACCAACGCTGTTGAGCCTGTTGAAATCCTTACCCAGACATTTTCTCCGCCAGAGGTGATTAAAATGAGGAGTTACGACCTGATGGCGTCGCCGTTGCTGTATCCCGGTCAACACCTGAAAGCTGTGGTGCGAGCCGAGGGAGCCAACACCCTGCCAGTCCAGTCTCGACTGAGACTTAAGGTCTATGGCCCGAATGACAACCTACGTACCGTTGACGGACCTTTGGTGACGATCGAGCCCGGCCAGGAACAGATACTTGAGTGGAGGATCCCAGATGCTCTAGACAGTCAACCCATTCAGCAAGTCGGACTCGCCTTTTCGGTTCCTGAGGGACGCCTAGACGGCCTGGTGTGGTTGGATAGTTTGAGCTGGAGTGAAGCACCGCACCTGTCGTTGAGAAGACCATCGAACACGCCAGGGGAGTTCTGGAAACGAGCGTGGGTCAATGGCGCAGATAGTTTTTTCACACATCATCCTTCGGATCCATTTTACATTGCACAGGATCGCGGCGAGGGAATAATCCTCTACGGAACCCGAGATTGGACAGATTACCAAGCTGTCTCCAGGCTTACGGTTCGCCTTGGAGGACCTGCCGGTGTTGTCTTTCGAGCACGAGGACTCAATCGCTACTACGCCCTGTTGTTGATGGCAGGGAATTGCATAGCATTGGTCAAGGCACGGGATGAAAAGAGAGTCGAGCTTGCGAGAGCAGCATTTGACTGGAAGCTTGATAAAAGGTATGAAGTTACCGTGGCTGTGCAAGGCAGTACGATTAAAACTTCTATTGGTGGCGGACCAAGCTTGGAAGCAACGGATGATGACTATCCTGCTGGCGGAATAGGTCTGGTTGTCGCGGATGGTGCTGTCTCTGCAAACCAGTTTGATGTCACGCCACTCAAATAATCATATCGTGAAATTTAATTCAAGTTGGGAACAATTATAGATTGAATTCAACACTTTACTGACATAGATGTATTCGCAAACATTGTTTTCACTGGACGAACCGTGGAGGATATATAGTTGGCTGTCATTATTCTCTCATTCACTCTCCGCGTTTGTTCTTCTCTTCGAAGTAAAATTTCCATTGCATTTTTGTCCTGCCTGTTATCTAGGATCAAATGGCCAATTTACACGCTTTGCTACAGTTAGACCCTCGCCACGAGACTCATTTTTCCTGGCCGGCTGTCTGCATCCATTCAACATACGCTGCGCGACGGGCGTCTCTCGCAGCGTCCTATATATCATTCGGAATGTACCCGTCCGAGTTCGTGTGGAGGGAGCGCTTCCTCTGAGCCATAATAGACCAAGGACAGAGTAACAGTTCATCATTCCATCTAACTATGCTTTTGCTATCTCTCAAACCGCATCCAAACAGAGAGACAGGATAGAGCAGAAAGAAAAGAGACAAGGGAGGTAACTAAGCATAAGCGCATATGGTTATCTATCGGACCGGCCGGTCTCAATCATGGGAGAAGAATCAAAAACAGAACAGAAAGAGATTAAGGCGGGCTGTACAAATTGATAATGGATCGATCATCTAGTAACGCAAGAGAAAATACCTTCCTTCTTCCCAATCTTATTGCACATCAGGCATGCGGACGGCAATGTCGCCCGATTGTGTGATGTAGCGGACCCAGGGGAGGGAGGGGTATTGCAACTGGAGGTTTCGTCAGCTATGGCAAGTACTATCAAGGCGAATTGGATTACTTACCTTGGGCTCTGTGATCTTCAAGTACCGCACTTGGATACCACTCGTGGTGAAATAGGGGATCTCGAATTTGACGTTGATAGGCCGCTTCGCTTTGCCCATCTGCCCGGCACCGCCCATGCTGCCTCCGAACCCACCGGTCATGCCGCCACCGCGCTCGTCGTCGCCCTTGACGGACGGCAGACCCAGCTCCGCCCGCATCAGGAACTCCTTGCCGCCGCCAAACTGCTTGATCTTCCAGATTATGGCGGACTTCTCGGGAGCGTAGTGCACCGTGCCGATGTTGGTACGGAAACGGGGGGAGTCTGCATCTTCCGGGACGGGAACGAGGATCTCGACGTTGTTGGCTGTGCTGCGGCGCTTGAATTGAGCCTTGGCCTAGAAGGGAGAACGTGTTACCAGTGTGAGGGAACGTGATGTCGAATGCACTTACCTTGAGCATGTACTCAATGCGTGACCCCGAGTGGGACTCAACCACGCACTCCACCCAGATCAATGGCTTGACCTGCGTGTTCAACCGGTAGCTCATAAGCTCAAACTCACCGTCCGGTGGAATAAAGCTGATCGTTCTGTCGTTCTCAAACCGTGACAGACGCACGCACTGGTGGAACTTGACATCCTCCATCTCCACCGATTTGCCCCGTGTAGCACGGCCTGTCGTTTCGAACATGGCCTTGTCGTTCAGACCGAGTCGCAGCTCGGGCATTCCGCTCAGATAGCACTTCATCTTGACCGCGCCCAGGATCTCGGACCGCAGGACGTTTCCGTTTGCCGACACCAGGAGATTCAGAGACTCGACCACGTCCAAGAAGACTTCGTTCTTGCGGTAGCGGATTCCTTCGCTACGCCATGAGACGGCGTTTGTGACGGCGATGGGTGGCCGGGCTTGAACTTCCAGCTTGTGTGATTCTTGGGTGATGTACCTAGCAGCACTCGTCAGCAACACAATTAGCAGCCAATGGGCTCCGTGAGGGTCCTACTCTTGCAGAATCTTGCTCTCTGTTGTTTGCGGATACCCAAAATCCATCATCTCATCCAGCAATTCGTAGATGACGACAAAGTTGTCGCGGATACTCTCCTCCTCCAGCACCTTGAAGTATTCCGTGAATACCTCCACCAACTTGTGGAGGAAGAGCAGGATCTCGGCGGCATTTGTGTTTCGTTTCGTCAAAGCGAGGATATAGAGGTTGCTGTGGCGGATATAGAGGTACTATCGTCCAGACACACACATTCATCAGCCACACCCACACCATCGGAGGGGTTTGTTATGCGAGTGAGACATACGTTGATTCCTTCGTGGGAGAAGCAGGGCGGCACGGCAGAACTTTCTTCTTCGGCGTCATTCAAGAGGGTAGGGAACATGTCGACTGCGGACATGGGAATGTCCCCGCGATAGTTGCGGGCCAGAAGGGTCTACCACGGGGTCAGCATGGCCTGATCACAAATGGGCGAATGGGCATCAATTCGGGCCTTGCACCCGCTATTCCCCAAAGTCAAAACCCACCTTGCCCTTCAGGTCGAGGAAGAAGAGAGCGGACGCCATGACGGACGGGAGGGCGTGTCAAGAGGACAGCAGTGTGTCGAAAGGGCGAGGACGGATTAGGTGGAGTCTGGGATGGGGGAGAGACAACCAAGCCACATTCTGCGCCTAGGGCAGCATGGGACAGTGTCGAGAGAACAAACAAAGAGAGATCGTGGAGGGAGCAGAAAGGAGAGTCAGTGAGCGCAGCTTGGTTTGGTCAGTTTGGTGATGGCCCATTGAGTCGGTGGGACGGATGAATGGGGTTTAGCGTGGGTCACGTCTACCGCCCAAAATCAAAATCTCTTTTCCGTTTTTCCTCTTTTCCTTCTTCTTCTTCTTCTTCCAACGCTCTCCACAGACAGTGCAAGGCAGTACAAAGTCCTATCCGGATTTTTCTGCGGTTCCTTTTGGCATTCTGTCAGAGGACCATCAGTGTTTCAATTACTAGACTTGCGATACCGAGTTGCGAAGACGAATCCTTTGGAAGGGTTCCATAAGAACTGGCCGAGTATTGTACCTACTGTTACTTGGGCGGTGTCAGAGGAACCGGACATTCAGAAACAAAGTTACATAGTGATTGATATAAAAGTACATGTACAGCAGAGAGGAACCAGTAGGGTCCTGGTAGACGAACGGGGAAATAACAAAATAACGCCCTGACCATGCTCCGGGGTTCCTCATACCCCAAGTCCCTCCCATCCCTCTAAGACACAGACTTAATGCCTAGGGGAGCCAGAATCCGCTCCTTGGCCACCTTGCTGGCGACTTGTCCTCCCTGCTCCAACGAGAGCGCCCCGACCACGGCGTACAGGGTGTGTGCCAGCACCAAATCCAAGCCGGAGGTCTTCAAGCCATTGGGTCCATCGGGCTGTGTGAGACGGGTTAGTACGAGGAACGGGAATAGAAACAGGATATTAAAAGGCCAACGAACATTTTTCGGGTTCCATCGAATCACCTTCTCCATATCGTAGCTTCGTGCCACGTCGGCCAGCTTTTTCCGATCCGTCAGGAAGCTCTTCTTGTCGAGGGAGATATTGTGCAGCCCGTCCAATGCCGGGTGGGAGAATATCTTGCGACCGAACTTGTCGGTCAAAGGTCTCTCGGGGGTCGGTTCGGGGTTTTGTACGAGAGCCAGCGAGGCCTGTAATTGCACGATCCGTTTTCCTAGTCAGGGTCAGATTCCGTCCGTCTCTGCCATGGTATCATCACTCCGTACCTAGAAAGGCCAGTCGATCATTGAACCCTCTGCGTCCCTGATCGAAACTCTTATGGGTCACGGTGAGCCACTTGAGCTCCTCCGAGAGCATCTTGTCACCACCGTTCCCCAGCATCCGGATATAGAACAGGTCGAGAAGAGCCGGGTTGGAGTTGACAGGCCAGTGCGCGCGGTTCGGCTTCGTTCGGAGGGAGAAAGGCGCCTTTGCGCGCGGCGGAGTGTAGGACCATCGAGGCTTGTCGGATTCACTGGTTGGCACGGCGTCGGTGGACGTGGATTGGGGGCGAGAGAGGGTGGGCACGACGGGCCGGACAGTGCGCGCGGCGATGCAGGCGGACCTGGCCGCGCGAGCAGACACAGTCGAAGCCATGGAGGGAGTGGTTTTGAGAGAAGTTGTGGTTGAAGCCGAGTTGAAAAGGGAAGAATTTCGGGTTGGTGGAACTAGCCTGTTTAGGATTAGCGCCACCACTCACGGAAGTATACCGGGCAAACATTATTCAACAACACCTGGGGAATCAGCTTCACCGCGGATGAGTTTGAACGTAAGTGTCTAGCGCTCAACTGTCTCCCCACATTCCTGACACCAATTTGTGCCAACTCAAGCAACATCTTTCTATGGATGGCACAGGAGCGGATAGCACCATCGGAGGACCTGTGTGCCTTGTGAGAGCTGCCAGGTAACATCAGTCCAGCAGTCCGACTGGTCCAGAGAAGACTCAAGACGTTCAATAACGGTTTCTAGGTGCCTCCGCCCCCTGGACAACAGGCTAGCCGCTGCAGGAGCAATGTGAGACACTCTGGAAGCAGGAGGGAGGTTCTAGGCTGACACGACGAATGTTCGGCGGTCTTCTCTGACCGCTGGATGTCAAAACAGGCTGCTTGTTTGATGCTACGATCGGATATTGGCAGTGTAGGGTCTGCAGCACTATACTCCCTGGTCTCTTTTTTTTTTTTTTTTTTTTGTGTCACGGAAACAAGTCAAGGTCCACGTGCCATTATGTTTGTCTCTTGGTCCATACCCATACCAGAGTTGAGACTGGAAGGTCTGTGGATCTTCTTTCTGTTTACTCCTTTCCAACGGTTTCATAAATCAGTCAACGGACGGGGTCTACTTCCTCGACACCGTCAGTCCCTATACTCAATTCCTTTGCGCTGCGACTTCGATCAGTGGGAATGCAGCGATAAATCATAAAACAAAAAATTGACACAATCCAGAAATAATGCTCACGAATCTGTTTGAGCAATTCAACAAGTACCGCTGCTTTCCGCTCCGCCGGCTCCAGACAGTCTATTACCAGCCATTCTTCATGAATCTCGGCGTTACTGCAAGAAGCCGGCAGAAGCGACGGCTCAGACCGCCGGTGTCACTCTGCAGCTTCCGTCGGAAGGGACGGTCCGGGGAAAAGATCTTCGGGGACCGTGTATGTGTGGGCTGCTGCATGAGAGACAGCGGAATTTTTCATTCTCTCTTTGGTTTACTTTTTGTTATTCTTTTTCACGGATGCTTGTCATTTCAAATGCTCGAGCCAGCCGGGTGTGACCACTTCCCCGGCCCACGGTTTCTACTACTGTATAGGACCAAGGCTCTCCCGTCGGGCCCTTGCAGCGGCTGCTTCTGCGAGATCTTCTGTTATTGCTTTTTTGTCGCAGAATGAAAAGTGAGAAATCGGGAAGCGCCAGATCCAAACGGCTTCTACAGGATGGCGGTGTACGACGTGGTCTGGGCAAACCATTTCTCTGCAGTGCAGGAAGGACTATTAAATCGAGGTTATCCGCCCTGTCAAATGGTTTTTCCTCAAGCGTCTTCTTTTCATCCTCGTTATTTTCATTTCGAATTGTTCTTCAACAAGTCTTCACTCTTTGGGCCAGTTTAGGGCTTTGTGTCCGCCAGTTATATATGTACTCGTTTTTCCTTTATTTGACAACATCAAAAAATGGCCAACTTCGACAGCTCAGTGGCTTCTCTGCCAATGATCGGCTCATCCACGACACGGCTCTCCGATCCGATCTACGTCGGGATGTCTACGTGTGACCACTCCGTGCAAGATCCTCCCTCCCCACGACCTTTCCCTCCCAATCCGCCGCCAAGTCCTGCTTAGGCGGACTTGGAATCAGATTTGCTTTGCTTTGGCGTTGAGGAGTCCCAGGCTAATAGGTGAGTTCTGCGTTTGTGTCCTAGCAGACCACTCATTAATTTGATGTAGATCATGTTTTGGAGATCGGAGTCTCTCGCTGCATACTGAGGACAAATTTCGCTATACTGTGTGTTGCACACTAGCGTGGTATATTACCGGCTTGCTGTATTGGAATCGTTGCTTGTAGGAGAAATGTGGGATTTGGAAGCAAGTATAGTTTTCGATTTTTGGTAATAATCAAGCTGGAGGTCCTAAGCTATACTCCCTAGAACCATTCGGACACCTGAAAGAGAAGACATAAGAGAAAAAGGTGAATGTGCACCTTGCGATCTTACATCAATTCGAATTTCATGTATATCAAAATAGAAAAAGAAAAAGTTTAATAACACAAATGAAATTCAGGACGGAGGCGGAGCACAATCAAATGAGAGCAAGTGCAAGGGCACTGGAAACAGCCAGGCCCACGACAGTCCAGCCAGTCTTGATGATGCTCGGGTTGGTGAGGGCACGGCCCGTGTCCCAGAGCAAGTGCCGCACGCCGTTCATGCAGTGGTAGGTGAAAGGCAGGGCCATGACGGTCTTCAGAAGAATCTTGGCGGCGACGGGAAGTGCACCGAAGGTGGCGGCCATCGAAGCCGACTCCAGGTGCCAGCCGAACAGGGGCGAAGCGAGGTATGCAGTCGCCCACAGGTACAGGGGGCCGGAGAGGGCGATGCCCGTGATGCGGTGCAGGGAACTGCCGATCCAAGTGATCTGGGGCTTGTAGATGGACAGATGCGGGGAGACGGGACGGTTCAGGCGCTGCTTGGCCAGGATCTGGGTCGGGTCTTCAGTATTGGCGGAAGAGGTGGCTTGTCTGTTTTGCGTGGGTCAGTCATCGCAATGACGTAGAAATTAATGGCGCGAGGGATTGGGGGAGACGAATTGCCAATGATACGAGAGACACGAACCTCATCTGGACATTCTTGCCAATGGCGACCGCGGCGGGTGAAGCGGCGCCCATCATGGACCACCGCATGGCGTAGGGCTGCTGGACGGCAACTGTGGTAATGGTCAGGTCAGTGGGATCACAATAGAGTGGAAGCAAGATAACACATACGCCGTCGCAGCGACTGCTGGGCAACCTTCTGGGAGAGCATGGCTGAGGCAGGGACACAACAAGGTGAGGCTCAGGACAAGAAGTCTCGCGAACGATCGGAATCAACGGTAACCTCGGGAGTGAGTGGTCATGTGATGCCCACCAATCACAGCATCGGCATTTGTTGGCAGGCGGAAGATCCTTCTTCCAGTCAGGTGACCTGGCCGGTCGCTTGTTCCTTTTTTTCTTTCCGTGGAAATTTCCTCTTCTCCTCCACGAGCCTCTGCACACGTCGTCGACCAACCTCCACAGGGCTGGGATGATGTCGATGTGTTTTGCAGTCCCTCACTGGTTTCGGCATTCTGTCGCGACCGCCGAGGGATAGACGAGGTTTGGAGAAGGAGCATCCCGTCGTTAATCGCCCGTTCTTCCCTGTCCATGGGATGGAAGGGTTTCATATCAGGGCAACATATATTATATTATTCGTCTACTGTCTCTCTAGATACTGTCCAATCCATTCTATATGTTGATACTAGTACCTCTGGTTCGGATCCGGCGCTGGACAAAGTCACCGTAGTCACATGCCCCCTCAGCCATCCAACAGACAGAATCACCTGCAAATATTCTCTGGAACTAGCCATCACTGGTCTTGCGTCTCCGGCATAACACCGGTGTGCGCTGGGATCAATATAAGCTCTCGGTCCGTCAAGAATACATTATAATCGGTGAATACATAATCATCGTTGTGTCGGCCCAGGGACCTCGGCAACTCGCCCTGCCCCCACAGCCTCTGTCCGCGGCTCCGCCTGGGGTAGTCCGGTGCTTTTTAATCACGTCGTCTCACCTTTTGATTCCTTCTTCTTGCATTGAACGAACTTCTCGGCGCTCGTTGAATTGCATCTCGTTCGCGCTGACCGCATATACGCCCATTACGCCCCATATCAAAACCATCCGATAGCGACAGCTGTCTTTCAAGATGCCCTTCAACACAGCTTTGACGCGCAAACTCGGCATCCGGGGTATGGACCATGTGGCCATTGATAAGAAGAGTACTGACAGCATCTACAGTGCCCGTTGTGCAGGGAGGTATGCAATGGGTCGGATATGCCGAACTGGCCTCGGCCGTTAGCAACGCCGGGGGTCTCGGTATAGTACGTTTGCTCCCTGTGGAAACCACCATAAACACGCCTCTAATATATTGTCCAGCTCACTGCTCTCACCCAACCGACCCCCGAAGACCTGCGCAAGGAGATCCGGAGATGCCGGACCATGACCAAGTACCCCTTCGGCGTCAACCTGACTCTCCTCCCGGCCATGGTGCCCCCAGACTACGGGGCATACGCGCAAGTCATCATAGACGAGGGTATCAAGATCGTTGAGACCGCCGGCAACAACCCAGGCCCCGTCATCAAGCAGCTTAAGAAAGCCAACACAATCATCTTGCACAAGTGCACGACCATCCGACACGCCAAGTCAGCTGTCAAGCTGGGCGTGGACTTCCTGTCGATTGACGGATTCGAGTGTGCCGGCCACGTCGGTGAGCACGACATCACCAACTTCATTCTGTTGAGCCGCGCCCGCCAGGACCTCGGCGTTCCCTTCATTGCCTCTGGTGGATTTGCCGACGGCCAGGGTCTCGCGGCTGCCTTGGCTCTCGGTGCCGAGGGCATCAACATGGGCACTCGCTTCATGAGCACGATCGAGGCTCCCATCCACCACAAGGTCAAGGAGGCCATCGTGAACGCCCAGGAGACCGATACCGCCTTGGTGCTCCGCCGGTGGAAGAACACCTCGCGTCTCTTCGCCAACAAGGTGACCCAAGACGCGTTGAAGGTCGAGCGCGAGAGCACGACTGGCGACTTCAGCGAGATCGGCCCCTATGTCAGTGGCAAGCGGGGTCGCCAGGTCTTCATTAACGGTGACGTTGACTACGGTGTAAGTTCTTCTTGCTCGTCTTGAGAGACGAATCTGACATTATCTATTATAGGTGTGGACTGCTGGTCAGGTCATTGGTCTGATCCAGGACATCCCTACCTGCGCTGTGCTGCTCGACCGTATTGAGAAAGAGGCCCTGGAGGCCATGAACCGGACTCAGTCTATGTACAGCCCGGCTCCTGCTAGCAAGCTTTGAGCGTGCAGTATTCTTGTTTTGAATGATTCAATAGAGCTCGTTGGAATCACATTGCGAGGCACCGTTTCTATATTCATGATTACTTCAGATAAGACAATATAGCATCCGTGATCATTTCCTGAGTAACCTAACGAAGCCCGCTTGAACCGTAGCAAGCTCACATCATCGCCAAGATGATTGACACTCCCACTGTGTATGGTGGCTGGAGAGAAGGCCACTAACATTCTCCAGCAGCACTAACATTCTTCTGCTTCGATGGGTCGCCTTGAGAGAAATTCTACCCAAAATATCCGCGTAATACCCGTGGCATTCTTGGTACATTTAAAAGAAGGGGCCCAAAACAAACTGAATAATCTTGTCCGTACTTTGGCCAAGCAAAGAGGGGTTGCATCATGTGTCTCACAGTCCCATCCACCTGTGTTGCAAGACCAAAAAGGGATGCGCATTCAATCATGCAGCTATGTCGATCATCCTAGAGAATGCTTGGCCTGTGCCCTACATACGTGTAGATTAAGTCTGTTTTTGTCCAGAACCTGTTCCTTCTTAGGGGATAATTGTGTACTGGCTGGCTGGATATGAAGTCATACTCATAATTGCGCGCATCCTAGCAACGCCCCGTGTGTAAACACTCGGAGTTGCATCGTAGGTTGCAAGACGTAGCGCAGTGTAGAGCTAGTTATTAGCGGGATTTCACGACTCGTAAAAAATATGCGAATCTTGAAGCTATGAGAGCTTTTCCGAGGTGCCAGCTGTTTCACTGCAGCCACAACCCAGTAAGCCCGATAGTTATGATCTAGATAGCGCATGTTTTGTACGACTCCTCCGCAACAACACGGGCCCATTCTAGCTGTCTCATCAAAGCAATCCTCTTCCTACATCTTTGTGCACAATCACCTACTCTCATGTCATATTCTTGATATTCTCAGCAAGGGATAATCAAGTCGGTCGTTCACAATGCGCTTTATTTCCTCGATAACCCGCTACCTTCGAAGCAAGCGATCCTCCAAGAGGCTATCACGGTCAAAACCATGCGACGAGGACTCCAACGACTTGATAATTCAGACGTCGGAAACGGTCTCCTTCGCGCAAGGAGACACAGACAGTATCGACTCCGCCTCTAGCACAATTGTACGGCACTCAATCGACGAACCAGCCCAGTCCACAGAAACAAGGACGGATGAGAACAAGCTGCAGAGCATGGGAAACATCAGTATCCACACCTTATTTGATGAGAGAGTGTCTTCGAATCTCGGGAGTGATAAAGCCGTGCAGGCGCTTTCGAGGCCAGAATACCCTGTTATTAAGCTAGATACCACACCAGAACCGCCTGACCAACCACCGAAATCTCTAGAGGAGCCGATGCCGCTTGACGAGGAGGTATCTGGTCGAAAAACAGGAGCTGCGTCTGGACGGTCGTTCGAAAGGAAAAGGCAAAAGGCATCTATGCTGAGAACAAGACCGGAGTCAAATCAGAGAAGATCCATGGCTTCTTCTATATTTAGGACAACTTGGCACTCTTCGTCGTCAAGCAAATTAGGTTCTTATAGCATTGCGGAGGAGGAGAGTTCGGTGGATGACGAAAAATCTGACAATAAGCAGCGTGAAGGGCGGAAAGTGGGAAGGAGGTGGTCGGGCTTCGGGGCTTGGGAGACCGAGGATGTTGGCAGACTATGGTGGTAATTGATAACGACTTGACTGGTTTCATGGCTGATGATTGAGCGTCCACTCCATGAGTTTGGTGACTTTGTTTATGATCTACATAGATGGGATGCAGGTTCATGGACTGGGAGAGAGATAATAGATAGATTGTCAGATCCAATTGTTTATAATTTAGCACGCATGAATTCGTGGAGCTCCACTCGAACTAAAAGGTAATCTTGGGAGGGGTGGTTCAATATTAATCTAGCTTACATAAAACCTCATGGAGATGGGGACGAGAGATACTGTATCAATGGCAGGAGAGACAGGTCAGTTTGAGTGACCAAACAAAACGGGTGTTCGCAGTGACCAAAATCTCCGTCTCCCCGAGCGTGTAACTCACATGACATGGCGAAATCTAGACAGACCTGTGGCATACAACAGGCATTTGATTAAGCCAGTTAAATTAGTGAATCTAGGAAGTGTGACAAAATACAAGATTTCCTAACGTTTCCACAAAGGTTGTACAATTTGTCTAAGGTAACCCGCTCTTCGCTTCTTGAGTTGGTATGAGTTTGACAATCATCGTATATGCCCAGACAGTGATAATTACATCCCAGACACTGTTCACTAGGCTCTCTAAAAAGGGCATGTTCTATTTCCATCTTCTAGAACCCCCAAAGATCTATGTTCCAGCTCGGATGTAGTAGGAGCCAATACGTAGACGAACGAGTCAATTGATTGGAAAGTTGGCATCTATTTGCCTTGCTCAGATTGGGTTGTGAAACACTTGATCTGGTGACACCATCTCTATAGCCCAGGTTGATGAGCTCAGTTTAAATTTCTAGTAGACTGTGCAATCTAGCTCAGATATAAATATGGGCATACCACCTGCCCCATGCTTCATTTCTCTCATAATTCAAATCCTTCGCTTGCCTTTAATATAATCTCGAAACTTCCAACAATGGCTCCTTCCTTTACTAGCAGTATCTTTCTGGCTCTTTGCAGTGCATTCTCGCCGCTAACTAGCGCATACCCTACTCAGTCAGCGGATGTGATGATACCAGCTGCTACTTGTGAGTGATTTCGATTCAAACAACGCCTAGTCATCGAGGCATCTCCATTAATACATCACAGGTGTGTCTCACTATGTGGTCCAGTCCAATGACAGCTGCATGAAGATCGCCATCATGCACCCGGATATGGGCGGCATCAATCAACTCTACGCGTGGAACCCGCATATCCATCGAGGAACTTGTGAGAACCTCGGCGTCAATGAGATGGTCTGTATTAAGATGCAGCCTGCACCCCAATGCGCGCCGGTGCAGACGATGCAGACAATGGAGACGATGCAGACAATGGAGACGATGCAGCAGTAGTCTGCATATTCTGGTGGATTTCCAGAAACATGGGCTAGGTAGTTAGCTGGGATAGGCTATAGCTGGGTAGAATTAGTTGCTGTGTGCAGCATTCAATGCAATAGCAGTTTCATAAATCAACGAATGTGTCTTTAGGAAGAGCATGCGTTGCTTGGATCATAATACGATATCATAAATAGAATAATATAGAGACGGCAACTAAAGGTAACTAGACCCTCTTTTCAGGATTTGGATTCCCACAGGTCACACACAGACTTTTTGTCTCTCACCGCATTTCTTCTATTTTGTACTCGTCGATTATTACTTAGTTTATTGGCATTCCCGGATTTGTTCATTCGTAATTTGCACTTCCATTTTTGGACGTCGTACGCGCTTTATTTGACGCCTGTCCCAAAAAAGGAAAGCGTGACGATCTGCCAGGGCGGTGAGCCTCGAATTGCGCCGCAGCTTTTCGAGCTGCTTTCCCTCGGATCTGATCTGCAGCCAGCCTCACAACCCCAGCGGACCATTTAATAATCTCCAGGATGTCAACATCGTCACCACACCCATCTGCGTCTCACCCAGATGGGGGTGGCACGCGCAGCCCGTCCGCGCCGGGATCACACCCCGAGACAGAAGAGAAACGCGACCCGGAGCATCAACCAGACGATGCGGAGGAGAAGGAAGAACCACAACCAGACACCAATGAAGATGGCCAGGAATCTGCACCACCTTTGCCAGATGAGATCCCTCCACCTCTCCCCGACGAAGCACACCCAGGCCAAACCGAAGACGATGGATGGGAACCCGTTTGGGATGGCAATGCGCAAGCATACTATTTCTACAACCGGCTCACGGGAGTATCTCAGTGGGAGAATCCCCGCGTACCAGATGCAGCATCCGCGACAGCGCCCGGGACAGGGGGGTTTAGCGGCACACAACCGGCAGCGTCTTCATTGTCGCCACCCCCAAGGCCGAAGTTGCCTGTGCTAGGAGGATACAACCCTGCGATTCACGGAGACTACGATCCAAATGCTTCATACGCCCGTCAGTATGAAGACCAAGCGCGGCCAGAGTCAGGCACCTCAGCGCAGGGCGACCCAGCCACGGCGTACGCAGCCACGGGCATGTTCAATCGGTTCACGGGCCGGTGGCAGGACGCCTCTATTACACCAGAGACCCATAACGATGAGAACAAGTCCCGGCGACAGATGAATGCTTTCTTTGATGTCGATAGCGCGGCGAATAGTCACGATGGCCGGAGTCTGCGTGCAGAGCGGAGTGCTAAGAAACTGAGCAAGCAGGAGCTGAAGATGTTCAAGGAGAAGCGACGGGAAAAGAAGGAAGAGAAACGTCGGGCCTGGTTGCGGGATTGATTAGACGGGGATCCTGCATATCGGTGAATCTGTTTTCGCATTTGGGAGCCTTGTTGATATACCATTCCACACTGGGCGGTGGGAGTCGTGCGGCGTTGTGTCTATTGTTTACTGTGAATAGAGGCTGCGAGTGCCTATTGTAATCTTTCTGTATTAATAACACTGACAATATGATCAAATCCAACGTAAACCGGATCAATGGTAAGCATTCGAGATCTTATACTTCATGTTCAACCCCACCAGGTCACGTGGTCCTGCGATATCGAAGTTTCTTCGGCGGCAACAATTTAGTATTTGCAAACCTGAGCATACTTCAGCAGAGTGTGGTAAAAGTAAGTGCGCTCATTGAAATCAGTGGGAAATGGCCATTCCATCCGAACATACATGGCGATTTCCAGTGTGGTTATAGCGGAACATTGCCAATCCGACTTATTTGACACAACTGCTAATACCATCCCAGCTCATAACCACTTCCGCCCGCATTGCACGAGCCAGAGGAGATCATCTAGACACGGAGACCATTCGTGAATTTGATCAGCGTCAACGAAAGAGCGCATTGTACCGCCTACCAAAGAAGAAGGGCAAATATCAAATTTTGAGTCCTCAAGCGAAAAGAAGAGGAAAAGCGCACCATGTCCGGCCCATCGTCAACACAAAAGGCCGCAGTGCCAATTGCACTCTCATTTGAGGAAATTGACGATCTCATCTACGATGCTCGGGCAGGCGACCTCGAGGCGTTGACCACTGATCTAGCCAGCCAAGCTGCGCAGCACAACTGCTCCGAGTCCCTGATCGTGGCATCTGCCATCGACACCGAAGACGAAAGCGAGGGCGGAACGGGGTCGTGCGTGTTACATTTTCCCGCTGCAAATGGGAATATCGGTATGCTCTCTCCACCCTTTTTTTATCAATAGATTATGAGTTAATGATTACCCAGACATCCTCAATTCCCTATTGCAAAAGTTGTCCACCATTGAAGACGCTGCTCTGCGCACTGCGTTTGTCAACCACCGCAATTACTCAGGCAACACACCCCTACACTGGGCAGCACTGAACACGCACTTGGAATGCGTAAAGGCGCTCGTCGAAGCTGGTGCTGATATTGCGGTCAAGAACGACGCTGGCCATGACGCTGTGTTCCTGGCGGAGCGGGCTGCGTGGGATGCCGCTGCGGAGAATGAGGGCGAGGGTGAGGCTGAGCAGACGCAGGAAATTGAGATGACTATCGGCGAAGGCGAAGATCAGAGCCAAAACCAACAGCCTTCCGAGAGCGCGGGCGAGATGTCGGCAGGTCGGCAGGTTGTCGAGTGGCTGTTGGGATCGGAGAAGGGGGCGGCGGGATTGGAGACCAGTGCGAATGCTACGGAGGGTGCTGCAGAGGGGGCTGCATGATTTCAATATTTTGAAGGGTTTCTATTATTAGGCATTCAAAAGTTTCTAGAGTAATTTGTGGTTTTAATTGATGGTGTGAGTTTTGGCTTCGAGCATGTCCACTACATTCAATAATGACAATCTATCCGCTGATGTATCGGGCCCTTAAGATAAGCTGGTTGGAATGGAAGAGCATGTCCCAGGCTTTCCTATAAATAAAGGAGTGCTGCAAAGAAGTTACTTTATGCAGAAACTTGACGGAGATTAAGAGGAATGTGTGAGCAAATATAGTGTTGGAGTAAGGAAGATCCATGAGAATTTTAAAATAATCATTTCGGATAAATGTACAGATATTTACACATCAGTCACAACGAACTTTGCCTTTCTTCTCGCCTGGCTTCTGTGTTGAGAGATGCACGCCATTGGACACCGAGCCGGCAGAGTAAGAGCCCTCGATAGGAGCAGCTTTGTCGGCCTCAATTTCTCGGACTTTTGCATCAAAACCAACCTTGAAGTGCCGCTCTCGCCAGACGACGGTTACGCCGCCGTAGACTGCCAGAATCCAGATTGGCAGAGCTAGAAGCTCCCGGCCTAGCCATGCGGCAAGCCATTGGAGGAAAGGACGGCGAGTTGTTTGCGTAGAATGACTGCGGGAGATGGGCAGTGCAAAGGGTGGAGTGTGTGTGTCCAATTCGACTGTTTTGGCGGAATGCAGCTTGATATACAAGGTCCAGTCGACAAGGACCCAAGACACCACGCTGAACGCGAAGAATGCAAAGAAAGCAGTCCATGTGCCTAGATAAGGGGCACATTGCACGCCACTTTGTTCGAGGTATGGTGCCAGGGCATTCGTAACTCCCCATGCACCGTAGATTGAACAGAGGAATGACTCGGTGCCTGGCTCGACGAGCGTGGCTAGCAAGACGGTGAACTTGCGTACACGCAGCCACCGCACCCGACGAGCAATGTATGCATGTACGCTCATGTTGGCAACGGGTTGGATCGCTAGATCCCCGAAGACCATGGCGTGCTTGCCCCAGCGCTCACCGCGCTCTTTCTCCTCGCGTATCTGCCTTCTCCATAGGAGATCGCCGATCAGATGGTCTTCGCAGATGTTGTCGGAGAAGAAGTCAATCCCTGGGTGGCGGGCGTGGGAGTCTGTGGGCGACGGACTCGTAAGGTAGTCGAGATGAGAGCGGCGAAACATGTTGGATTTGCCCACAATGCATGGCGCAATGAGCACAGTGTTGATGGCAGTATACATCTTCGCGTGCGCAGAGGAGAGAAACAGCTCCTCGAGTCGACCGCCTCCTGTTGTCAGCATTGCAGCGAACCCGTCTTCAGGACGGCTGGAGTGCATGGGGGCAGCTACAGCCGCTGCGTCATTTCCACAAGTGGCATCCAGGAGTGCCTGCCGTTCTTGCTGCGAGTTATTCTCCCCAGTCACGTCGACGACCACGGGTAGATGATGCACGAATTTGTATTTCTTGTTGCTCGCCGATCCGCACAGGCTGTCCACCATGCGGCCACACACACCTCTCCCAACCCAGACATTGCAGTCGATAATCCATACGATGTCGCCCTTGGCTTCACGGTATGCCCGACTCATGTTGCGGATCTTGGGGTTTGGTCCTAGAGCGTACTTGCTGGAGTCTTGTAGCAATGGGTCGTCGTCTTCAACATAGATTCGCGCGTCCACCTCCGGGAAATCGGCCACCAATTTGCACAGCGTCGGATAGGCCGGGTCATCGCTCGACGACACGCAAAGGCAGACTGTCAACTTGTCCGGCGGGTAGTCCTGTCGGAAGGAAGCAGCGAGACAGTCATAAAGGTGCGGCTCGAGGCCCTTGACCGGGCGAATTGCTGTGACATGGGGGGCGTCAGAGGAGGTCGCAAGAGGGGATCGTCGTGGTCGTCGCAGGAAATGGCGCCATCTGGAAGGGAGAAAAAAAAATTTAGTGTCGTCCAAATAGGTCAAAGGAAGCCATACATCTGAAAATAGCCCAGGGCACAAACCGCCAGCACCGTGGTATACCAGATCAAGCCGATCCAACCCGTTGCGAGGCGCACGAGGGCGCCATCACCGATGGGCGCGTCGAGGAAGGGCGAATGCAATGGCTCTAGCATGGGACCGGACAGGCCACACAGTTACCGACATTCGAGGAAAAAGAGAATCATGTTCGCCCGTGTGGACGTGCGCGGAAGGAAAAAATGAACCAGTGGAAAGGAGCGGGTGGATTTTGGTGGATCACCGCCTCGTGTGGATACTCCCTCCCAGTATGTACATAATGTCGACGAACGAGGCTCAGTTTTGTCCTCGTTCTTTTGTTTATTCCCCACTAAAATGATATTGCTTTGCTGGATGATATTTAATCTCAGACGCAATATTGCCGGGATTTAGGTTAAACATACTAAAATCCGGTATTCCAGCTGCTTCACGTTCCTTGCGATGTTGTTCGCTCCTGGCGAGAAGCTCTTTAAAGAACTCGTCATTTGACTTCTCATCATTAGTAGACCGGGGCTCGTTACTGTAGCTGTCAGTACTCATGACTCAGGGAGAATCATGACGGATTGTTTCTTACAACGACCATCTTAGATTTGCTCCACGGACACAAAGAATGAGCTTCATGTCTTGTTGTTCTTGATCAGTTAGACCCAGCAGTTTGTCGAATTCAGAAGTGACTGGCTTCTCAAAATCCTCGTCATATGGAAGCACGCATGAGATTGTGGCGAGCTCAAAAAAGCGTGGATATAGCCCAGAATATCCCCAGTCAACGAGACAAAGAGCGCCATCCCTCTCCAGAATCAGATTTCTCCGGCAGATGTCACCGTGGCATAGTACCAGAGGATAGGGTGTCAAGTCAATGGAATCATTGCGATATTTTAGCCTTTTGTTCATATATGCATTCATGTCTTCGATTGAGGTGAAAACTGTCTTCGCACCGTCGTCGCCGAATAGGTAGCCCAGAGGTTCCCCGTGCCCAATTGGACCCGGGACCGGAGCTGAGCCTATTATTTGTCCTAGATGGGCAAGAATCTTCGCAACACGGCACGGAATACCTGGGTGCATTTTCAAATCAAGCTTGCTGAGATTCTGGCCGTGCACATACTCCATGAAGAGGTATCCTCGTGGGTGCTGATTGTTGAGATTCAATAAAACGATAGACCTTTGGTATGTGGACGATATTGCGATCAACGTGGTTAAATGCAAATTCTTGTGTTGCTGCTTCAGATGCCTGCACGCCACCGTACTTCACTGCGATGTCGTCGGAAATCTTGATGATTTTGTCACCGTACTTTTCACCCCCGATCATCCCACCCTCCTTTCCGCCTTGTGGCAAAGGTCGATCAGCATTCTTCATCCGCGGTGGCAATATCGGAAGGCTCCATGGCGGTGGTTGATTATCTGAAGGGATTAGTATTTTGTAGGGCTGGAAACTGAATGCCCAGATCGTCGCTGCGAATGGACGAGACGCTTACTGGTTCCACCGCTTCACTGAACTCAAAAATAGCGTCGCAACTCTTTAGGTTCGGTCCGACTCCGAACTAAGTCTCGGCGGTCTAGAATCTAATATCTTAGATTCGCGATCCGACAATTCTGGCAAGAATCGAGTGGTACCCGAGGTTCCATAAGCAGTGCAAATAGTGCAAATACAGGGAATCTCGTGATATGAATATTTGTCGAGATGGGAAGATGACGGTATAGACTAAGAATGTTGCCTATAGTGCATTCTTGGTCTAGCTTTTTTTTTTGCCCTACTTCTGAGCGATAATATATTATGAAGTTTTCTGTGATAGACCAGTTCTTGATAGAAAAGAGTGCCATTCGATGAGGATCTTGAAGGCGACGAAGAGAAAAACAAGAGTGGGAGCTCTGGCTAAATACATAGATCAATCAAAGGAAACAGTAATCACATGGTCAGCCACATGAACCCCTCTCTATACAGGGTCTCCACATTTGAACCTGACTCTGGCCATTTCTTTAAATATCAATAGTGCTTCCAAATTCCCCGCGATCCAACTTCTCCAATATGTCCATCTGGGTCTTCAAAATACACACTTTTCCCACCAAGATCCCAGTCCATGCGGCCCGTAACGGGGACGCCGATTTTCTGAAGATACGCATCCCACTGTACCACGTCGGCAGGTTTATCAACGGCGAAGCAGAAATGCTGCTTTAGATAAGTTCTGTCGCTTGGGTTATCGGATCCGAGGGAAGAGATAATCGAATCGCTAGGACCGTGGCCCGGGATGACTCCTCCGTTAGAGGTGATAATGTCATTAGAGGTCTGCCCGAGTTGGAAGAGTAAGAGGGTCGTGGTGCCGAGATTGAAGCCAGCCACGCGAGGCTAAACAGATTGTATTGTTATTTATTGCACAAGTGAACTGATATTAGTGGAGTGAGATATGACGTACTGACTGTATGAAAGGCTCGGTGCGCAGGACGGATTTATAGAAATCAGCTGATACACCGATATCGCCGACGTATAGACATGTTTCGAGGATGTGAGAGATGGGAGGAGGTTGTGCGGCCATTTATGATACTGTACTTCAACACTTCAACCTTGATTTGGTGGCCTACTACTGTAAATTCGGTTCTGATTTGCAGCAGTATAGTCGTAATATATAGCACTCAAAGGGTAGCATCGAGGCACCGTTTGAGACTATAAAAAAAAGATGTTGCCACTGACTCGTTTGTCAGCTCTTGCAGCCAGATTTGTAACGGACGACCTCTAGACCATCAGACCTCGTATTCGTGGCAGGTGGTTCAGATGACGTAAGGTAAATGCCCTGAAACGAATGAAGTGAAAGAAATGGTTCACCTTCGTGCGCGGGGAATACCCTTGTTTTTAGTAAACTTTATCTATGATGTTGCTAGCCAAATTCTTGTCTTTCATTCGCCAGGCTTCCCTCTACTTCTGTGCATCCCGCTTACCAAATCAAGGTCTGCTGCTGGTTGATTGGACTCTATGCATAGACTCTGCTGTGGTTTCTGGCATTGATGCATGTAGCACAAGAAATAGGTGCCTGGGTACCTGCTGGGTACTGTAAGAGGTGGCTGATACCTGCAATGAACAGCAATACAATCATACCTCATTCTTCGAGGTTGTCCCCATTGATTGTGTATTGTTTGCTTGTCTACCTGGGCAGATGCCTGGAGTAGTGGATCCATTTCCCAATATAAAATCACGCCTGCTTGTCCTCTTCCTCTTTCCTTCTTCTGTTTCACTCTCCACTTCCTCCTCTGCATTCCACCAGTCCCCTTTATATTTATACCTCCGTGGATACATTACTATATCTACTTCTTTATCGAAAACTCAATCGCCTCGATAACGTTATGATGATGGCTTCAGCTTTGCATGAAGAATTCAGAAATTTTATCATCTGTGCTCGATCAAACTGAAACGCCTAGTCGCCACCGTATCAAACGATTCCCTCGATTTTCTGCCCTCTTCAACCGCATGATTACGTGGAAAACGTGGACTTCCTCCCTGAGGACGAAGTCTGGGATGTACAACCCAACTGCATCGCGGATTACATACCTGTGAACTGCAGACTAACCACGCCGCTGTGTGGCACATCAACAAATACGTCGCAGTCGCGGAATGCGGTGTTAAGTGGCCTTGAGACTATGACCTGAATGGACAACTCTGAGTGAGACGTGTCCCAAAAGACCGGCGCCTGTGGCTCACGCTCATGGAGAAACGTTCTACCCGGTGGCAGACGGGAATGTCCTCTGTGGAGACGATCACCGCAAAGGCGGGCTGGCTACTACAGCCAGATCGCCAACAAGGAGAATATTGGGTTGGGGGTGGAGTGTTTGATAGTGGTTTAGCTATGCAAGAAGACGGGGTGGCATGAGGGTCAGGAAGTAGTCCGAAGGTACAGGGCAAAATCAGTCACAGGCGAGTCTATATCCTATCGATATGCTTTAGACCAGACGAGGAAGACCAATAGCTCAAATGAACCATATCATTCTGTTTCCCCTTTCAAACGTGGAATACACATGTCTCGTTAATAATTATGTAGCTAGATCCACTCTAACTATGTCTTCTTCTTCTTCCGAATCAGACTGGCATTCAGCATATTGACCCCTGGAGAAGTATCTTGGGATCTGCTCGACACCTGCTCCCCTTCGGCAGCGGCAGTCTTGCCCGCTTCAGCGTCAGGCTTCTTCCGCTTGCGAACCAATCCACGATCCAAAACATTGCTCGGCTGCAGGGACTGAGTGCTGCTAGTCTCCGGCGTACTATTGCCGACAATTCGCTTGCCCCACAAGAGTTGGTCTGCCAGACAGGCAACATGGTTGACGTAGGTTTTGGTGCTGGCGACGGCCTCTTTTTCGTCGTAGAATGAATCCAGGAACGAGTTCATCATTTTCTTGTAGTCGCCGTCGCTCAGCACCACGTGTCCCCTCCCGGCTTCGGGCCAGTAGAAGGGATTGGCGTCAGCAGCTTGGCCTTTGGATCGGAGTTCAGCTGATGATCCGACGGGGTGATGGCCGAAAGGAGATGTTGTATTTGTTTGCTGTCGTTGTTGTTCAGAAGCTGATACTGTATTTGGGAAGGACACAGAGGCATCGATCGGTGCATCGAGGCTAGAACTCGCCAGCTGTTCATCGTGGTTTGATGCGTCCTTCGATCCCGTAGCACCCTTGTTGACCTGGCCAGCCTCTGCCAAGCTGCGTGTTTGGCTCGCCATGGATATCGAGTTGAGCAAACCGGGAGGATTGACCACCAGCCACAGAAAGCCCACCAACCGGCCGGCAGAGCACTCCTGCCTGAAAGACATCATCTCCCAAAACTGATCTAGAGACCTCACGCTGCGCCATTGGCCGTTATTAGGGGGTGAGTTCTCACCCTCAGCTGGCTCTGGAAGCTCATCATCCAGATCAATCAGGAAACGAGTTTTGGGGTCGTCTGGCAGGCGAGGGACCAAGCAGCGCGGAGGAGCCTTTGGGTCGGGACACAACTGGTGAAGTGGATAGCTGTTAAGCCATCGGGGGCAATCTTGTGGGTCGGACTTGGCTGTGGTTGGAAAGAAGGTTCTGGTTTCGAATTTGTCGCAGCCGGGAACAATCAGGTACGCCGTCGCAGAGGCTGTGGCAGCCTCAGCCGTTTGACCGAGGCGTTTGGTTTCCGAGAAGACAGACTCAGGCTCCTGCTCACGGAGAATAGGGTCCAAGGTGCGACACCACCATTTGATCAGACCTCGATCATCTAGGACATGTTTATTGGGGTTCTCGATGCTGCCCGAGAACAAGTACTGGTTCTGCGCACGCGCAAACAGCGACACAACCAGACGCACGCCCGGCCGTTGGCGTGTCCGCGTGAGAAATGAGAGAAAGGTGGTGGAGACGAGTCTCAAAACCGAGACTTTGCGCGGCAGTTCCAATAGGTGCAGGAGTCCTGTGGAGTCGGCCTTGGAGACGAAGATGGTGGTCAGGTGGGCCGTGTTGTAGACCATCACCTCCATTCCAAACACGATGATCTCGCCTCCATTATCACCAGCACGATCAATTGAGATGGTCAGAAAGTGATTTTCACAGAATGTGGGCTCGGTGTCCTGGCCCGGAGCTGCGGCGAAGAGCGCTGGAGACGGAATTGGTGTTGATGAGACGTGGCGCACAGTGAGCTCGACCCCTCTGGGGAGCACCTTAGCTAGGAGATCCCCTAAGTCTGCATCTACAGACATCGTACTGAACTGTATCTTTGTTGTGAAGCTATGAAAAGTCCCTTGTCGGCGACGCGTTGTTGTCGCCTCTAGTCACGTGGTTAATCGCCATATATTCCAGGCATCAATGGGCTATACAGATGATGATTTGTTATTTTGATAGAAGAAGACATAATAAGCAATACATTTTACTCGCTAAACTGCACATAGAATACCTGATCCTAGAGCACCTGCCTGTTTCCCGCTTGAATCCCCGACTTGTAAAGAGAAAAGCATACAGAAGACTGGACAAACATTTGTTGGAAGAAAAGCAGTCACGCACATACAGAGTGTTGATTGGTTCGGGAGTGGTAGCGTTTCGATAGCTCAGAGAGAGGGCTTGGAAAAGAATCATGATTGATACCGTTGTCGAACCTGAAGTAACTAAATCGTACACTGACCACGGATTGGCAACCACTCTAAGTAAATAACACATTAGACACGCTCGCTAGAAGGACGCCACAACAGCATTCAGGTCATCCGCATTAAGGAGCTTCACACCCTCATGAACCAGGGTCCTCCAGACCAGATTCCTTGTCCGCACAGGCCAGTACGGCGTGTTCCAGTACCTCGCGCCAATTCCGCGCGCCTTGGCGGTAGAAATCTGATCACGGAGAGCGCTGAGCTGGCTATCTGTCAGGATGGGCTCTGTATCAGCAGTGACTGGGCCTACGGCCTCCTCAAAATCTGTCGATGCGATGGGGGATACCAGGGATGTGACCTCGTCGTATTTGGGGTCATTCAGGTCCGCGAGTGGGGCATCGAAGAAGTAATCGCGGTCTGCTATTGGGGCTACCATCTCCAGAGTAGTTTCCCCCGTGCCGATAATAGTTACTGGGCCGTTGGTGATGGTTTCGTTGTTCTTCAGGGTGGTGAGGTAGCCCTTCTCGCGGAGGGGGCTAGAGCCGCGACGACGGCCTCGAAGGTCTCTGGCCCGGATGTTTTCACATCGATGAAGAAGTAGAGTGTTTGATCCGGGACGGTGTCCCAGACACCGCTGTGGCAATTTAGTTTCTGGTTTAAGTGTGTCGTGGGATCTTGCGCAGGATACTGACTTCTTGGTGGGTGATGTCACAAACGGAGACTCCGGGTTCTGGCGCTCCAGGACGTCCAGAATGGGATTTATATAGAGAGACTCTAGTGTTCGTGCCGCTGTTAAGGCGGATTGATCATGGCCAACCTGCTGCGGTTAGAATGTCATTGGGGACAGGTCAAAAGACGGACGTAGAGAGTGCCATTGTATAGCCACACATCGGCTTCAGTGGACATGCAGCCCTTGGAAAGACCTGGGAAAGGGATATATTAGCGACAGGAAGAAATTACCAAGGTAAGTTCTCGCGTACCGGTCCAAAAGGGTTCATCTCTCCAGTAATCACTTGGATGGCGTCAGTCGCAATCAGAATAGGAGACTGGATCATTTACTTGTGAGAATGAACAGGAATCTATGAATTGATTTATTAACAAAATATTTCAGCAAGGAATGTAGGTTGACATCGATCTTACCGGCAAGATATCTCGAGTGAGGTCTGTGGGATAGCCGTACTCTTTGCTACCATGGGTGTTCTTCAAGATGCTCTGTAAGCTAGATGTAATGGCCCCGATGACTGGCTCGGGGCCGGCGAAGAGAGCGACAACAAAACCAGTGAGAAGCAACATGAGCGACGAGATCATGGTGCTAATGCCGCGCAATGAATGGAATTGGCGATGGTAAACGGTAGATGATGCGCACCCCTTGGCGGGCCGTGCACGTGGTCGCGGTCTGTCATTCCCGAGCTACGGAGATCAACGCGACCTCAAAGTACACAGTAGGAGGCAGTGCACCGTTTTACGGATATACGTCATACTAAATGAAACACAATCGGTCATTGAATCATAAGATGCTAAATAGTATCGGCTTTGAAAGAAGCCTCATAACCAGTAGCAGCCATTACCAGCAGAGTTGACCGTATGTACGTGGGAGAGGCCAGCCACGCTACACTTCTCGGACACTCGACGACGTACTGCTAGGCGGCTCCTGAGACATCGAGTTGCGCCCCCTGAGACTGAGGTTGCCGATGCGCTGAACAAGGTTGCTTCCGACGGCATCGACGGCTCCCTTAGGAGCAAACAAGGTAGGTCCCTGGGCGGCAGCTTCCTGAACCCTGAAAAGTCTGATCGATGTGCCATTCCACACGCCCACGGTGCCTGGCGTTGCGCCCGCAGCTGAACCAACCACCATCTCGCTCGAGAAAATGAAACCCCATAGCAATGACTCGTACCAACCCATTGACAGCGCAGACCATTCGAAAGGTTGCGCGCGGATCGACGTGGGCTCGGAGATGATGCTTGTGACCTGGGGCTCATGGACGAAAGAGGGGAGGTTAGTGATGAGGGTCCGTGCCTCGGAGTTAGCAGTCGACTCGAGGGCTGCATCGGGGATATGAGGAGCAATGGCGGAGATGATGGTTAGGATCGTGTGAAGGGGGAGTTCTGGCAGCCATGATTCGAGCTAGAACAGCGTTAATAGGGTTGCTTGCCTAAGATAGTGCAGAGAACTTACCCAGGGCACAGTCGGCGTGAAACCAGCAGAAGGGGCGGAGAACAGAGCAGACATGCTGCTCTGACTGGTCATACTGTTTTGCCGAGAAAGACCCGGCCGTCCTGCTGGCATCTTACCCCGTGCCTTCTCGGAAATCCTCAACTGATGAACACTGCTTTCTTCCGCAGTGGAAGAAATGGATGGCCTTCGTGAGGTTTGAATGGAGGGAGATGACTGAGATGGCGTATGCTGCCCTTCCCCATCATCGTCATCAGAATCATCATCGCCACCAATCGAAAATGGACTGTTCTCCTCAGGAATGCGAGTCAAGGGTGACCGGGCGCCAGATGAAGTGTGGAGGTCTTCCTCGGAGTGTGAAAGTAATGGGCTGGCGGCCACGTCGCTCTGGGCACCTCCGGCTTTTCTTCTCTCATTTTGCCGTTCGATCTCCTGTTGACCACTTTCCAGTGTGAAGGCCCGCACAGCCTCAAATCGTTGCCTGTATTTCAAGATCGCGTACACGAGATACGGGTTTTCTGGGGGAGTCAGAAACTAGAAATCAAAATAGGGAAGGAAAACACACCCGAGAACTTGTGCTCAAGAACAGTGCTGATGAAATCAAGCAATGATGCAAGAAGCGTATGATTAGTTTCATTCGCCAACAGAAAGCTGGGTGCAGACATCGAGGAGAAGAGTTGTAGGACTTTGGAACAGGCACTGGGAGAGATATGCTCGATGTATGGCGCAATATTGTTGATGATCACCAGAAGTGCGGGATAAACAGTATCTAGTTTCCCCTTGCTCGTTGTCATGAGTGTATGGATTGACTGCACGGAGGTTAGAAGCTGCTACTCTATGCTTTGGGACTAGCAGAAAACGAACCATGATCAGGAAGTCGGCATACGAGCCTCGGAATTTCACAAGGCGTATCGACTGTGGCAGAGTCTCTTGGGCCTCGAACTTTTTGTTTAAGCTCTTTGCAAATGTGGGCTCAACACTCATTGTCTGGAGGATGAAAATGCACATCCGGACAATTCCTTGTTTGGAAGCATCCAGTCTGTACTCCATGGCGTAGAAAACGCACAGGATGAGAAAATCGTGCGAACGGTTGGAATCAATGATGAACGACCGGAATCGCTTGTTGCATTGCAATGTTTCCCAGAACAGAACCAACATCTCCGGCGCCCACTTCACCGACCCTTTACTTCCGGGAAGATAGGAGGTTGTAGCCTGCATCTAGAAACATTCATATCAGCAAGGTCCGAGTAGGCGCTACCATGGAAACATACTGGTTGGTCCAAAATCCGCGTCATACCATCCACCAAGAACTGGAAATCCTGGGGTCGATGCAGTCTTCCGAAGTAATGACGGTAGTAATTCTTCGGTGGAGCTCCCCTACCATCCTCTGGGATGGGGTATAAAAGAAGGACGAGGAGCAATTGCAAGGAATATATGACTAGGATCTGTTTCGGATCCTTCCACACGACATGGTCGTACGGGACTCTCCATGATGCAGGGTTGTATTTCATAGCCTGTGCTCAGGTCAGCGACAGTAATTCAAAAAATAGTGGGCGATCATACGGTATTCAGAAGAGAGCAGAGGAGAGTCAGAACAGACTGTTTGTCTTGGCAGGTTGTCATATAGGTGATGGCTCTGACACCCTGCACGGGCAAGGTACCTAGGACGAGTCAGACTAGGCCATGAATTGTGTCCAAAAGGCAACTCACTGGAAGGCATGTACATGGCCTTTCCGGTAATTGTCAACAACAGCCGCAAAATCTCGCATCGATTGCTTTCCAAGGTCTTGTTGGATCCCATCGCCGTATTGCATCCAACACCACTCTGCCAGATCGAGTACGAGATCTTGCTTTTCGGCGTTGGAAGTTGCGGGATAGTAAAATCCGCAAAGAAGAGCAGATCCAACAGGGTGTCCATTAGCTCTTCGGCCAGTGGCTTGACATCCTCATATTCTTCGGTGCGCGGGCTGGTTCGGTTCTGGTTGTCTGGCTGTGCTTCGTCAAACAGCACTTCCCCGGAGATCTGGGCCTGCCGGGTCTTCTTCCTTCGCCGCGCCCAGAAGAACTTCTCTTCCCATTCCTCCAAGTGTTCCGCTTCGTAGACAAAGGGGAGGAGCCGGGTAAGGATGCGGATGCAGTTGAGCGCATCGCGGTCGGGGGCCAGATCGGGATCAGGGAATGAAGGATGGTTTTTCAAGACGATCAGGCGAGATGTTACTGACAATAGCAGTGTTTCAAAGTTCGATAAGGCATGGTCTCGGGTTCGCCGAATGTCGGCCGGCGTAAATAGGCTGAAGACGTCCTCTGAGGATTCGGGGAGTTCCCAAAACTTCGCAGATCGTCAGCGCTGGTGAATTTGGGGATCAAATCCCAGGAAAAGACAACATACCCTGGTCCAGTAGGGGTCGTCCGCAGGGATCTCCTGCTCTTCGGAGAGGCGGAAGATGCCCTGCTTGAAGACAAGCTTGGACTCGGAGGCCCCCATCGCTGCAGAGAGGTGAAGTAATCACAGCGCAAGGGTCGTCATGTAGACGTGTAGCTGGTGCGCTGATTCTGTTGGTGGAGGTCAGTCGGAGGCGGTGGTTGTAGTTGTTTGGTTTGGTGTTCCTGATTCTTGGCTCACCGCGGTTGGGCCATGTCCGCCTTTACACTTAGTTACCAGTTTACTCTAGAACAAATGGACACTCCAAGAGGTCTCATTCATGAGATATTAAACAATAAAATCAACTATCGCTAAGAACACCATGATGTATGCGCACCTATTCAGGCCAAACCCACCCAGGAAAAAAATCAAAGAGCGCCGTTACTAGCAGAAAGCCTTCTACTTCTCTCATAAAGCCACTTGTTGCTCAACCCCAAACTCCTCCGCTTACTTCCCAGCGGCGATGGGGAACTGGGCCCAACACTGGACTCCCCAAACGAGGACCGCGCCAAAGGTGACGCGGACCCAATGCTCTGTCTCCGACCACTTTCGCGACCTCCATTGAAAGCAGCTTTATGCAGCAGGGGGCTCGATGCCGGCGAAAACGGCGACCCTGTAGAGACGCGACGGTCAGAGAAGCTCGGGGTGGCGGACATCGGCGAGACGCTCTGTCGGCTGGCCGGACTGGCCTTGCGCGAAGTCGAAAGCCGGTATCGCGGAGGGGTCACGAATGTGGTCCCAGGCGTCACTGGCGGTGTCACCGTGGGATCTAGGCCAAGAAGAGCGCGTTGTGTGGGGGTGAGTGGGATGTCGGAGAGATCGTCCTTGGGCCGGAAGAGAGGATACAAGGCCGCGAGGATGTTGAAGAGGAGAAACAGTTGCAGAAAGACCAGTCCAAACTCATCGTAGAACGGGTTGCTGTTGAATAGTTGGCGCGAGCTGGTGCAAGGTCCAGTCAGTATATCGTAGACACGGCCGTGGAAACGATTCCCAACTCACTATACTTTGAGTGTATTCCCCAACCCCCAAACCATCACTAATGCAACTCCATTCCACACCAAGTTCCGCACGTTCTTATCTCCAAATGTAGCTGCATTTTGCCGCCGGACGATCTCGTTCAACTGAGGGTGGCGCCATTTGCCCGGGGTGCCAGACTGAGGAGTTGCCACTCCAGAGGTCGGTTTAGGCGTAGAAGGGAGTGATTGAGTCGCCATTGAGGTCGACGACAGGAAAAAGAGAATTGAATATAAGGGGCAGACGAGGGAAAAAAAATAGCTGTACATCGGTTGTCAATCATTGCGCCCATAACAACAGTAAGGGGGTATGCGGGGACTTACCGGGAGCCCAAACTGGGAATTACTTACCTGAGACGAACGAGGATCGCTAGTCTATCGGGAAGTCTTCAGTAAGTCATGGTGGGTGGAAGAAGGAGTTGTCGCGGGCGAATGTTTTCGGGTTGGATTGGATTGGAGGCTGGGAAAGGAAGGCGCGATCAGGGCCACTTCGGATTTACGGTTGTCCCGGCATCCGGGCTGCTCCCCCCGGTGACCCCCCACACGTCATACTGTACACAAGGCCCTTTACATATCACCGCCATGGCTTCTCACCCTTCACTTGCAGAGCAGCTGGACGCTCTGGTCGCCAATGTACTGGCTGACTGGAATGTCTACACCACTGTCTTTGCCGGTATCCTAGCTGCATTTGCCCTGTACTCCGTCTTCTCCTCTAAAGACCCGGATGTACACCCATTCCTGCTGGCGCGTCAGTCCACCGCAGCTCCGGTCCGTCTGTCGGGCCAGTCGGCAACCTACCGAAGCTTGGAAACGCCTCATGGATTCCCGCTGCGTCTCGGATTAAACGTCAAGGACCCCGGCGCACCCAAATGGACCGGCGGCCGAAGAGGTGACCTGCGGGATATTTGGAGGACTGCGGTCCGAGGTGTCCTGAACGAGGACGGGACACCCTCTGGAAAGAAGGGCAAGATCTATACGGTGCTGGGCAAGGAGATGGTCGAGCGTTCGCTGGACCAGGTCACGCAGGAAATCAACGTTATCGGTCAACATCTTCAGAAAGCGAAGGCCAAGACGGTCGCGGTCTGTCTGACGGACTCCACTGAGCTATTGACTGCTATCTTTGGTACGGAATGTCCCTGACCTAGTGGTATTGGCGTTAATGTTCTACAATCTAGCGGGTGCCTTTTACGACTTCAAGACGGTTCTTGTTCCCCATAACCTGTCGTCCGAGACCTTGGCCGCCCACCTGAAGGAAGTCCAGGCGGATGTCCTGATTGCAGAGGCAGGATCGCTCGACTTGTCCACGGTTTCCAAAGCTAACAAGCAACTGTCGCTGGCACTCTGGGTCGCGAAGTCTGGCAGTCGCCATATGGACTGGAATGACGTTCCTAAAGACGCCAAGAAAACCTTGAAGGTCGCAGTGTGGCATGAACTGGTCGAGGAAGGCAAGGATCTTGCTGGCTTCGAAGTGCCCAGCTACGACCCGACTACAAAGACCCCTACAATGAGCACCGTTTGGCCCTCTTCCGAGGATGTCGGTGAATTCATTGAATTCAAACCAGAGGTACTTTCCTGGTTTGTAACGATTCATTCGCAAATATGCTGACTCTAGATATAGAATCTCGTGGCTGCCGTTGGTGCTCTGGGCTCCGCATTGCCTCGAACGGAACGTTTGAACCCAGACGATGTCGTTCTATCCATTGACTCGCTTTCTCGCTCCTATCCCCTCTGCCAGATCATGTCTGCCCTGTTTTCCAACGCATCCATCGCATTGAACTCGGTTGCTGGAGAAAATGTAGACTTCGCCTTGGCCACCGCAGGCGTGTCTCCCACGGTGATCATTGCGTCGTCAGGCACCATGTCGGAATATACCCGCAAAATCATGCAACCGCACACTGGGCCTATATCTCGTCTAGGACGTTGCTTCCAAGCACGGAGTTTGGACGCAGGGTACATGCCATCGCAGAATATTCTCAGCCGAATCGCGCGCGTTGGCCCGACGGCGGAGCTTTCTCTTGACAAACTTCGTTTGTTGTGCATTTCCCATCGTTTCGACGCCAGCCCCACAACCCGCCTGAGTTCTGAGCAGTTGACTGATCTTCGGATCTTTACTGGCGCCCGTGTTGTTTATGCATTGACTGCACCAGGTATTGCGGGTGCAGTTGCGCAGACTAATGCTTTCGACTATAAGCGCCTGCATGGCCCGAGTCATTTTGGTGCTCCTTTGAGTAGCACCGAGATCACTCTGACCAATATCTCGGAATCTTCGGCCTCCGAGGATGGGCCTGTAGAGGGAGATGTGAGTGATGTCCACCTAGCAATTGATCGCAAGAGCTAATTCGTCCTAGATCAATGTGGCTGGCCCTGCCGTTGTCGCTCCGTCTATGACACTCGCCGCTCGGGGACGTATCAGCAATGATAATACCCTAGAACTGTGTCCTTGATTCACTTGATCAAGTAGACCAAGCTGGGACATGCATCAGTATTCATTTCTTTTTCGATGTATGAAATAGAGCCGCATTGTGGACATGTCTGGATACATAGCAGATTTGAATGTCGGAAATAAATGCGATCTTTATTTTTGAAGTACAGGGCCAAATCCAAGAGAAAGTTTGAAATGATAGTAATATACATGTGCATAGACTGCCCAAATGATTTCATGAGTCGCTAGCCTCAGCCTTAGGAGTCTCAACCTTTCCAGCCTCGGGCTGGGTGGATGTTTCCTTGGGAGCCTTGGGCTTAGGAAGGGAATCCTTGAACAACACAACAGCCTGACGGTATCCAGCGAGCGATTTCTTCTCCGCTTCTTCCCTAGACAGGGATCCGAGACGCTTCTTGATCAAGGCCTCAATGTCCTGTTTCCGTTGCTTCAACTGGGCATAGACATCCTTAGCCGGTGCCACACCGGGGACTTTGATTGCCATATTGAGTGCGTTCCAGACAATAATCTCCTCCATCAGCCGGGCGTCAATGGACTGGGGATCCTGGTGTTCGGGGTCAAATGTGAACTTCCCCAGGGGCCAGCACGCCAGAAGCCTCCGGGCGTACATTAGGACCTGCTCGTTCCCTCCGACGGCATTCAAGTCAAGCATAGCACGGGACGCAGTTAGCTCCAACAGCGAAGCGATTACAAAAGGCTGGCGTTTCGGGTCCCGCAACGCATCTTTCACTGCGTGTTCTGGGTTCTGCTCCATGAGATTAATGGCCTGATGTGCCAGAGAGAGCGCATTCGTAGTTTTCTTGTCCTCAAAATCGGCCATCTGCGCGGTACAATGGATCTCGAAGAATAGACGCCGGACGACATCCATATCGTTGAGGCGCAGACCGGTGCGCTTGGCATACCGGGCACACGAGATGGCAAGGTGAAGCTTGTCATGTTTGCCGAGTGCGGCAATGATCCGCACCCATTGATCGGGCTTGAAGTTCCGGTTCGCTCTTTCGAGGCCAACGGTGAAAGGGAACAGGTTTTCCCAGGTGTTGTTCTTCTCCATCAGGTCCAGCACTTTGACTGCGTCCTTCCGCTTCGGCATCTGGCCCTTGTTCAATGGTTTTAGGGTGTACTGCTCATTCTCGTTGATTTCCACCGTTATTGGCTCGTCTAGCAACCGTTGGGCGTTGCTTTGCTTGAACATGGTCTTTCGCTGGGGGCCGGGGAGACTGAAGGGAATAAAGAGTTCTTCTCGGAATCGATGCAGGGCCTGGTCCAGTTCCTCAACCTGTGTTGGCTTAAAAGGCAGGACTGTATTCCAAAACAGCACTCGTTAGCAAAAGACAATTGGAAACGGTGGTCGACAACCGAATGTACCTTTTCTCGTCGAGCCCATAGCGCGAGTCTGGGTCAAGGAGACGGAATGGCGCAGCGAGCCAAGCATGCGCTGGCCACTTAGTAGCCTACCCATGGCTCTGTGCGCCATTGTGAATGAATTGAGGCAAAGATAGATTGAACTGTTGAGAGGTGCGCGCGACTCCGGGTTCCTGAGCAGCGGAGAAAATCAGCGGGCGGTGTGGCCATTCTGCCTGGGTCGCCCCAAAACTTGAACTTCCGCTTCTCCCAGCATCTTGGACACACACCACCACCATGGCCGCTCCACTCGTGCGGCAGTTGGGCTGCCTCAGATTGACACCTTCAGTCCAGCAATCTGCCAGCCGTCGATTCATCTCAACGATCTACTCCGCGAAGCGCGAACCCACTCCTCTCCCCTCGAACGTCCCCGAGCAGTTCCTGTCGCAGTTACCATCGCGCCTAAAGAAGGAGGCCGATGGCCCCAAGAAAATCAAAATTTACCCTCCTCCGCCATCATCCCGTGCTACATGCAAAGATCCCGTGGCCAAGGTCACCGAGACGCAATTGTCGGTCCTCGACCCCAAGGGCGAACGCAAGGCCCTATTCGACTACCGCCGGAACCCGCGCAGTGTCAAGCCTGGTGATATTCTGCGGGTAACATTCAAGAATGGTGACCCGTTCAATGGCGTCTGTCTGAGCATCCGGCTGCGCGGCATTGACACCTCGTTCCTGCTGCGGAACGAGCTCATGCGTGTTCCGGTCGAGATGTCTGTCAAGGCTTTCAGCCCCAATGTGAAGAGCGTGGAGATTGTTCAGCGATCGCAGACCAAACGCAGAAGGGCGCGCTTGTTCTATATGAGGTGCGTTGGAGATTGTTCATCTTGCATTTGGACTTTGCTAACCCTGATTACTTTCCGTAGAGACCGCAAGCACGACCGCCGCAGTGTCGAGAATCTCGTGGACAGCTACATCAAGCAAAAGCGGGCTTTCATGGGCAAGCGATGATTGGAACTGGGAGTTATTTCTTTTGGCATATTGGCGGATGTATTATTATCACCTCTTGCGAATCGACTGTTTATATTTTCTCGAATCGAATACACTATCTCTTTTGTGCGGAAGTCCGGAGTCATTACAAGATACTTGGAATTGTTGAATGGTAGAGCTATGTCAGTGGCGAGACTATTACTAGTTCTATGGAAGATGAGATGGCACTACTGTCTGATGATTATAGACCACCAGTTTACCCATCCATGGTATCATTCAGTATTAGATTCCCTATCAACCCAATCGGAAACATGACACCTCTCAGTAAATGTATCGAAAGCTGCCCAAAGAAGGAGGTTGTCAGCGTAACCCACCAAACCAAAACAACGGCCCGGAAGAGATAACATACTTGAGGTTCTCACGATCCGTCAGATCCAAAAACGCCGTCGAATCCAAATCTCGTCCTTCGAGGCCACCCTCCATCTGAGACTGAATGCGGTCACGCTTCTTGTTCTCCCAGCGGAGCAGAAGTCCGAGCGTCGTGATCAGGCAAGCTTCGATGAGATGTGAGACGATCATCGACCAGATACCGAGCGAATAGGTCGGTCTAGATTTATTCTGTCAGCTTAGTTCAGCCACTGTCAATTGAATGGGTAGAGCGCACTTCTGGTCATCTTTATAGAAGAATGGACCGGCGATATTGCCCGTGCAATATCCCAGGAAGAGGACGGCGTTGGTGACGACCTTCTTGGTGTGACCTATATGAAAGAGCTTTAGAAGAATGTTTGGAAGAGTATAGTCAAGTGGAATGAAGTACACACCAGCTGTATTGGCAATCTGCATACTCAAGACCAACACAAATGCCGCATTATACGGTCCCGTCAGATAGTAGCAGATCAGTCGACCAACACGTTGATCCAACGGTACGAAGCGGAGACCGAAGGCTCCCGCAATGTTTGGACAAAGGAATATAAGCACGAAGATAACACGTCGGTTTTCGAAGCGGTCATTGAGGAAAACACATGTGAGAATTGACAGTGCAATGATGATGCCGTATGGAATCTAAATCAATCGATATTGTCAACCTCAGTTCTGTCAAAACTCGCGGATAGGATATTATCTACCTGCATAAGAGTGGTGACCAAGGTTGAGAATCCGAAGCCTTCGATGATGATGGTTCCGAAATTGGAAATACCTCCATTGGGGACATTGCCTGAATAGACGGTCAGATTGGAGGGAGCAGGTAGATGTCAGTCGAAGGGAAACGCACAAACAATCCCCAAAACAAAGAACATGTAGAGCTTATAATCTTTGAATGCCTCGAGAGTCTGATATGGCTTCAAGTGCTTATTCTCAACACCGGTCTGATTCGCTCTCAACCGGTCAACAGCAATTCGACGCTGCGCCTTGCTGAGACCTTTTGCCGTGACCGGCGAGTCGGGAAGAAAAATGAACATCACAATGCCCCAAGTAGCACAAAGGGCACCACTAGCAAGGAAATCAGCATACAGACACGCAGGGCTGAAAGGGTGTTTGTTTACTTACATGATGAGAAATTCGTATTTCCACGAAGGCAAGGCACCCCGGATATGGCCAATTCCATAGCCCAACAGCCCACCGAGAGCAATTCCAAACCCGTTTGCTGTGTACCAGAGTCCCAACCGCACGGGCTGTTCGCGTCGTGTGTACCACATGCTCGTGATCAACATAAAGCCCGGGTCGGAGCACGCTTCTGCGGCTCCCCCTAGGGCTCGGAGGACGGCGAGGGTCCGGAAGCTGTTGCATGCTGCTTGGATCATGAGAAAAACGCCCCTTTGCAAAAACATGTCAGTGGCAGTCCACATGAATTTGTAGTATCGGTGTTTACACATACCACATAAAGATGTTGACACCTAGATATTTTCCTGAGAGGTATTAGAACATCCAGACCTAGGCTTATATATCCGGGGGAGATACCAATCGGAAGCCTCTGCAGCAGGAAATTGGTAGGAAATGCCCAAGCCAAAAAACCAAAGTAGAAAAGACTGCTGAGCCAGTTGTACTGCGTCCCATGCAGTTGTAGATCTTCCTCAATGCCGAAAATGGCCGCATAGCTCAACGTTGTCTGCACCATAGAGCAATTAGAACAAATTTAAATATATAGCAGGACCAAGCCTACCAGCCACGATTAACAGACCTTATCAATGTAAAAAAACGCATAGCAAACGGCCAGATAGGGTAGGACCATAAAGTCAATCTTCCAAAGTACCTTCCTTGCTTCAGCGGGGTCGATCTCCTCATGCAACTCATCTGGGTCATCAAAAAGTGCCATGGCTGTGTCACCGTCGATAGCTTTGACGGACTTCCATCTCGACCTAGCTTGATTGCTTTCAGAGTGGTGGATGGTTGGAACATCGACGGTGTCTCCCTTGGAGAGGTTCTCTGTGACGTTGTCCGCCATCCTCGCTACTATTTTCCCAGGTGGAATCGACGAAGGATTGATGGAATAAGTACGAGTTTGAATATGGTTTTCTTGTGGAACAAGGGATTTAACAGCGAGGCAGAGATATATATTCGCATTCCCCCGGCAGAGAATAAACCTCCGAACTGACCCACCGACTCGTATACGATTTCTCCGCAAAGGTAAGCAAAAGGAAATGGGACAATCTGCGGGGAAGAGACCCATCGCGTTGATCTTGGCCGACGAGCTCTCAATCGGAATTACACCGCGATATCCCTGCGCAGCCAAGGCATGCATCATACCAGTGAGGCCCAAGAATCTTACGCGCACGGAACAAGCCCGAGAACCGAACCAGCTTGCCGCTGCATGAGTGTCCTATCTCGGCTGCTATAGGTGGGTTAGCTCCGGACCATGCGCATGGGGAGTCGCGTTGACCATGAAAACGCGGGCTGGACGATGATCATCATCAGTACGTCCTTCCTGGAACGGTCAAGCGGCGTGGGGGTTTGCGTGGGGAATTCGGGGTCATTCCTCCAGACAACCAATCGATCGCTTTCGAATTGGAGTTATAACGACGGAAACAGGAAGTATAATAACAAGGCAGTGCATGTCATATGTCAATCTAGACTCTCTCTATATCATTTCCTTTCGGTTGAATAATATTTTACTTTTATCCGATCACCCGCTGTTTCCCCTTTTGCATTACTGGAATACTGATGTTATCTTCGGTTGAAGTTGAAGAACCGAGACTTGGAATTTAGATTAGCATCATCACAATCGTGAGTGGGTATCCATCACTTACCGCCACGAACAAGATAATCAGATTAGATCCAATGAACGCCATGAAAATACCCAGATCCCTCCAGCGATTGCTGAAAGACATGCTAAAAGTCGAGTAAAACTGGTCTCCAATCTTGTAAGCGCAGTACTCGCAAGCCTGTGTCGCATTGTTGAGGATATAGCCAGGTCCCCCACGATCGAAAAACGGCTTCATATATTCCTCACACGTCTCGTTCGACGGTGCCTGGAATTGATTGTACTCGCTCTTTGTGCAGACAACCTCGCGCCCATGAAGTTCTGTTACCACCATACCCCCAATGAGACGGGTGAACGGGTCGAGCTGATACAGCCAGGCGCGCCAGAAGCCAGGCATCTGAGGCTTGGGGATTGCGACACCGCAGAAGAGCGAGAAGATGATCACGATTGGCGGGTTCAGCTGAGAGGCAATAAAGCTGTTTGGAGTCAAGGCTGAAATCATTTGGCCCAGAGTCACGGCGAAGATCTCGGTGATGAGTACCATAAAGAATTGATAGCCAGCTCGACTGGTGGCGGATTGGAAGCCTGGGATGTAGTACAGAGGCAAGAAGAAGCATACTGCGCACAAGATACTGTATGGAAGTTCGGCAACGACCATGGAGAGCGCGAAGGCGAATTGACCATAAGTCTTAGAAGCCGATTCCCGGTAGAAGACCAAGCGCGCCATATCATACCGTGGCTCGACCTGCTGCAAGATGATCGCTGGCAGCACAGTCACATTGAAAATGACGAAAATCCGATACTGCAGCGATGAACGCGAATCATCTAACTGTAGGAAAGCAAGGCCGGTAATCAATGCAATCACGACGTGCGTGAACAGGCGAGTAAATCCGTAGTTTCTCGAGCGCCAGAAAGCAAGGTTTGTGCGCCGACCAACCACCTTAATTTGATGCCAGAGCGGCGACGCATACTCCTTTTCAATGGCATCTTGGGTTTGAGTCTGTTGCACCACCTGGCTCCGGTCCTTTTTAATCTGGGGAATATCCTTTTTGAGCTGCTCCAGTTCGGGCGAAGTACGCCAGATATCGCCCCAGTCGCGATCTCCAATCCGGCGAGTTTGGCCAGCCCCGATGGCGTCGAGCATCCATTCTGCGGGGTTAGCATCAGCTGGACAGTCGGCACCATGGCGGCGGAAGTATTCGAGCAAAACTTGTGAATCAGGCCCGATTTCGCCAAAGTAGACACATTCGCCTCCTTGCTGGAGGAGCAACAGTCGGTCAAAATTCTGGAACAATGCCGAGTTCGGCTGGTGAATGGTACAGAGAATAGCCTGGCCCGCAGCAGCAAGTTTGCGAAGGAAGCGAACGATGTTGAAAGCGGACTGGCTGTCCAGGCCGGAAGTCGGCTCATCCAAGAAGAGCAGAAGCTCCGGTTTAGCAGCCAATTCCACACCAATGGTGACACGCTTTCGCTCTTCAACGGACAGTCCAGTCTCAGGTGTCCCGATAATTGCATCTGCGAGGCTCTCCAATTCGAGAAGAGTGATGATTTCCTCCACATATGCATATTTCTCCGACTGGGGAGTCTCAAAGGACTGACGAAGATCAGCAGAGAATCTTAACGCCTCTCGGACAGTCTGCATTGGCTCATGGACATCCAGCTGCTCGGCATAAGATGTGCCTCTCTGGAAAGATGTTCCGGGAGGCTTTCCGTCGACCAGAATATGGCCTGACACCACGCCAATGTTTTTCCGGGCTGCCAGTACATCCAACAATGTTGTCTTTCCAGCCCCCGACGCACCCATCAAAGCAGTCAACTTTCCGGGCTGGACATATCCATAAACGGAATTCAAGAGCTGCCGGGTCCCCGATGGCACCGGAACTTCGTAGTTAACATCTTCCCAGGTGAACACCGACTCCGACAAGATTTTCAAATTCTCACCCTGGTCGACAGACTTTGACTGACGATTGGCTTTCTTTTCCATCAAGGCCTCATTCAATTCTTTTCGCTCCTTGTTCTCTTTCTGGAAGAATGTAATCGTCTTGCCGCCTGCCCCAAACTGAACGGTCTCACCGAAATACAGATTTGCAGCAAGGAAACCGACGATGAGTGCGAGCATAATTCCAAAATTCCGCCAGAGGTCTCCCGCGAGATAGCTGAATGTTTGCGCGATGTAACTGGAGCCCGGAATAATTTGCGAACCAGGCTTGCCTCCCGCCAGAGTACAGGCTTGATGAGCAATGTTTCCATATCCAGGCCCATTGGGGACCAGAGATTGCTCGGTGCAGGTCATTGTTAAGCGACTGAACTCGTTGACCATCAAACTTGCAAAGCCCAGTCCGAAGGGGTTGATATAGTATATCCACCTGAGCCACACTTGCGCACCGGACCACTGGATCAAATAGCCCGAAGTCAGGACAAAGAGTGTGATGATGACAGAGGCGAATTTCATGGCGTAGTCGAAGTCAGGACATAGACAGCCGATTGTCCTGAAGAACACGGTCATGCAAACATAGCCGGTTAGGATAATCAGGACAAAGATAAAGAAAGCTCCAGCATCAAGGACCAGGCCGCACATGAAGTAGACGATGATACTGAAAAGCAGGATTCGTACGACAGCGAAGCTAGTGTCGACAATAATCTGTGCAATGAAGAGAGCGCTTGGTCTGTAGAAAGTGAACGACCGGTGTTTGTTGACGATGGAGCGGCCCATCATGGTCCCTGCCAATTCCGCGAATGCCTGGAATCCATTGAACAGCAAACTGATGAACAGAAGGCCACCCCGAGTAAAGGCGCCGGCGCTGGTCACTGGCAACTTGAGCCAAACTGTACCCAGGATGATAGCCACACCGGTGGACGTGATCCAAGACACAGTTTGTGCGAATCTGTCCTGCCATTTGATCAAGAACTGACGTTGCATCAGAGCCCAAATCTGGAGATGGAGAGGAATTGAATACACGGATGTAGCCGGGGTGAACTTGCGCTTTGCCTCCCGATTTGCGATTTCAAAATCCTCATAGATTTGCTTCCCCTGTTGGACTTGAGTGCGGTACGACTGCATCTCTTCATCAAGTCTCTGGCTGTAGATAGACTTGTCAAATGCCTTGACTAGCGCTTCCGGGGTTGATGGAACATCCTTCGCGCTTCTTCCATCTTTGAACTCTCTCTCAAATGGGTCTGTACACCCGGTCAGATAGTCAGGGGTTGTTTGGCGAGGCTTTTCCCGAAATCCAAGGCCCTCGAAATATGCTCGAGCCTCGCTCGTAGGGCCAAAGTATACTTGGCGACCGCTGTCAATCACAAGCACCTTGTCGAACTGCTTGTAGATGTTCTCTGAAGCCTGGTACAGTGATACAAACGTGGTGGTCTTATAGATATTTGTCAAGATCCGCAGAGACTTGGCGAAGTCAAGCGCAGTCGACGCGTCAAGGCCACGAGTGCTATTATCCCAGGCCAGCACCGTTGCAGACGTGATCATCATCTCAGCAATACTGACGCGACGTCGTTCGCCGCCCGAGACACCACGGATGAACTGGTTACCAATGACCGTGTTGGCGGTGTGCTCAATGTTGAACATTTTCAGCAGCATGTTGATGACCTTTTCCTTAAACTCCGACTTGGAAACGCCCATCGGCCGCTTTCTCGGAGTCTTCGTATCCAAGGCAAACCCTAAAGTTTGCTTGACAGTCAGAGTTGGCTGGTGGATATCATCCTCCTGATTGTACACAGCTTCTCCCCGGAACCGCTTCGCAAAAGTCTCGGACTCAAAAGGCCCGTAAAGAACCTCGCCGTCAACTCCAGTATACCCGAAACGCTGGTTGGCAATTACTTTCAGAAACGTTGTACAGCCTGAGCCCGGCCGCCCCAGAACCAAGACCATCTCCCCTGGACGCGTGAGACCCCGGAAGCCTTCCAGGATATTGTATTCTTTGCCTTTCTGACCATAGCCGCAGAGATGCATGATCGTGTCTGGGAAGTTGAAGAAGTCGATTATCGCATCCGGGAAAGTCTTGATGAACGTTTTGACGCCGCCCATGCCGCGGACCGCCAGGTTGTTCCATATAACACCTAATATGAAGTTAGCAATCAGTTAAATACTCATTTTTTGTCGTTTTCGTACACACCTATGTGCTTGTCTCTGATCCCAGCCTCCACCTCGGCTGCTCGGTTGCCCCGCAAAGCAGTCTCCAGATCCCATTGTTCCTCCGAATCAGCAGAGCTCGCGGACTTCTCAACATCCTCGTTCTTAGTCCCCGTTTTGGAAGCTCGCGAAGCTTGCTTAGAAATATGACGGGCTTGATGAGAGATGCTGGAGAACTGGCGGCTAAGCTCCGAAAAGTCCTGCTCTGCCTGTTCGACATCGACACCCTGCTGCGACGAGGTCATACCCTGCGGATTCGAACCCCGAAGCTGTTCACGCCCATGCTCATAGTTGTCTGATTCGAGCGTATCCCCATCGGAGTCGTTGCTGGCTGCTGCCATCGAGAGCTTCTCGTCCACCACTTCGGGTTCTGGTGATGGCGGCATTAGGAGCCTTGCGGCTGTCGTGGGCACCTCACGTCTTCTAACACCCCCAAAAGCAAAAATCCCCGAGCCTGTGCACGAGCGCGATAGCTGCAGCGTTATATCACACCTTGATAGTTTTTGATTTTGGGTATGTTGAAGCGTATAGGAGCGGCCAAAGAGGCGACTGACAGAAAAATGAAAATGTTGGAGAGCAAACCGGAGAGAAACCAAGCGAGAAAAAAAAGACAACATATGCTAGCCCAAAAAGTACATCGGTTCCTCGGTGCCGGCCCTGGCGCAATGGGCGTGCTGCCTATAGCGTACGCCTCTGGTGCCTATGGGCGCACTATTCGGCTCCACCCGACAAGGATGCGAAGCCTCGAATTTCGCCAAGATCCTGGGGCCGCATCGTCGGCAACAAGCGGTGATGGCCATCGCTCTTGACTCATCATTAATCAGAGCTTCTAGAACCACAAACACCACGGGGCCCAACCCGGATGCGAGTCAGCGCAACCCTAAGGAGGGGGAAATGCGGTGTCACCCTGCATTAACCGCTGCCGGGGTCCAGAAGCGGTTTAGGTACCATCTAGCTCTCGGAGTCCGGAGTTAAAGAGCCCACCGGGAGTTCCTGGGGTCGCGTGTTGCCGATGGGGGAGGATCGAATTCCCCCACTCGGGGGGTGGAGAACCTGGACTAGGCGGATCAAGGGTTGTGACTTGTGAATTACCACCGATTGCAGACCCTCGAGCAAGTTGGTTCTAGCGACTCGAATGAACTTTGATACTAAGGTATCTCACAATTCATAAGCGGCTTGGTTTAGACAGCTACCGAAATCCCGAAGTTCAACCGGCCCTGGACCCCGCTAACACAGGTACTTTTGGACAAAATTACTCCACAGTCCGCGTATCTTGGTCATGAGTTCGTGTCTTTAGGGCCGAGGATGGCGTGCCTGAGCTCATGTACATCTCTGCTTTCAGGGGGTTTGATCGTGTGCCAGATCGTCCGCATACCGGCGGCTCTTTGGCTTTCCTTATAGTTAGTTAAATCATCCTGGAGGTTAATTTATACTCAGGCCCTGGAAATATTGAGTTTCTCACACCAGTCCGACCGATATTAATCCAGCATCGCTACTTCTGGCTCCGCCAATCCGTCTTACATGAGAGTTGTCTACTCTCAAGGAGATGCAACTTGCAATGTCCTCGGCTATCCTCTGTATCTCAGCATCGCTCCAAAGCTGAAACTTGTCCGTGCCATCCGGATCTGAGAGATTATTGTAAATCTTCACCTATACATGGTAGACTAACGCAGGCGTCTGTTTTATCATCATGCCCTAGTACCCCCGAAAGCATAAGATAGCCGGAATCTTAACCTGAGCTGAGCAAGACTTTTTCAAAGTCTGTCTTAACTCTACATGAAGCTTACTACTAATGTGTTGGGATATAATATGGAAATTCTTAAGTTAAACTGCTCGTATATTTTTGCTTTGAGGTTTGCCACATATCTTGGTGGCTTTTTGGGTTTAGTCTACAAATTATGTTGGATGTTTGAAATTCAACCGCGTTCGTTTGTGAGTTCTTGAAGTGCCTTGACCAGCGTTCAACAGACCAAAGTCCCTTCGAGTTGCCGATAGTATGGCATGTATCAAGGGGGAAAAAAAGCCCCCGGGGGGGGGGGGGGGGGTGGAAACAAAGCGCCATATTTGCTTTTGATACGTTAGTTTAATATTGAGAAAGGTTTAAAAAGTTAAAAGCGATCTGTTGTATAACGCAATGGTCGGCTCAAAGTGAGTTTGCCTGGAAATTAATCTGATCCAAATGCTACATAGTCAAGGAAATGTGGGTCAATGACGAGAGACTAGGCCTTGCATATTGTGTTAGTTTGTGCTGCACCATTTCTAAATATTTGCACGCTTTATACTGTGGTTGGCCAATTATATTTATGTTGGTGCGCAGCAGGTCCTGCAGTTCAAACCTGCAGTGAGTGGCGAGCAAAAGAAAACATACGAGACAAATAGGGGTCTTCCTCCCACGCCTATGAGAAGGAAATCGAGAATTTGCAAGATTGCATATAATTTGTCTGCAGCCAATTTTCTATAATCCGTCATCTCTTCGGATTCCATATCGGACTCGCTGAAATCAAGATCCATAATGGCACCTAGTTTCAAGAAGTTTGAGTCAAATGAGCGACCATGGCTATTGGAGTTGCGCTCATCACAGAGATTCATTGTTTTTACCGTTTCTCTATCTATGTTCACGGTATCGTACAACTTACTCTTCCTTCCAAATTTCCTCCTGCTGAGTACGAGATAGGATCTTTTCCTCTATGCCATGGTGGGTTCTCCATCACCCCTTAACCGTCTCTCATCTCACAAATGCAGATTGTCCCCGTCATGCCAAGAGCGTTGGTCACCCGGGCTGGGATTTCGTTTGAAGACCGTATGTGGCTAGCAAAATGGCCACTGCAGCTCTGTTCAGTATACTAACGTTACAACAGGAGAGTATTGGAACTGTGTGATGCTCGTCTCCGAGGCTGTAGCTGCCCTCGCCTGCAGCCCCGTGTTTGGCTACGTCCTAGATAGATCAGGGACACGCCAGGGCCCATACCTCTTTGGCTTAGGCCTCCTTTTTGCGTCAATGGCCGTTTTAACACTCGCTCGATCCGTCATCTGGTATATAATTGCACGAGTGCTACAGGGTGCAGCCACCGCCATGGTAGCTGTCGCCGGTCTAGCTATTGTGACGGATGCAGTTGACAGGAATTGCCTCGGGCATATGATAGGATACATTGGCACATCTATGAATCTCGGCTTTATGACGGGCCCAATGCTTGGCGGGTTGGTATACCATTTTGGTGGCTACTACTCAGTCTTTGGCATGGCGTTTGCAATAGTCGCTCTTGACTTCTTGTTACGGCTGGCTGTTATCGAGAAACGAATCGCCCAAACCTGGCTCACACCGGCCAGTAGCGAGACTGCTTCTGAAGAGGGCTGGGTTGGGTACGCGCCTTATGGGACTGTCAATGGAAGTCTCAACAAGGGAGTGACCTCTCAAACATTCGCCTTTTGGAAGTTGCTACGGCAGCCTCGAATTCTGATAAGTATGTGGGCGGTAATTGTTGGAGCCTTGGTGATTTCTGCATTTGATACAGTAAGCGATTCTGCGCACACTCCCTTTCTGGGACTACGTTAATGCCTGGTTATCCAAGACGCTACCAATTTTCGTGGAGAATACTTTCCATTGGAACACCCTGGGTACTGGCATGATTTTTTTGCCTACCGCTAGTGCCGCAATTTTCCAGCCTTTTTTTGGTATGTTGGTGTATCTCGATTGATCCAGAACAGAACCATTGTCCTTCTGACATCTCATGTTTGCTTGCAGGCTACCTAAGTGATCGATTGGGAGCCCGAGTCCTTACATTTACAAGCTTTGTCCTTCTAGCTCCTTCCCTCATCTGTCTGCGGCTAGTCGAAGACAATACCATGCAACATAAAGGAATTCTCTGCGCGATACTCGTCCTAGTCGGCATGTGTCTAGATCTCAGTGAGCCAGCCCTCTTGGTTGAAATTCAGCGCGTACTAGATTATATGGAAGAGGTACTTCCGGGTATTTTTGGTGAAACGGGCGCCATTGCGCAAGGCTTCAGTCTAGTAAATATGGCGCATTTTGGTGGACTGGCTCTTGGGCCTATGCTAGGGGGGTTTATCGACCACCGCTACGGATGGAAAGCCATGACTTTTGCTCTAGGGACCTTATCTGCGATGACTGCTGTGCCAATGCTCTGGCTTGATGGAGGGCCACTGGACGAGGAGTCGGCGCGTGAAGACTCGGAGAGAGAGCCACTGTTGGAGTAAATGGGGGTGTGCATGTATGGTGTGGCACAATAGTCGTACTAGGAGATCTGGAGACTTTCATCAACATAATCTTGAAAGTATTTCCTCACTCACGTCCTACTTTGGGCCTGCACTTCTGTCCAAGTTCGTCACCGTGCAACGCTACCGGTGGAGAGCATCTCCCGCGGGCACCGGAGATCGTGCCCTAATTGTCGATCTCTGGGTCCCGCAGCTACCAAATGGTAGCACTTGGACTATTTAGGTGGGTCTGAGCCATTAATCCCAGTGGGGACACGACAGTATTGAAAGGTTTCTTTTTCTGGCAGTACGCGACCCGGTGCCTCCTCTTGCACAAACCCGGCAATTATTGTTCCCTAGAATATGCGAGTTTCAAATCTGCAGCGACAAATTAAATGGTATATAATTGCACAATCCGCAAATTTATTGCTTTTTTTCTAGTGCTTTCTCCAACCATCGTGTTTGTAACAAGTCTTTTAGGTAGATCCTTGTCCCTCTCCCTGCTAGAGCAGATTGATATTAAACAATAGCACGTTATTGTTCTGAACCAACTCTTTGAAGTTACACAAATCTCCAATTATATTAAAAAGAATCGGTTTCCTCGGCCAACTTACAACAATTTAAAAGGAGACAAGGCCCTATATACCATTCCAAGAAACCTCCGTGACACGAATCAGCCAAGATGGGATTCTTCCAAAGGCTCCGTAAGGCCATTATTAATCTCATATCCTCTACGGAGACTTCTATTACCTCGATTTCCCATACACCAAACGACGAAAATGCAAAGGGGATCCAAAAAGCGAAGTTTATCTTTCCAGCTGAAAGTGGTCGTCACGAAGCCACAATTCTCGGTTTCCCGTCCCGATGTTCTTTACCTCCGGACCAGTACGATGCAGTATGTGGCGAGTTGATTCAGCTGGCCGCAGCCATAGCGGAGTTCGAACCAGTTCGCATGTATGCTCGTCCAGAGGACATGGAGCTAGCTGGGGCTCTTGTCAAGGCAACTGTCAACAAGATTTCCCGAGTCACGGTCATCCCGTGCCCAATCAATCACTGCTGGGTGCGTGATACCGGCCCTGTATATGTGCGTGATGCAACAGGGAAATTTCCAAAGCGCCGTTTTGCCATCAACTTTCGATTCAACGAGTGGGGTGGCAAGAAACCAGAGGATGAGGGAGTGGCTTGGGGCCAACAGTGGCCGCTCATGGATGACAAGACACTTCAAGAAAACACGGACTTCGCGCGTTATGTGGTTGACCACGACCGCAATCCAACGCTAGTCACGCGCATTGATGCCCCAATCCGTGCTGAAGGCGGCGGTTTGGTGGTAGATGGCGATGGAACTCTATTGATCACGGAGAGTAGCATTGTCTGCAACATCCGCAACCCAGGAATTACTAAAGACGATATTGAGGAGGAGCTGAAGCGGCTTCTTGGCATCGAGAAAGTGGTCTGGTTCCCAGGGCGGCCCAATGTGGACATCACGGATGTGCACATGGACGCCGAGGCGCGTTTCATACGTCCCGGAGTGATTGTGTACTCGAAACCCCACGATATGGCCCCTGATCTTTGGAAAGAGTTGTCAACTGAGATCCGCGATATCCTAGGCCGTGAGACCGATGCCAAGGGGCGCAGCTTTGAAATCCACACCATTGAAGAGCCAGATCCTCGTGGCTTGGTCAAATCTGCCGACGATGAGTTAGCCGCTAGCTACGTCAACTTCTACTTTGTGAATGGCGGCCTGATCGTTCCCAAGTTTGGAGATAAACAGAGGGACCAAAAGGCGCTGGAAGTCTTGCAGGCTCTGGTCCCTGAACGGGTCGTCAAGCAGGTCTACACTAATGCTATCCCTCTTACCGGTGGCGTGCTGCACTGCGTCACCCAGCAGGTTCCTGCTCTGGAGGCATGACTACGGACAGTAGTCGAGAATAAAATTGGCCAATCGACTTCGGCATTTACGGGCTGGATGGCGAGATTACCTGTACGGTAGAAATTGGCTTTTGTATTATGCTTTGCTTTTTTTTAAACAAGGGCATCTTTATCCCATTTTGTATTTCAAGTCGCCTAAAATCCGCAATCCGAAGAGGCCTCATGCAATGTCGCGTTCACTAACCTCAGCCGTAACTACCCCAGGCACTAACTGCCCTGATCTAGCACCTTTAATTCAAATTTGAAAATATACATAGCCTGGAGCTTTTAAACAGGGCCAGACTTTGAGTTATGAAATTTCCAACGATACCGGCACCTCCGTGCCATCAATTAGAGCAAGCATTTGTTCACATCAGCCAGCCACTACAAGAAAATGAAAATAACACACAGTATTCTCCTTATGTGCAACCTGGATTTTACAGTAGGAACACGTAGCAGAGGAACGTTGAGGCGCACTCTCGTATAAAATGCCTCCCATGACACACTCAAACAGCTACAATGTTACTCAACAGGCCCAGCATCCCGGCCACCAATAAATCCGACGCTGCAGTGGGACAGAAATTTAGATTCCTCAGCAATGAGAGAGGTCTGAGTGCCATCTACAGCACATAGTCCAAGATGAGCAGTATGCTATGGACAGGTGTGAACTGTTCATCAAGGTACAATTGTCCACCTATTTCTAGTCCATGATAGTGTTCCAGTTCTGTGGCCACTTGACGCGGTTCCTGCATTTATTGGCCAGGACGATGGTCTCTTATCCTTTCATGCAGGGCCTATTGTACATTGGTTCCAAGAAATGGGAACCATACAGTAATATCGGCTCAATTATCACCGTAAATGCCAAAAGTCCGCTCTCTCCAATCGCCCGAACACGAAGCTGGATGTTAAATCAGCAATAATCTATTGCAAGTCCAATTGGAGTACATGTGTGACAATCATCCACTGTGATTGCCCAGTACGCCCCACTGAAGCAATGTTACTCCACTCGATCAGCTTCAGATGAGATACTTGGTTCCGAGCTCCAGGAGTAACAGACTATCGATCCGATCAATGATTGACAATATTAATGCTAGTTGAGTGATTCAGCTGCCGGAAAAATGCAGGCTGTGTCTACCCAGTTTCAACATAAGTAAATATATATTTAAAGGCACACCATTGGCTCCAAACTGGAGCTATATTGACCTTAACACTCGCGTCCCCTTTCGTCCTGTGCGACTCGATAGTAGCGCAACATTGCTATTTCATGCGAAACTTGGTCAGCGACGGCATTTGATTCCTTGAAAACGGCGTTATTTATATACTCAGCTGGCCCAGCAAACAGGGAACTCTGGAGTTTACCACATGTTTCAAACTGTATCTCGGTATAGTACTCCGTATAGTAGGGTGATGGAAATGGGCTCTCATTTCAAAACCCTGCAATTCTGCCCTGTACTCCTGAGAAGCTTGTTCTCCGCCATTATGGATTTCTTACCTGCACGACAGGACATTATCATGCCCGGGAAACCAGCACTCCCCGCTCTGGTATACCGAACATCAACACCAGAGAAGCTCATCGATCATACAATTGAGAACCATACCGGCAAGCTAAGCAAGTCATCAGTCGTTGGTGGTGATGATTCCTTCTTCGTTGCGGACCTCGGCCAGGTGTCCCGGCAGCATCACCGCTGGACACATAACCTGCCCGGCGTGCGGCCATTCTATGGTATCGTCCTCAATTTCCCCCTCCCAACTCTTTCCGGCACATATCAATTTCCCAGATATTTAGAAGGAGTGTTAATGGGAATTTTATTTTCAATAAACAGCGGTCAAATGCAACTCGGATCCAATCCTTCTCCAACATCTCGCTGATCTAGGCACGAGTTTCGACTGCGCCTCGATCGAAGAAATGCGCGCTGTGCTAGATCTCGGGATCGATCCTGTACGTATCCTATTTGCCCACCCATGCAAGTCACCAGCGGCATTAGTGTTTGCTCGACAGGTCGGTGTATGCCGTACCGTTTTCGACAACCTTGATGAGCTAGATTCCATCAAGACCCACATGCCACGCGCACAGCTTCTGCTGCGCATCTATGCCAATGATGACAGCGCGCTTATATGCCTGGGTGAGAAATTCGGGGCTCCGTTAGACGCCACACAGGCTCTACTTTCAAGAGCATGGGAGCTAGGGCTAGATGTAGTTGGGGTCAGCTTCCACGTGGGTGAGGCTTGAATCTGACTTTATACTACGCACAAGTCAGCGAGCTGACATTTTCAGGAACTGGATCAAGTAATCCAGCATCTTTTTGCAAAGCAATCACGCACGCACGGATAGTATTCTCGCAAGCCCAGCAACTCGGCTTCCGCCCCAGCATACTCGACATTGGGGGAGGGTTCCAGGATTGCCATTTCGAAGAGACAGCAGCTCGGCTGCGCGAATCAGTCCGCACAGAATTCCCATCCGGCATAACCACCATCGCTGAGCCAGGACGCTTCTACGCTCGAAGTGCTTATACCCTGGTATGTAGAGTGATTTCGCGCAGACGCCAGATAGGCAATGCAGCCGCCACGGGTGTGCCGGATATGCTGTATCAAAATGATGGTGTCTATGGGAATTTCATGAACGTAATCATGGAGAAAGAGGTGATGGTACCATATTTGGTTCGAGAAGGGAAACACAAGCAGTCTACATTACCTACGAAGATATCATCCGAGAAGGAAGATGTACAGGCATGGATGAAGACAAGACGTGAACATCGGTATTCGATCTGGGGCCCAACCTGTGATAGCGTGGACTGCGTTGTTCGCGAGGCGGTACTGGACGGAGAGGTCCTCGTTGGCGATTGGCTAATGTATAAGAATATGGGAGGTGAGTCTTTTGGCACCATCAAGGCTGACTGACTGATTGATTTTCTCGCCAGCATATACTAGCACCACTGCAACACAGTTCAATGGGTTCAGCAGCACCCATGATACCCTCTATGTGAACGGCGAAGCCATTTCAGAGTATTAAATTGGATCGCCAATTCTTACCCAGGCCAGAATATATAATTGCAAATGTTGAGTTTGGCTCCGGTACGGAATAATAGTATATACAGTTATTTTCTCAGGCTATGAGAGATTGCTACAGGTTGGGTTTGTTTAGGTGTAGAACATAGCAGTTGAGATAAGAGTACGGGCCAGCGTTTAACACCCTCAAAAGGAACTGTCTCACTATTACATAGGGCCTATATGGCGAAACTGACACCTTAGAGAACCCTCCTGTTTGTAAATAGCACGGCTTTCGCTGAGCTTTTAATGTGACTCCGCGGGGTAGTCGAGGACTAGTGAGAAAGAAAGGCCTCATGTCTGAAGTCACCGCTCTCAACCCTTACTCCATCCGAAAACCTTCAAGAGAGATGATGCTTCTAGCATCATGCATCTACTGTGGTCCACTCAAAGCAACCTGAGCGCTCAGCCCTTTGTCATCGTGCCTTGGGACGTAACTACTCAAGCATCTTCGCCTGCTCCAGTGCTAAGCAGCTGATCAATCTGTGCACATTGAGATTCCAACTCTAAATATCCTTCTATGGCTTTCTAATCTTATATTAAATCTCTATAAGATCACGCAAACTGTTCCTGTCAAAAATACCTCGCCGTTTCCGGCCCTCGCAGCCCCTAGCTGCAGCCGGTGAATCTACGACCAGAGAAAGTTGAGTTTCGCAAGTCCCTTGTTGCGTGGTGGTTCAGGTTCGAGATTTTCTTCGCTGAGGTAAAACTGCATCAAGCCGACAATCGGAATATTCACCAAAGCGAGGATATGTGTTTTCTTCCACCATTTGTAGCCAAAGTATAGGACCAGGAAGATTGGAATGTTGATGTACGCCGAGACAAATGCTTCAGCATTCCAGTGGCCATGAATAAATGTGCTAAAGCCTCCAGTGAGAAGTACAAGGAGGATCAGCACAAGCGCAGCCCATGTTGAGTAAGGTTGAAAAGGGGCAGCCCACGGAAGCTCTTTGTGGCGGTCGACCCCCTGCCTTTTGCAACCGTAGTAGAATCGGAGATATACGACACAGATAACTCCCCAGTCTACCAAAGTAGAGACCGCCACAACGGCCTGCAACCAGCCAAAGACTGTGTATGCTGACTCAGAGACGACCATATACCCCAAGGACATAAAGAGCCCGAAGAAGCAGATTGCCACGTAAGGCACACTGAATCGGTTCAGCCGAGCGAAGACTGCGGGAGCATGCCCCTGCATTGCCATGCCAAAGAGAATTCGGGAGCCGAAAAGAATAAACGAATTGCCAGCCGACCAGGCTGAAGCGAGTATAGCGGCATTAATAATCGAGGGTGCATCCTGTATCCCTGCCCGACGAGCGGCTATAACAAATGGGGATTGGGAAGCTGTGCCAGTTAAATGAAGGAGGTTGGGGTCATTCGAAGGAATAACCAAACCGATCATGAATATGGTCAGGACATAGAAGACGAGGATGCGGACCAAGACGCGCTTTGTTGCCTTTGGGATGGCGCGTCTTGGAGATCTTGTCTCAGCTCCAGCAAGGGTAATATTTTGAACTCCTGCGTATGCAAAGACTGCATTGCTCAGTGTTGACCAGAAACCGAGAAATCGACCCAAAGTACCCTTGATACCAAGGTATTGAACGAAGGGCCCTGGGTCTTCCCAGTATCTGAATCCAATCGATTGGCCACTTGGTCCTCCACCGCACGTAATCACAAGGGCCATAATATTTACTCCAAGGACCAGTAAGATCTTCAGCATCGCAAATGCAAACTCAACCTCCCCATAAACTCTGATGAGAAATAGCGCAGTGACGAGTATCAGCATGCTGAAAATGGTGACCCATATTGCGCTGCTGATAGTAATCCAGAATTCAACTAAGATCGAAGCTGCCACGATCTCAGCAGGGATAGTCACCAGGTATGAGGATACTTGATTCCATCCGTTCGCGAAGGCCATGGCAGGATCGAAGAAGAATTCTGAATAGCGGACGAGGCCTCCGCTAAGAGGCACGAAAGCGCCCATCTCCCCAGTAACGACGACGACACTAGAAGCAACAAGCCCAATAATAGTGTACCCAAGGAAAGCACCTAGAGGTCCTCCCATTGCGAGTGCTTGGCCAGAGTTGAGGAATAGCCCTGAGCCGACTGTGCCGGCCAAACCAATCATCTGAATGTGTCGCTGGTGAAGACCTTGCCTCAGGGTATACCTTTCACTGAAGCTTTGCACAACATCGTCCGTTTCATTAATAACTGGAGAGACAGCCACTGCCGTGAGAGGGATCTCTGAGCCTGTTTGAGACGACATGGTTGTAGGAATTGCCGAATGAAACAAGCCGACCACGGTCAAAGAAGTCAGCTATGAGCCGAGTGGAGGTGGTTCATGACTTTCTGCCTCCTCGCCGTTCGATACGTCACGAAAAGCGTTCTCGGATTGCGGGTTTGCCTCGTGGGCAACCATGGGACCTCTAAAGTTTATTTCGGCTAACCGGTCGTTCCGCATGTTATCATTCATGGCGGACCCTGCCCAGAAGATCAATAGTTCCCCGATGCTGCCACAAAGACCTGCGGGCCCATCTTCCTAATCGTAAACAGTTCCGCTCGCCTCTCTCTTACTTCTCGCAATAAAAGAAAGTCATAAAATTACTCTGGAACCCAACTTCCACGTGTACGGTTTGATGACTAAGACATTGGGCGCCGGGAATGGCGTCAAGGTAGCCATTTTTGGCGCCCGATTTAACGTCAGCAAGGTTGTGGTGTAGTTGTAGGACTATTTGCTGCTGCTACCGATGTCGAGAGGGATATCGCTGAACGTAGTCTCATGACTTTGCTCTGGGACAGAGAAATACCCTCAGCCGCCGTTCTGCCATTAATATGACCAGGACTGTACATCTGGCGGAACGGTCAATTACTCACCGTTGAGCACTGGATTCTCAGATTCGTGGGATACTGAGGATGATTCCTTTGTCGGAGTAGGACGGACCACCGGATCCACCAGGTAATCACTGATTTCTTCTTCCATCCATCCATTTCCCTAACACCATTTCCCAAGCCTCATTACTTTTGCCGGCTCTTTCTCCTTTGGCGGTGGTACCGGTCTTCTCTCGGTCTACGGCTGGAGAACCAACCCCCTGGCTGAATACTCTGTCATAGAGGACTACAGCAACCCTGCTACCAGCAGCACGATGAAGGGAACTTTCAGGAGCGATTGATTGACCTACACAATCTGAGAGAACTAGCGCGTCAACGAACTATTCATCGATGGTACCGCGACTTTTATCCAGTACATCCCAGTCCGGAAGTCCCCTCGGACGAGCGGCACGTCACCATCGAGAACCACTTCCAAGAGTGGGCGTCACTCGGCATGGACCTGGGATCGCTCCGCTACCAAGTCATTGCTGTGGAAGGCTGGGGCGGCAGTGGCTCTGCCTCGCAGTCCATCAGCAACTCCGGCAGCACCAGTTCCGATGGAAGCACTGGAAGTGGAAGTCGAGGTGGCACTGGGAGTGCTAACTGTTCAGCGCTATATGGCCAGTGTGGCGGCACAGGATGGGCGGGTGCTGCGTGCTGCGTGCTGCTCGTCAGGCACCTGCAGGGTCTAATCCCTACTTTTCGCAGTGTCGTTAGTGGTGGGTCATCTTTACCGGCCGATAAGAGCAGACGAGCTTAGCGTGATAGTAAAATGTAGTACGGTTACTACGCGAGTCCCATCACCGAAATCGAGAAGGGTATTCATACCTCAACTATAGTATAGAATTTTACTGTTATTGTTTGATTCTTCGTCCAGTTATACTCCCAGTGTTCTATATCTTGAAGTACTGGTAGGGGGACGGAACAGGCGGGGAACGTCGGACTCTGCTTTTGTCGAACTCCAAGCAGATAATTTACATACTAATCAGGAAGTCTGTAGGAGACGTGGCGTCGCTAGTTACTGCTTGCCCATTTCTAGTGTGTTTCAACAGTACTGTGGAGGTGTATCCACAGAGCTTTGACCAGTCTATTTACGGCTATGAATGGCTGCGTAATGGCATCATAGGCTGAGCCAGGCGGTCCTGCATAATATAATAAGTCCTAAGAAAGTAGTTTACTATCACCATACAATTCCTAGATCTGGTCAAAAGCGGGGAGAACAGGGATAACGCCCCTGCAGCCCAAAAGGCGGGTCGGTTTCTTCAGTATTCCAATTATAACCTGTATCATTTACTTGATGTGGTTGTCTACTCAGAACATGTCCACCTCGGATTATCGACTCTCGACTGAATTTCAGACTGTTGTTTAAGTAGGAAACCATACTGCGTAGGGCCGAACCTTTGCCGCTTTTTGGGCTAGCGGCATATTGTGATGAACTGTTGTTTTATTCACGGAAGAGTCTCCGTCTCCACTCTGGTAACATCCGGGGTTTTGCCAGCCACTGCAATGCGGGGGAAAGGGTCATGGATAATCTCCTTGGAGATGCGTTTCATTCATCCTGTGGGCATATAGCCTGTCATTTGCCAAAATAGCCTGTTTTGTGTCCACACATTCTATGCTAATCCAAGCATTATACGTCAAGTCATCTTATCTTCCCCATACCAGTACGGCGTTCAATCCGACCCGATCGTAGCCATTGCAGTTTCTTCACGGCTAAATTCGACTTCGTATTGTCTCCCGCGCCTCAAATAGACTACTTCGGAACCTAGTTCATCGTCAAGCGAAATCCTTTCTTTCGGTCCAAAGGAACAGTGTATGATTCTTGACGATTTACTCTACGGAAACATGGAAAACTCTTCCAAGGAAGGACTTCTGTGTGCAACTCTTCCGAGGATGCCGACTCTATATAAATGAGTAGCAAACTCTCTCTTTTCTAGGAGACCAGATTCATTTCCATCCACAAATCTTCGCAAGGCAACATCTCGTTTCACTCGGCTTTTTGCTGCTCTCTATCTCTTGGAGTATCCCTCTATTTCTCCCCAGGAATCATGATTTCTAAGGCAGTCGCGCTTTGTCTCCTCGCCGGCAGCGCTCTCGCCGTCCCGCTCGAGGCCAACGTCGTGAAGCGAAGCTGCCCAAACATCCATGTCTTTGGTGCACGCGAAACCACCGCATCCCCCGGCTACGGCTCATCAGACACGGTCGTCAATGACGTCCTCAATGCCTATCCGGGCTCTACCTCTGAAGCAATTAGCTACCCGGCATGTGGCGGGCAATCCTCGTGTGGTGGTGCCAGCTACTCCAGTTCAGTGGCTCAGGGCATCGCAGCCGTTGCCTCGGCTGTGAACTCCTTCAATTCGCAGTGTCCAGACACACAGCTCGTTCTAGTTGGATACTCGCAGGTCAGTTGGATCTTTTTAGCACTTCCACGTAAAAAATTGCCTTCTAACCGAGTCCAATGGCCATTTAGGGAGGCGAGATCATGGATGCTGCCTTGTGTGGCGGCGGTGACCCCAATCAAGGCTACACCAACACAGCGGTCCAGCTGTCCTCGGCCGCAGTGAATATGGTGAAGGCGGCCATCTTCATGGGTGATCCTCTTTTCAGAGCTGGCTTGTCATATGAAGTTGGAACTTGTGCTGCTGGCGGCGTAAGAACTTCCTTCCTCTCCTCGTCCGAAGTTAGATTCCTGACAATAGAGATGCAGTTCGATGAACGCCCTGCCGGTTTTAGCTGCCCGTCGGCCAGCAAGATCCAGTCGTACTGTGATGCCTCGGATCCGTATTGCTGCAACGGCAGTAACGCCGCAACTCACCAGGGCTATGGAGCCGAGTACGGTGCACAGGCATTGGCCTTCATCAAGACCAAGCTTTCCTCCGGAAGTGGGTCCCCTACTACCACCACTACCACTACCACTACCTCTGGGTCTGGGAGCACTTCTACCGGCACTGTCGCTGAATGGGGACAATGTGGTGGACTGGGCTGGACTGGAGGAACAGTGTGTGTGAGCCCGTACACGTGCAAAGCGGCTAATGCGTACTATTCGCAGTGTCTTTAAGGTAGTTTAAGAGTATAGTCTGGGGCATTACTCAGAGACAAGGAAAGGCACAGCCGGACATCAGATCTCAGTAGCATTAAGTGGAACTGAGTTGATGGTACTGGAGCCATGATTCACTCTGTGGATCTGCAGATTAGCTATAATGATGTTGATTCCTTTGAAAACAATGCAGTACCTTTTGCCTCCCCAATTTTCTAAGCGCCTACTCTTTCATGCAGCCCAATATCTGCCTGTGAAACAAGGGAGAGCCCGCCTCCGTCGTTTCTATTGGGCTCCTCGCACGCCCATTGCATTACCAGATATTTAACTCCACGCTGCCGGCGCGGTGCATACAGATCTAGAGAAATGAGATAAGACCACAGTGGACAATATATTTAGGACAGTCTATCATGAACTCAATCGAATTAACTAGAACGGCACTAGAAATAATGAATAGCCCGCATTCATTCCGCTTAACCGAGTACCTAATCTCAACTGCCTGGCATCTATCAAAAGGAGAAGAAATTTTGCATCTAATCTTGACACAAATGAGAATGAAGAAGTGTTGAGCTTCTTCCAACAAATAAGAAATCAAACCCAACAAAACCAACGCCGTTACTGGCGATGTCTTTCACAGAAATTGGGCCACAACGAGTGGAAGAATAACAAACAAGAAATAACAGAAGTGGATATCAATCATGATAAAAAAGCGTCACAAGAAATAGGGATGGAAAGCAGGCTATCTTAACGAGAGACAAGAGTGTTCACGAATAGAAAGGATGTAATAGAGGGCCAGCTGATTCACGCCTGTTCCATTCCAGCCATCTGGACGTCCTCCTGGGGTCCAGGCTCAGAGAGGAGAGGCTGCTTGATGTCCGCACCGTAGAGCTGGGCATCAGGAGTAGCCATATCAGACGGGAGTTCAGAAACCAAGCCTCCCTTTTCCTGGGATTTGGTATCTCGCTCTGGTCGTTTGCGGCCGAGGCGCTCGCACCAGTGTTCGGCACTGACGAGCGTGTCGTTGACGACGCCGCTCACTTGGGCCATCATGTCAAGCCCTTCCTGGGCCAGAACTAAAATCCGATGTGCATTGACGGTGTCATCTGAGGACGCAGCTGGCGAGTCGGGCGGCGGCTGGGAGCTCGATGCGACCTGGAACCGGTGTGGCAGCGAGGTCAGGTGCCGACGGACGAGATGGCGGGCGTTCTCGGGTAGAGCGCCTCCGGCATACTTGGACACGACATCCACAACTTGCTTCAGCGTAGATAGGACGTCCGCCTTGACAGCTTGGATGCGCTGCTGCAGCAAAGATGCACTCTCGCCGTTAGCGCCGTTCTCTAGATCATTCTGCGGCTGCCCTTGCCGCTCCTTGTGGGCTTCCCACTCGTTCACGGCGTTCTGAAGAGCCACAATCGCTTTCCCGAGTCGGCCATTGGCCCACCGCAGCCAAGTTAGACAGTACTGCAGACTGCGCAGGGATTCATCGCTCATGGCGACTCCAAGCCCTGACGTCGAGATAACCAGTCGGCTCTGCCATGTCGGGGGGATTTGTCGACCGGATTTGGGTTTCTCTTCGTAGCGCGGGGATCGCATCTCATCGTATGGAGGCAGCGTCTCGGCCATGGACAGATCGGACGAGCTCCGAGTCCGCGTCGCGGGCGTCGCATCGCCGGGTCCCTGTTCCGCATCCATTTCGGACGGGGTCTTAGCACCGTTCACTTTACGACGTTTGGTGCGCTTTGCGTCGGCTGATGCTTCTCGTCGCTGTAGTGCCCAACGCAGACCGCTCTCAACACCGGTCTTGCGGCCTACTGTATTCACAGTGCTTGCGACGGGGGAACCGATGGTGCGCTCGATGAACTCGGCGCTGGACTTGAAACGAGGGGAATACGATTTCGAGGTGGTGTACGCCGACACGGAACCGTTTATCGCAGAGGAGATCAGCGGGTGTGAGGTTGTTAGCAGGGACAGCAGCGGCTCTGGCTGCTGAGGGTCCGGCGAAGCGGTAGTCGGAACGGACTGCCGGTGTGCTTGGGGAGATCGTGCGAAATCTAATTTTTTTTGTTAACCCAGAACCGAAGTCAGCGAGCTAGCCGGACAGGACTGCCGTCCACCGAGCCGAGCCAAGCTACGTATTATGAAGACGACATACCTGAACGAAGGCCTTCCAGCGCTTGCGCGGCCTCGAGATCATCCATGGACAGAACGCTCGCGGCACGACGGGATCGATCGTCTGTGGGTTGTGGTGGGTTGCTCTCGGCGTCCATCACGGAGGAGAGGGCATTCTGGGGAGGGAGACGGGGAGATATCGGCGTCACCGAGGGAGACCGGCTGGCGGTATAAGAGGCTTCCACCGAGGGGAAACCCGTCGCAGCGGATAAAGAAGCTGGGGCGGTGGCGTGGGGAGCAGCAGCAAGAGCAGTGGCGGACTCGCTCACGGCAGATAGACTAGTGGTGTTTCGGGCAGGTGTTCTTTCCATGGCGGGTCAAAGAAGCAAATGATGGACGGAGGAATAAGATACACGTGAAAGTGGAGTGGTCATTAGGTAAGTCAGAGGGGAGTACTTGAGTGACCGTACAATTTAGTATGAGAGAGCAAGTACCCTCTTGCCTTCACATGTCTCCCAACATTTAGTAGTTAGTTAGGGCCGACGAGTAATCACGTCCGGCCCCAATGATAACCCAATAAAACATTCTCTTTCGGGGATCCCAACACCTCGCTTGCATAACCTAAATAATGAAACTAATAACAATAATGTGATGCGTCGGAAGACCACACCATCTCATCACATGTGTGTCAGGTAGAAAGAACCCCGTCTGACCATCCACTCCAATGATAAGCCTAGCAAAGGAAAGTATTAATTAATTGGGACCACTCGTACAATGTACCCCCTTCCGGACTGGCTCAACAGCATGTGATGGTGGGGAGGCTTAGTACACCCAGAGCTAACTAGCGCAGATTATGTCCGTCCTAGTGCGTGTGAACAGACGCCAGGAGAGGCTTGAAGCATTTAGGCAGAATCCTGCGATACGACGGTGTCCGTTTTTGGCCACGGGTGTGCCAGGGAGCGCTTAATTCAGATGAAATGCATATGAAAGGACCCAATCACCCATCCGAAGTTCATCAGTCCTATCCTCCAAACAGCATCAGATCTAATTCTCTCCGGGATGGACAGAAGAAAACAATTTGACAATTCAACCGAACTACCGAAAAGATTCACTGACTGCCGAGGACAACTGCTCAGGGCAGAGACTACCTCAGTCTCTTCTATCCCCCGAACTGACCGGCTTATCCGTCCATAGATCTACCTCCTTGGGAGCGACATGCTTAGTCTTGATGGTCACCTTGTACCCAACAATTAAAATGAGATACAGTGGGATACCGAAGTACGACGCCACGAAAGATTTATAGTTGAAGTGCCGGCGACCGGCCTCGAACTTAAACGAGTCGACGACCATAGTCACCGAGATGAACAGACACAGGATCAGAGCGAGAAGAGTTCCGGGGAGGCCGAAGCGGGCTTTGCAGATAAGAGCTTCCTCGGGGACCGCTTGGGCTTTGCGGGCTCGCACGAATGAGATGTGCGTGATGAGAATGGATATCCAGGTTAAGAGACCGAGCATCGTTACGCTGTTGACGAAATACCCGAACACTGCGGTAGAGTCGTGGGCGATATTCAGGTATGCCAGCGTCGTCACGGCGCAGCATACGCCCAGTGCGTAGACGGGGATGCCTCGGCGGTTGGTGCGCGACAGGAAAGCTGGTGCTCGGTGCTTCAAGGCGAGATCACACATGGCCTTGGCCGCCAGGTAGAGATCGTAGTTTGCAATCGACAGAGTAAACAGGAGGATGCAGGCATTCAGTATGTCTGGCAGAACAGAGATGCCCGCCAAGTATATCGCGGCGACGAACGGCGAGGCAGCGGCGTCTTTGGAGGATGCGCTGTGGAAAGCCAAGGTCACCGAATTGTGCGGAACAATCATCCCCAGAAGCGTAATCCCGAGAAGATGAAAGACCAGGATTCGGTAAAAGGTATACTTGATCGCGCGTGAAGTCGCTTTATTTAAACACGGGGTCTGTGCCATGATCCCCGTTCTCTCACTCCCAATATACGCAAACATCGCGGAGGATATAGTGCCGCAAGTCATATAAAACTTCTCGATCAGCCGATGCTCGTTGGGCGGGCCAAATGCACCCGGGTATTTCCAATATCGAAACCCTCTGCGATCATGATCTGGTCCACCACCCAACGCGATGACGAAGGATAGGAGCATGAGGCCAGACAACATCACGATTTTGAAACATGAGACGTAAAACTCCATCTTGCCGGCAAGTCCGCGATGGAGGAAGTTGAGCGTTATGATGATAACGAGAAAGCACGTAACCAAGATCCCAGGGTTGAGGCGTTCCGCATCAAGCCAGTATGATACCACCAACGTCGCGGCTGTAAGCTGATTCGGTGTGACAACGGCATATTTAAGCCAGAAGCTGTCGAAGCCGATGTCAAAAAGAAGATTCAAGACCGCGGAAAAGCATGTCACTCACATCCAAGCCAAGCTAAATCCAAGTGCTGGGTCACAGAATCGAACAGCTTGATCGGCAACAGTGCAGGGTTTCGGCAACCAAGCAGCGACTTCGCCCAGGGCCGAGAGAACCAGGTAAGCCGTGAATCCAACGACCGTGTAAGAAATGATGACGGCTGCCGGCTGCTTCGCGTCAGTGTGTTGAATGGAAGGCATCGTGTTGGCTTACTCCGCTTCTGTTCACGGTATATCAGCTAAGTTCTCTCGAGACGACAAGACAAGTCCACCTACATTGACAGCGCCCTGCCCGTGCCAATCATCAACCCCGTCCCAATCGCCGACCCAATAGCTATAACCCCGTTAGTGCTCATCTTAGAAGTAGAATCAAGTACAGACTCATGATGCCGACCTGCCGAGGTGTCAGTTCGTCGTAAATGTCCGTGAAACCAGTTGGGATGACATCGGAATGAACTACAGTCACAGTTGGCGCGGCGCTTGGTCCGGTACGGGCATGCTGTGATGGGGGAGGATCAGGCGCTGTGGGCTGGCGTTGGAGCTGGATCATCTCCAATCAAGGGCAACCGGGTCCAACAGTCACGAGCAGAAAATAAGATCCGTGTAGAGCGAGAGCGAGAGCGAGAGCTTGGGGTGGGAGAAAAGGAAAAGAGAGAAGACAAGAGGACGAGTCCATGGTCGCGGCAGGTGCGATGGCGAAACAGAAGGGACGAAAGGTTGAGTGCAGGGTGGGATATATTTCTATATGCATCGAGTTCCCCGGCAATCAACAGAAAGAAAAGAAACTCGTAAAACCACCAGATCTATACCATGGCCACACCGAAGCCCACATTTTAGAGCACAAGTGTGGCCAGCGTCTATAGTTAACTGACTTTCCGGAACCGCAAAATCACCTAAAAGAAACAGAAACAGGAACATAAACGCCCTTCCGATACTAAAGAAAGAACCCCAATCAAAGTCGCAAATAGACTTGTCCCGTCGAAAGAGATATTCGTGTAAATGTGTCAAACATTACCAAGGGTGGTGGGCGGGTGGTCCGGAACGACTGGCGTTCGCCGGGACAAAACAAAAACAGGAGCCGGGTATGCGTGTATGAGAGAAAAGAAATCATCATTCAGTTCATCGCGACATAAGCGAGTCGCTCGACTCCGTCCGAGGGAAGATGCGCGTGTACAGCGAGTCGCTAGACTCGGTGCGCGGGAAGTGTCGCTGGTGCTTGCGGGAAATCACCCGGTCCGTGTACACACCCGTGGCTGTACCGCGCACAACCGACTCGAGATACTGGCGGAAATCCGCGGGCTTGAAATCCGGGTACAGCTCCTGGGAGGTCAGGTAGCCGAGGTACTTGGCGTACTCCGGGTTGTTGTCACCGCGGATGCCCCACGACAGCTGGTACTCGGCCAGATAGCGAGGGATGAACTTGATCGGATCGAAGGGGTACGTTTCGCTGGCCTGGCGGGCAGCCAACACTCGGCTGCAGATCGTCTCTTCGGGGACCTGTGCTCCGACGGTTAGTTAAGAGATTTCTGGTGAATCGGGCCGAGTGGTCTGTGCACGTACGTAGAGCCGGTCAATCTTCTCCTCGCTGATTTCCTCCATGAGATCGTAGATCTGGTTCTGTGTCGACACGGCATTGTAGGCAAGCACCATCTTGTTCAGCGTGCGCGGATCCAGAATGATCCGGGCCATGTAGCGGCCAATGTCGCGCAGGTCCGTCAAAGCCGTGGGCGTGTTTCCGTCTCCGATGATCTCATCGTTCCCGGAGGTCATGGCATAGTCGACACGTCCGGAGCCGAGGCGAGGGTAGGCGAGCTGGTACCACCAGCCGACATCGACGATGGTGTATGGAAGCCACAGCTGACGGATCTGGTTGTAGACAATCTCTTTCTGTAAAGAGCAAGAGGTTAGTTGGTCTATCGATGCGATGCCGATCGAGTTTTCAGTCATACCTCATCGCGAAGCCACATAATACCCCCTGGGGGGGCCACGGTGATGAAGCCACAGGGCACGAATCGCTTCACTCCCGTTCTCTTGGCGGCTTTGGCCAACGGGATCTGATCATGCTGCTCGGCAGGCCCGACGCAGCTGATAACCACCTCAATGTCGGCCAGAGCCTCGATCAGTTCCTCCTCTGATGCCTTCAGGTCGCATTTGCGGATTTGGACCCCGCGTTCCTGCAGGCGGGTGACCGCAGGCTTGTGGGCGGAGATGGGACGGACGAGCGCAAACACTACCTGTTCACTGTTAGCACGGAAGAGGCGCAACTCGTAGAAGGTAATCATACAAAACGGCCATCCTCGAGCAACCCGTTGGCGATGGACCCTCCGGTTTCACCCGCTGCGCCGACGAGCAGAACCCTGGTCTTCTCCATGGTGGATGTATGCGGCAGAGATGCAGCAGGCGGGGCAGTGATGGTGATGGTGATGAGGATGCGATGATGGTGCTGATGAGGATTGTGGGATGGGGAGGAAGGAAGAGAGAAGGAAGAAGTGAGCGGAACCGGTCTCAGGTGCAGGCGACGTTATAAAGCAGCGGTTCCCACCGGTGTAAGGCGACTACCCACTTTTGCGGTGGACGACGGTGGGTCGAGGTGGGTTGGGGCACGGAGGACGATGACTGTGGTGTCTGGGGGTTCTGAGTCTGATGGACGGGTTTCCGATGTTCTGATTCGATTCCCTGATGATTTTTCTTGGTCGAGAGACCTGCTGGACTTGAATTGTCGAGGCCAAAATATTTTTGCTTTCGGCCGGTCGGGATAACCCGAATTACGTCATGCCCGGCATCCCGGTATGTGTCCTACCACGTTAGACTAGAAGGGATTTTGCCAGTAAGAAGAAGACGAAGAATAAGAAGAAGAATAATAATAACAACAATAAAATTAACATTCTGTCACTACGGATTCCGAAGATGTCCCCCGTCCATCAGCAGATGGCGGTAGTGCACATCCTGTAGGAGCTTAGCGGTCTTGACCGGGCAGTGACGAAATGCCTCTCGTTGGTTCGTTCATCCAGCCTAATCCCAGTCCTGATCGCCCGGGCAGCCAGCCACACCCGCGACCAACGGATGTTACTGTCCTCCCCTTCAAGATCCTTCCCTCCCGGGTACTAATATTCTACAGTCCATCTGCTAGGGCGCTCACTCTCACATGCTCCTACTCTCCCATTCCCCCTCGGAAGGGCTGCAGGAGGGGCAAGAGTGGGTCGCATGCCCGGATTTGAAGAGTTGCTGGATCGAGTAAGCGCCCGCGAAGATCTCGGAGCGAGACCAGAAAGCAAGGAAGGAAAGCCGGGGACTCCGTAGTATTGGACTGGTACAAGAAATGCTAATTCCCTCCCATCGCATCTCACATCTGGATCGCCAATGAATGAATGATTCCGGAACGATCCCGCAGCTGGTTGAAACCTGCCGGGCGATGCTCAAGACCTTTCCACGTCCATTCCCCACAACTAACTAGCAGTAATGACGGTGGCAGTCCTAGGATGATCATCAGCATGTCTACTTGATTATTTCGGGCCAAAAGGAACGTCGAGAAATGTGGACCTTTTCGCACGACTCGCGGTATCTGCCGTTGCAGTGCTGCGTTCGAGGAGTTAGCATTGACTGTCTGTTCAAGAACGCAGCACTTACCCTCATGCAGTCATGGTACTGCGGCTTGCACCATCTATCGGGATCGTCCTTGCCCGGCTGGGGTCCTCCCTTGGGATTTCCGTCTGTCGCGATGGCACCGTCATCGGCGACACTCTCAACCGGGGAGGCAATTGCCAGGCCGGCGAAGAGGAGGGTCACCAGAGTCCAGGGACGCATTGTGAAGAGTGGGTATTTGGCGAGAGGGTGCTAAGAGTATTGAATGTGGATGGGTTTGTGAGTTATCGGACAGGAAGGATGGTCCCTTTTATACAGATGGGCGATAGTTCTCCCTCACCTTCATCCTTGACACAGCTCGTGTCTTACGACAGCTTGAACTGACGAACTAGGAATTTGCCTGCTCGCTTCGAGCTGCTCACCGGCCAGTGGCATATACATACACACGCATCCGCGGCAATAAGTCTTACTAGGTTGGGAGCAGAATTCAGTGTCACTCCGAATCCATCTTGTGCAACATCACATCCCAGACCGGATACGAGTTCGATGGGTAGAGGCATCAAGCAAGCAAGCAAACAACGGCCCTCGCCAAATGCTTCTGCTTATGCGTAACCGAGTAAGGTGGTCCTGCAGTCAGCATGTGAGAGACCGAGCAGTTGAAACTTGGAGCTTCACTGCATAGCGAACTATATTCTCCGAATAATGGATTACACCCGAATACTCCCAACTGCAAACACTCGATCCTCCATGGCCTCTGCATTGCGAAAATGTACAGCTTCCTAGAGCCTAGACCTCTTGCCAACGGTTCAGCCAGCCTCTATCTACGCCTTCATCTGTAGGATCCTCTGAACCGTATCCCCCACGAGCCGTGACACATGGATTGACACACGTCTTTGTTACAACCACCATCCCAAGCTCTGTAGACCAAATCTCAGATTGGGTACTCGAGTCAATTCAGCAGGCGAACTAGTAGCAAAGCTGTGATTCAACCATGTAACTCCTAAACCAAAGGTACCTCGTGCCCTAAACTCCCAAACTCCGCGCCAGCCGTCCCTTGACATTTCCATCCTCTGCGAACCGCTCCATCTGGCGCACATCCCACAACTCCCCCCTGCAATACACCTTGACCGTCAGCGTAGCCACGGCCAGGGTAGCCTTCTGTCTGATCCTAAGCAATTCCCTCTGCCTCCGTCTCTCCTCCATAATAATCGCCCACCTCGCCCTTACCTCTTTCAGCCGCCGCCGCCGCTCCCTCCATGCCCGCCTCCACATAGCGGTCTGATGCATCATCATCAGATTCCGGTCATCGATCCACCCCCAGTGCCGGCACTGGTTTGGCCAGGAGCAGGAGCAGCCTGCAGACGATGGCGCCGTTCCGTCCGCGTCGGCCATGTCCCACTGCCACCTCCGCAGTTGGTGCATGTCCTCGGCGTCGCGGCAGAGGGTTAGCACACTCGATCGGGAGAGGTAGTGTTGGCGGATGTGGTAGTCGACCTGGTAGTGTGCGAAGAGAACCGCCAGCTCGGCGTCGGGCGTGGGGTGTTTGGAGAGAGCGGAGTTGAGCTTTGTTTCGACTTGTTCGTAGTACTGTTCGCGTTGGGAGACGGAGATGCGGTTCCAGTAGGTGGGGTCCTTGGGTCGGGTCGCGTTGTCGAGGGGAGAGATGAACTCGTCTCTTGTGTGGTTGGTTGTGAAGAAGGGTGGGTAATGAGTGGTGATGTAGATGCCCGAGTCAATATCGGTGGCCATGCTCGTTTCGGTGACTGCGATGCGGCACTTGGTGCAGTCCAGTGCTTCTTGGAGTGCATTCAGCTGGATGGTGGTTAGTGATGAGACTTTGATAAACGTATATGGTGCCTACCATCTTTTCCTCCTCTCTCTCTTTCCATTCTTTCTCTTCCACAACAGCCGCCTCGGCCTTCCTGTCGATCGGGGCTAGTTTGCCCGGTGGCACCTCCGTCGTGGTCATAGTACCAAGAACTCCCATACCTCCCATACTGCCATCAAGCGCCAGAATAGATGTAGGTGAAAGGCGTGCAGCGCGGCAAACCCATAGGGCATGTCCTTATATCACACCAGAGGGAAAGCCAGTGAATTCGTGTCTCATTGACAACAAAACAAAGAACGAGATACAAGAATCCATGGATGACCGTCAATCCAGGGTATTCACTGTTCCAGGCACAATAAATATAGATACCAAGTGAATGGACAATGGGTGTTCTTTGTTTATAAGTTTCTTTGTCCGGATCAACTGACCGGAGTCATCTGAGCGGGAGCATGGCTGATGTGGGGCATGACTCGATCACTAACCCAACAGCACCGAGAGTCATCGGGGTGGTTGGGGTGATTGTTTAGGTGATGGTTTCGGGCGGGAGAGGGCTGGTGCGAATTGATGAAGGGGATGTGTGTGCCTCAGGCATCTGTTTCCTAAAAGGGAAGGCACACTACGTCACGTATAGAGTAAACATTGAACTATACTTGTAGGAATGGCCTGCCCAAATAGTAACCGCCGAAGTAGAATCCATCCGATCCCATCCTTCCACCCTTTCCTACCGTCCCCAACCCGTCTCTCTCGCTACATCCAGCCACACTCTTCCACCACACAGCAACCGATTCACACTTCCATCTGCTCACCATGGATAACTACACGCACACGAACCTCACAGCAACAGCACACACACTGAATATACCCACATCGATAAAGCCTCGCTTGCCACACCGATTCTCAGCCTGCTCTTTGCTTTTCTCTTCATCGTCTGCCTGTACTACCAACCCTTCCGCAGATGCATTAAACGAGGTGTCCGTTCGATCCGCCGTTGGGACAGACTGTCCCGTCGTAAGATTCGGCAGTGGAATAGAAAGCTGCGTGAAGAACGTGCGCTCTTTCAGGAAATCAACAACCTCCCGAACAGAAACACGTATGAGCTTTTTGAGCGTGACGAGGTTGTGTCTCTGAGTGGTTCGTCGCTTTCGTCTTCTTCGCTTTCCTCTCTTTCTCTTTCTTCTTCATTCTTTGATTGTTCGTCGTCTGATGTGGAACATGCTTCTGGTTCTGAGATCTCCCTGATATTCTCCCCGGCTGATGAGAGCAACGCTCACCGTGACACCGACTACGAATCGGATTATAGTGGTCTCACATTCAACCAGGTCACTTGGTCAAGCCAAGATACAACACTGGTCAACCCGGCGGAGTTCCACCTGTCAGCAGTGGCCAGATCGCTGCGGATTCGCACGGCACTCCACCCAACACCAGCAGCAACAACGACGCTGACACTCTCGTTTTCGTGACGGCCCCCGCCTCCCCTGCGGTGCAGTGGGAGCTTGCAGCTTACATACAAGAGGCCCGTGGACCTGGTGCTTTCGTGGATCGGTTTGTAGATTGGGCGGTTCAGCAGTTCATGGGGGAAGGGGACGATAACATCCTCCTGCGACACCGGCCGGTTCCAAGTGACCATATTCCGTCAACTGAAGGTGATCACGAAGACACCAGTCTAGGCCATGCTGCTGACTTCGCCGAAAGGTATGACCCTTTGTCCTGGTTGGTGCGCGGATGGCTTGCTTATCCGGGCTAATGCGGCAGGGCTGTAAGGGATCCTTCAAATCGACAAGGATTGGTGCAAGGATTGTATGGGTTGGGCACCGCGTGGCGCTTTTAGGGCCAGAATCCCTCACACAACCTGGGATAGGATTGAAAAAGTCTTCCGAATTCATTTGTTTCATGTCAGGAGTTGGGAATTTTGTATTTGAGGACATGCTGAGAACAACAATCCAAAAATTCTGGTCATTCACTCGTCTATCATGCTAAGATCGTGCTGGAATTAAACCCTTATATAAATCAATTTACGGCGCACAGTAGCCACCGTCGACAATAATGTCGGCGCCGGTGGTGTAGCTCGATGCATCCGAGGCCAGGTATAGGTAGGCGCCCTTCAGCTCGTGGGCCATGCCCTCCCGGCCCATGGGGATCTTGTCACGCCAGATATTCTTCGTCTCCTGCGGCACGAAGTTCGAGATCTCCGTGGCGATGTAGCCAGGGGAGACGGTGTTGGCACGCGCATACCGGACCCATTCAACGGAGAGAGATTTGCCTGACGACAATTAGTAAAGCGACAAAGTACTTGTCCATTGTCCAACTTACAGAGGTGGATGACACCGGTCTTGGCGGCGTTATAGGCAGCCTGCATCTGAGGGAAGTTGACAATGTGGCCGCTCATGGAGGCCGTAGCGACGAAGCTGCCGTAGGTAAAGTTGGACAGCTTGTTGCCGTTGGCGTCGGTACCCTCCTCCTTCTGACGGCGCCAGTGAGCAGCCGCGGCCTTGGCGCAGTAAAAGGTACCGTCAAGGTCAATGCCGACCACCTTGCGGTAGTGGTCGAGTGGGCCGTCGACCATGGGGCCCTCAGTCCAGGGAATACCGGCGTTGGCAATGAACACGTCCAGGCGGCCATTGAAGTCCTTGACGGCCTGGTTGACGGCCTTCTCGACGGCCTCAGGGTCGGTGATCTGGACCTGGTAAGCCTTGGCTAGGGAGAAGTCAGTAAAGTAACATGACAATGCACGAGAAACGCGACGTACTCTGCACACCGTACTTGGAGGCGATCTCGGCGGCGCGTTCCACGCACTTGGCGTTGGAGTTATACCACATGGCGATGTTGGCGCCGGCCTCTGCCAGACCCTGAGCGACCGCCAGACCGATACCGGCACCGGCGCCGGTCACAATGGCGGTCTTGCCTTTGAGCGAGAACATGCCCATCAAGCTGGGGTGCTCAGGCGGGGCAGTGTTGTTGTGGACGAAGAGTCCATTCTGAATCGGGTTGGCAGCCATGGCGTCAACAATAATGGAAATAATCGAAGGCAAATGAATAGGTAACGGGACCTCCAGAAGATGGGAAATGACTGAAATATAGCACTGGAGGGGCAAGTTCTGGAAGAAAACGCCACGAAAGCTGTAGCAGACGGTGAGCCACGTTGGTGGGGGGACGCCCTGGCCTGGTGGAGAAAGCTATGACATTGTCGGCCGGTGTTTCGACTGCTGGCCAGTGGTTCCTGTGGATAAATGACGCTATGTGCCCGAGGGCCGGACGATCAGAGGTCGGGCCATTTGGCGGAGAGCGAAGGTGGGATGCGTTGCATCACAACAAATGCAAGGAGGACGTCATTCGTGGACAGAGGGAAGATCGAAGCGAACGGCCATGATCGGCCAGAATCGAGGATTTCCTTTTGTGATTATTCCGTGGAAGAGAGAAAAGAGAGAGAGAGCGGTGAGGATTTAGGTCTAGGAAGGTCAGATGACCCTTGGATTATTTTTGTGACGCCGGTCAGTCGAGCGAGCAGGAGGGTGTAGGTACTCGGATCTATTCCTGGCCACATCTAGAATGAACAGTCGATCCAGAGCGGAGATTAAAACCTTCTTGCCGCTGACACTTCCACGATGCAGAGCTATGGACACCTTGACCGGACCTACGGCAACTGGGCCCCGAGGCGAGATCGCAGCGGATCCCTTACCCTTGCAGGCCGACCATTGAGAGCTGCGATTTTCACATCATCCAGCAAATTGGCTATGCAAAAGCTGTGCTCTATGAATCCCTCATCTACACAGCCCTCACCATTCGCCCAAAGATCAATTTGCAGGATGGGGGCCATTCTTCGCAGCTGGAGCGGATCAACATGGTCTCATGGGAAATTGACGACAAGAGATTCATTCCAGTGACTAAGGGAAGTCCCAGTCCACGCAACAGGCCACTAGGACGACCAGATTCCAACCCGATGTCATTGGCGGCAATGGAAGGGGGAGGGGCCAAGTGTGGCCTTCAACATTCTTCACGCCCTAGCCGCTGATGCGGTTTACATTCCATGGCAGTCTGATCAATGGCTCCCCATAACAAACGACGGCAGTGGCTGCCCGGCAATTTTGACCCTCTCCCATTGACATCTCAAGGCTTTGCTGTGCTCATTGCGGGTGCTACTCCTGGGTCCGGCTTCTCTCATCCAACCAAAGGCAAAGACGTGCCCAACGCTGCAAGAGCAAGCTGTCTTGCTCGACATCTACGGATGACAGGCTAAAGGGAGCATCCCTGCTGCGAACACGCCTGCTCGGATTCAACAACCCCCTCGGGGGTGCTCGCCAGGATGACCCTCATACTGGGCTTGAGTGCCGTCGTCGCCATCTCCGCCGCATCCGCAGCCGTCTTCATTGTCGCATCAGTGGTGGGCATCGTGGTCTGGGTCAGAGTGCGTAAGGAGCGTCACGCACTAAAGATGCTCAGTATCAACGAGGCGCAGCGTGTCAGCACCCATCCCACCAGGCAAGACACAGTGACGGAGCTATCTCGCGAGGAGGGAAGTGCACTGAGAGAATATGGACAGTTGCCCTACGGCAAACCAACCGAATGGGGCCAGCTAGCCTCACGAGAGAGCCTTCTTCGATCCAGAAACGACTCAGACTCCTCGTTCCCACTACTCACAGAGAAGGCTCGCTCACTCCGCAACTCCCTATCACGCCCTCGCTCCAAACGTGTGTCAAGGTCGTCGCACAAACACCGCCGGCTGAGCTCGCTGATCACCTTGGGCGAGAACCCCAACCGATGGCCCAGCGCGTCGTCCAAGGTATCGTTTTCAAAAGACGACGTGCCTCTATCAGCAGTGGAAGGAGCTCTCGAGCTGCCTGCGGAGCGGACTCCAAATCAGACCCCGGAGATTGGCGAAGATGATACCGGGTTTCGCGGTATGCGTCCCATGTCACCGGCATGGCCTCTGCCATCTAAACGGGACCGCAGCAGCATCTTCCCACTGTTGGAAGATCACGGTCCCCACATGATGTTCGATCCGCCTCCCAGAATCTTCGAAGACAACGAGTCCCGACGGAGTCGAGGGGCCAGCATCATCAGTCAAACGGCGGGTGAAGTGCCCGACCAGCCCATTCCTCCACCACCGCCAACGGCACGTCGGTCGAATCCATACACATACACCCCCAATGAGTCGACCGTGCGGCTATCTTCCATCAGCTTGGATACCATGGCCAGCTCGATCTTGGAAGATAGCAGGATTGGCCCCCAGTCGACCTCCACCGACCTCACCTCGCCCATTTACTCGTCGGGTGGCACGTGTGTCCCATTCAGTGCCAACGACGTTGGAGTCAAAGATGGCCGAAGAAGCTTCATCTCAACAAACAGCTCCGTACCATCACATCTTCTTCCCGTCCGTTCTTCTTCTATAACGGAGTCTGCCCGCACGAGGTCTATGGAGCTCACCACCCCCCGGCGCAGTATGACTGAACGATGTTCGAGCAGCAACAGTGAACGCTACAGTGCGCCGCCACGCCGCAGTGAATCCTTGTCATCAAACCCGTTGAATCGGCATTCGTCCTTACGAAGTGCGGCCTCAGGCTCGATTTCTGGCTTTCACAGCTCGCGTCCTGCCAGTTGGCGCTCTTCGGCAGGCTCGTTTGTGCCACAATTCAGCCAATGTGAGACTGTTTACGAAAGTGAACAGCAGCGGGAAAATGACCCTTTCGTCGTGTCACATCGAAATGTGCTTTCTACAATAGAGTCTCCCCGACAAAATGACCCGGGGGTCCATCGTCCTCAAAGCCCGATGCATCGTTCCAGTCTGTCACAACGGGGACCTCCGCCGTCCGCAATGAAAAGTGTGAGCTCACAGCGAAAGGGTCACAGGCGGCAAAACTGCGTGCGCATTTCGATCCATCCCCCAGTGACCTTCGGAGCACCGCCGTTCTCGCCAACTGTCGAAGAGGAACCAGAGGATCTCGACCAGATGGAGGAAGTCGATCTGCGGGAAAGCGCAATTAACCAACCGCCACGGACGCAGACTCCAACTAATACTACCTCGCCTCTCCATGCTTCCAGGTACGGCAAGTACGGCAGCCAACGTGCAAAACTGCAACAGGTCGCAAAGTCACTTGGTCCACTGGCGGAAGAGCCGCACAAGCAGATCCCGTCAAAGAAGAGGAAACACGCTCCCAGCGACTCGATCGATCTTCCACCCCCTGTCGAGAAAGACCGCGTGCTGCCTGAGATCCTTACCTCTCTGCCACCTTCAACTGGCCCCGTCAGCGCCCTAACTCACACACCTTCTCCCGAGAGAGTCCCACCGGTATGGGCCATGTCCGAGAATGCAGCATCGCCAATATCTCCCGTCCCTGGGAGCCCACGGCGGACGGCAGTCAAAGGTCCACGCAGCCAACCCCCATCAACTCCACGATCCGCACGCAGCAAATCAGTTGCCGAGGTCGACAACCCTACAGACCTGTCACTGACAACGACGACCACAAACACATCTGGCCCGTCAACGCGCGCACCTCTCGCCTCCAACGACTTCCGCACGTCCAACGGGTCCCTGTACCGGACTAGGACCGATGCACGCTCTTATCGACGAGACCGCGATTCGCAAGACACGCTCGCCAGTATCCGCGACTCAATGATCCTCGTCCCCTCGTC